TTTTAAAATAAGGGTTGAATCAGACACACTGAAAATGTTCTCAAATGTTTCTTTCCAAGACTCCAGGACTTCCTACACTATCCATTTGGGAAGGTGAGTGGGAGGGTCTAAGCTTTATGTGAAAGCTATTCTTGAACTTGCCATGTAGACTCATGGTTGGGGGCAGGGGACAGTGGCCTACTTGAACTGTAGTGACTACAAGTTAACAGGGCCCTGCGTCATTTGTGATTTGCCCACCATTTTTCCCTCCCTAAATACATTTAATGCTTGCCAAACAGTGGCTAGCCCTGACAGGGTAGATTAGAACCCTCCCACACGGTGGGGGCAGATGTTTCCTTCCTTCCTGCCTTAGCAGGTCGTGAAGTTTCAAAATTCCAACTGAAATTCTCAAGAATCAAATAAGATCATTCCTTCACATTAGTAAAATCTACTGAAGAGCCAGTAATTGTGGGAGACCCCCATTAATAACCTTCCACGTGTCCCAAGGTAAAAGAGCCAGGTGTTGTCCATCCTTCTCTGTAATACTTGAATTGCCTTGGTGTCTTGCTCATCCGGGAAATGTAGTCTTTTTCTCATAAACATGACAAGAAATTGACTGTGATGGGTCGATGTGTTGTTCCAAGTCCAGTAGAGCGTGTTATCAAGGCATGCGTGAAGATTAGCCGGGTGGTATGAACAAAAGGCACGAGTGGAATCCCCTATTCACAGTGATAGCCAAAATTCACTGCCAATCTGAAAAAGGAATCAACTGTTGTAAATACAGTATCAGACTTAATATCATTTAAAAAACACGATCAGTGTCCCTCCCTTTCATGTCCCTAGACCTCCTTACCATTGTATTCCGCCTCCAGCCCACAGGTAATAATACTAATAAGAATAATAACCCTTGCATTTGATATAATGCCTTATCACATCGTTGAGACATCTCAAAGCACTACACAGAATGGCAATAAAAGCGACAACCTCAGAGATTCCAAGCGCTTTGATACGTTACCCAACGTGAGGGACGCTATATAAATTCAAATTATTGTTCTCATTTATATGGTTCAAAGTAAATTGCACAGACAGAAGGATAGAGGAGAACACATTCCCTATTCATTCTGCTCCAAGACTGGACAATAGAAAAGGACATTTCTGGGCCATTCATCCAGCCAATTACGAGGACTTTGCTAAAGGAGACTACCAGCGAAGAGGAGCAGGGAAAGCTCAATGGTTTTTGTCTCCCCTATTCTCAAGAAGGAACCTAAGATTCTCAAGGTACATTTCTCTATGTAGCCAAGAGAAAATTCACAAAATCAACTTAACCAATGTGTCTAAGCTGTGAGCTGTCAACAATGGGATTCACTGTAAGGTTGCTACTCAAACTCAAATGGCTGTCCTGCCACAATTAATGTAAGTTAATATTGCCTCCAACACGACAGACATGCACAATCAAGATTTGCTGACCTTAGTTACTACATTAGAAAGTAAATCATTTTGTGAAGCACTTTGCCATTTTTTGATGTGAAAGGCTATGTAGATCCAATCTGCTGAATTATCCTAGTATTTATAATGATAATATTGTCTGCTTTTTATCTCCTTTCGGACCTAGGTGAATGCTAAGGTCAATTATTTTGTCTGCACTGATCAACTCAAAACAGACCAGAATGTGGGAACAAACTGGGAACTTTCTTGCTCTGCTCTGCAAAGCTCAGTACCACTTCACGTAGATAATTTATCAACAGCAATTGAAGGACTGTGCTACTGTTTCTTTTGAAAATAATTTCAGTAAAAGCCCCTTCAATTAACACAAGACTCACTTTTGTCATGAAGCATTAAAGTGAGCCTGGAATTATCTCTGAATCCTCCTTCTGGCTCCTCTTCGCTGGTAGTCTCCTTTAGGAAAGTCCTCGTAATTGGCTGGGTGAATGGCCCAGAAATGTCCTTTTCCATTATCGCTCCGTCCATGTAAAACATTTGTTTAACGAGAAGTTGTGTCTGATCCTATTCCTCCCATTCTTATCCTACAGAGCAAACAAAAAGATATGCCTGAAGAAAGCATCCCACTGCACTTGGCTGTAACACCATCTCTCAGCAGTAATAGGTTTACTCCCTGGTCCACTATGTGGATTCAGTACCATTACTGAGCATTCCTTAGTTAGATGCAGCAAAGGTTTACTACAATCTTAGATGGTTCAACTTATTTTTGAACTGCTTGTGACACATGCAGTCAGCAGTGCCTTGCAATTTATGTTTGTTCTTCAATCAAAAAAGTTAACAAAACAATAGCAACCAAACACATGAAATAAACATCAGAACAAAAATGTGAACAAAACTGATAACGAGAGTAATACATCAATAAAAACAATTTAATCAAAATCATTAGGCTATTATTGCAGTGGCTAATGGGGGTGGAACTCAGATTAACATGACAAGCTCTTGGGCAAGGAGCGAGGAGGAAGTCAGCCAAGGTGAGACTTTGGGCCCACAACCTTCTGACTCAGAAGCAATTGAGCCAAACTTACCCTGGGCTCACATATGGATGCTTAACTGTTATTAAACAAGTTTAATAAGTTGGTATCTAACGCACTAGTAATAATTGTTGCATAATATTAACATCTTAGTACTTAACTTTCAAAGCCTCTCTTTTTATCGGGTTAATAAAAGTTAGCATTCATTGCTCACACTATGACATTTAAAAAGTAAGCAAATCCTTCAAAAATACCAAGCCATGTAATTGCACCTTGTTTTTGAAATAAGGGTAAGTGTTCCTGATCCACTGGTAGATATCACAAACTAAGAGCTTTTTCTCCTTGGAAGATACAATACTCATGGAGATGAGAGCAATGTACGACTGGGCAGGTTTGTCCCAGTGCTCCTGAGAATCATTGCTCAGCTCTTCAGACTCATCCTCTTTTGTTTTTTTTTGTCTTCCACTAACTCACTGGATTTCTTTGGGAAGTCACGAACAGGCAAGCCAGCCTCCCTTTGATTCACTTGGATTTGGGATTCGGGATTCACTTTTGCAACTTCAGTCGAAATCGCTGGCTCCTTATTTCTGAAACATTCTTCATCTTTCTTGCTTTCTGCTGAATTTACTTTCCTCCCCTTGTTAAATATAAGATAGTCAATGCAAAAAGTGAGTCCTGGCTTTTTCTTCTCCGTTTCCATCTCACTTTAGTTTGGTTTCAGGATGAACTCAGGATTTTTAGTCTGCAATCTAATAATTTCTCTTGGATTAGTACTTTCAATTATCAGAAAATTACTTTCAGCAAAAAGAGGGTGTTGTAAATGAGGATTTAGAGGAATTCAAACCCAATAAATTGAGAGAAAACAGATTAAAAAAGAATTGCTGAGAGTGGGTTTCCAATGGGAATAATTAGTGCAGATTAGCGTGTTGTTCAATGTGTTTTCACAAACCTCCTTCCTTCACAAAGCACATGTTTGTGTGTCAAGCCTGGGGGTTTCGTAGGTTTGTTTCTTTAATTAAAATCATTAATATTGTAATGGCATCATTGACTTGATTGAAGAGGTCTTTTGAGGTTAGTTCTGAATTTGCAGGCAGAGTAAACTAGCTAGACGATAGCTTCCTGTTTTCTGAGTTTGATTGGCTCGCTTCAAGCGTTGCTTAGATGATGTTAAGAACCGTCTCCAGATCGCACCAGAAGACCTTCCTCTTCAACCTCTCTCCCTGGCTCAGAGTCAAGATCCGTCACTGTTCAGCGCTCCAAGACACTGCCCCCATGAAGGGCGCTATTATAAATTCAGGTGGTTGTTGAAATAAATTTGTGCCGTGGGACACGTTCCTGATCTTGGCTTTGCCATTAGAATGAAGCAAAAAGATCAGGGACGAGATACTCTCTCGCAGGTTTTAGCACCTGGTTTAAGAAGGTATTGTCACGATGCTGAGAGCAGGTTGGAAGAATGAGGGTAACAATTAAGAATCTTTGAGGCCAGGTCACTTTTTTAATTTTAAAAAAGCTTGATGTTGTTACAGGGGATGGAACGGGAGGTAAAGTATTCTGCAAAGATGAGCGATCAAAGGGCCATCTTCATCCGAACCGATCCAGCGATCTTTTGAAACGAGACGGCAGTTTCTCCCGGCGTCCTGACCATCAATCCCCTCGATCCGTCATTCGTTTTCACGGCCGTGCGCAATGCGGGACCGCCTTGGCCGTGTGCACAGCAGCTGCCGCCGTTTGCCGCAAAGGCAGTCACTACACACTGGGGCAGCGATTACAAAGCGCTGACATCAGACACCAGGACTTACGTCAAACTGTTGTCTTACAAAGGCCGTCCTTCAGATGAGACGTTAAACCGAGCTCCCCGCCCGTGCCCGGTCCCCGCCCGTGCCCGGTCCCCGCCCGCGCCCGGTCCCCGCCCGTGCCCGGTCGGGCGGACGTTAAAGATCCCGTGGGGGGAATTATTTGAAAAGAGAAGTTTATCTCTCTCTCACCCCCTCCCCCCACCCCCACCGTGTCCTGGCCAACAAATAAAATTGTTCGCTCCCTCGCTCCACGGCCTTTTTGTGGGACGTTTGCCCTCAAAACACACAGTCACTACACTCCACAGTGTTATCCTGTGAAGCGCTCTGAGACGTCGCGAAGACGTGATGCAAGGATTATAAACGGTTTCTCTCCTCACACTCTTTCTCTCTCTCTCTCTCTCTATATATATATATATATCTCGCTTTAACGTACCCTAATGGCGGTGGCCGGGGCGAAAACCGAAGCCCTCGGCCACTGGGGCGGGTGCGGCGGCGGCAGCGCGTGAGAGAGCTTCCAGCGGGCGACGGCGAGCGCGAGGGAGACGAGTGCGCCTGCGCGGGCCGCCCCGCCAGTGACAGTTAAACGGTCGGCGGCTCGCGATCCACCCCCCCCCCCCCCTCCCTCGCGCTTTCAAACCCCAGCCCCTCCCCCTCCCCGGGCTCAACTGCCGCCACGTGATTGGCGGCTTTGAACTGGCCGCGTGACCGGCGCGCGGGCGGCCAGGAGGAAGGAAAGTGGGCGGGGCTCGGGGGGTGGTGGTGGGGGGGGGGGAAACATGGCGGAACAAAGGGCAGCCAAGGCAAGTTGCGGCGGGCGGCTCGGCGTGTTGAAAGCGGCGTGCGAGGAGGCGGGGTGGGTGGGTGGGGGGGGCGCGTGGGTCCGTCCGGCCGTCCGTCCGCCCCTGGGGAGCTGGCAGCGGCCCCGCGCCCGTCGGGTCCCGAGGGTGGCACAGGCGTGCGAGGGAGCGAGGGGAGGGCAGGGTTTGCGAATTCGGTGTCTTTTGTCTGTCGACTTCTTCTTGGCGAGGGGGTGGTTTTAACTGTTGTTAGCTGTTGGGTCTGAGGGGGGCGGCCTGCTTTGCACCTCCACCCCGACCGACCGACCTCCGTTCTCCTCAGCTCGGGTGCTCCCCCCACCCCACTCCCCTCCCCTCCCCATCCACCGGTTGGCTTCTTGCTTTCAAATTTCCCGCCCGCGAGGCTCCAGGTGAAACTCCTGGGGGGGGTGGGAGTAGCGGGAAAGGCAGAGCCCCCTCCAGTGCTGGTGACCTGACAGCAGTCAAAGAAGGAGGAGGGAGGGTTGGTTGGTGGGTGGGTGGGTGGCCACCCTACTCCCGGAGGCGCAAAGCAACCTCTGTCCCCCCCTCCGAAATGTAAGCACGCCAGCGTGCCGCACCGCTTGGTCCTTGCTCATCGCCCACCACAGCTTCGGGTTCCAACCACAACCCCTTCCGCCGTTTGATTTATAAAGAGCGCCTTTGCCGCGTCTTCGAGCGCGCCTCGAAGCGCTTCGCGGGACGCGCCGTGTGAGGTGCATTGACTCCGCGGGCAATCGCGTTGCGTTCGAGAGCGTATCAACAGGGGTTTCGCGACTCGCACGTCGTTCTGTGCGCGGAGCCATTGGATTTGGCAGCGATGGGCTGCCGGTTACATGGTTACCTCCCAGATGGAAATACGGTAGTGAGGGACTTCCTTAGTAGTAATGGCCCTTTTGCATTTGGTATATATTGCGCCTTATGTTGTGGAGACATCTTGAAGCACTTCACAGGACTGTACTAGGAAGTGCGGTGACTGTATTTGTAGATAACTGCTGCAGCCGTTCTCTGCACAGCGATATCTTACAAACTGCCATAAACTAATATATAATAATCTCTGCATTTGATATCGTGGGTACCTTATGTTGTTGAGATGTCTCAAAGCGCTTCACAGGATATACTGTAAAGTAATATCCAATTTTTATAGCATAGTAGCCAGTGCATTTTTGTTGCAGAAATAAAGAATTCTACCATGCTGCAGTTCACAGTATGCATTGCATTCTCCCCCCAAGGGCTGACAGCATCAAGCTGGATAGTCAGGTGCTCTACCTGGTGGATCTCGTGCTGAACCTCAATGTCTTGTTTGACTCCTAGCTATCCTTCAAATCCCACATTTGTGCTCTTCCCCATTCAGCTTTCCTTCCCTCCATAACATTACCTGCTCTCCATAGGCCACTGAGACCCTCATCCATGCTTTAGCACATTCTAACTGGATTGTGCTAACACCTTGCTTGCTGGATTTCCCAGCCCTTTCCCTACAAAGGCTACAGTCTACACAGAACTCTGCAGCCCATGTTCCCTGTTTCACCAAACTCCATGAACCTAATTCTAATCAAATGCAAGGATTATTATTATTATTATCCTTGCTTGGGGTGGACCGGGCTTGGTATAGCATGAGTTGTAATTTTATGGACCTCTCCAACTACTATTATACTGGACTTATGCTTAACTTCAGTATGCAGAGAACTGATTCAATTTGTTAATTCATTTTATTTTATTTTTCCCCAGAATATGATACTGGGTTTCAGGGTATCTGAGCTCCAGGTGCTCTTGGGGTTTGCAGGACGCAATAAAAGTGGGCTAAAACATGAATTGGTCTCGAGGGCATTGCAACTGGTAAGGACCAACTGGACACCGGAGGTTTTTGAGAAGATCCAGGAGTTGCATGTTATTCGCCACAGTTCAAGGACCATGAATACATCCTATCATCAGGTTGTGACTGCTCCAACATTTCCTTTACATTCTTCAGAAGCAGCCTTGAATGCCAGAACATCAGTTACAATTTGTCATACAGGAAAAGATGATGCAAAATCCAGACTGAGACTAACAAATCTGCCTTTCTACGAGATATTAGATGAAGTGATGAAGCCTACTAATCTAGGTAGGATTAATATTTTGCTTACAAAATTGTAAACATAAGCCTGCTGATTTACCCAACATCCTTTGAGTCCTGGATTTAACAAATTGTATCTATGCTTTATCCTTGTACAGTTGATTCCTCTATATAAATTAATTATATAAAATATGGTATGACATCTTGATGAGCTTTGTTTTTTAAGATTCAACTCTTTTAGATTGCATCCATGTAAATTTATCAAGATAATTTGTGAATTTTTCTAGCTCCAATAAAAATGAAGGTTTCTTACTCCAATAAAAATGGTGTTGTGTTTTAAATTTTTATCCGAGCTCACATTAAGTGTGATTATGAAAGATCAAGTTAATATAAATGGACCGTGATGAATTACTGTACAGTCTGGTGTTTCAGATCCTCCTGGAGCTTAATGTTAGTTTGCACAACTATTTTTTCGGCCAGAGGCCTTCAATTTAACTAATTTCTGCTTCAATTGGTGTGTTACAATTTAGCATGTCCATTCAATTTCTTTCTTGAACCAATTATAGCTAATAATTGTATTATATAATTATGGTCTCTATTGCCTGGCCTAAAAACATGTGCACCAATTTTTCTGTCTTTCACTTTTCTCTTCTCTCATATGGACCACCAATGTAGCTTACTGCCCTATTTATTATTCCACCAAGCATCTGATCAATTTGTCCTATTTTTATCGACTTGTGAAACAGATAATTTATGTTACTTATTTCCTACGTCAGGGAAAATGGTTGTTAAGGAAAATGGCCATTGTTCACGACCACAACTCTTTAGTGGATTTTCTACAATTTATACTAGCTACTGTGAAACCAACAACTGCTCAAAATAGAAAAGAAACCTGCATAAACTGGATTCAAGTGAGGAAAATATGCTTTCTGCTTTTCCCAGGATTCAAATACATCTGAAATGAAGATATAGTGAGACAACATGCATATTTACATTAAAATGGTCATCTGGTTTTTCGGAATTTGTCATACCTATCTGACAAATTTGTGAACTACAGTATTTGCTACATTGCATCTCTAATATTTACATTTGCTATAGTACCTTTCATATCCAGAGGATGTAAATCAAAGCACTTTGTAGGCTTTAATGTTGTATGCAAATAATTTTAATTCCTTGATTCAGTTGTTCTGACATAGTCACTCTAAATCATATCTTTTGAAAACAAAATTCTACTTCTAACAAAGTTATAACCTTTCTCACTGATTTAGCCAATGTAAATTAAACTATCGTTTTACCAAAACTCCCATTTTAAAAACAGTATAAAGATATTCTTCTAAACGTAGTCCAGGCTGGATCCATATGTGCTTTCGAGAGAGAACTAGATGAATGTCTAAAAGGACTAATTTGAAAGGATGTGGGGATAGGGCGGGACTGAATTGATAGCTGTTTCAAAAAGCTAGCATAGACATGATAGGCCAAATGGCCACCTGTGCTACATATTTCTAGGGTTCTTTGTTTTAAAATATTACATTTTTGGTATCCTATATATATTTTCTAAATAGATAACAGGATAAAATGTTAGCTTTTCAGACATGCACTATAGAAGTAGTGCCTTAAGTTTTCAATCTGGAATAGATGGGTGTCTTTAGAGTGATGAATGGATAACTTTGCTCATGCATAATTATGAAAATAACCTCTGATCTTTTCCTCTAGTCCCAAGCAACAATGAGAGGATTCAAGAGAATCAGTTCGGTTTTACATTAACTGAAAAACATAGGCAACAGATTATCTGTGGGTAAGTGCACTACAAAACATTTTAGTTCAACTACTTAAAATGTTATTTCATGACTAAAATGTTACTTCACAAAATTGAAGCAGATTAGCATCCGAACATATTCCAGAGGGTTTGCTTATTTTTTTTGATTAAGCCGGGTGGTGTTTGACATGCGGAAACCCATCACCAAACCAAACTGAGAATTCCATGCATCCCACCTATACATGGAAAGTCTAGATTGTTGGAATGAAACGCGCACTCTCTCACTGGAGGGATGTATTCTGCTCACCTCATTTTGGAAAGTATTAGGCACAGGTTGGCAAGAGCCAGGATGTGTCACAGGTCCACAAGCTCAGTCCCCTAGTCCTGTAGCTCAGTGGTTAGAGCACTCGCCTTGCAAGGGAGAGGCCTGGGTTCGATTCCCGGCAGGTCAGGGCGAAACCTTGGGCAAGTTTCTTATCCCATATGCCTGATAATAATCCCTCAAGAAAAAAAATCATAATTTGGTCACTTCAATCCATGACTGTTTGTGGGACACCGCTGTGCGCAATTGGCTGCTGCGTTTCGCCCTCAAAATATACAGTCAATTCACTTTACAGCATATTCTGTGAAGCGCTTTGAGACGTCCAGAAGATGTGAAAAGCGCTATACTGAATGCAAGGATTATTATTATTATTTGCAACAAAAATATTTCTATAAATCTCACAAACTAATCTCTTCTGTCTCTGAAATATTTTCTTTGTCTCTTTTACTGACACATTTTACACTGACATTCTTTACGCTTTATCATTACTTCACTGTACTCATGGCATTCTAAATGACTGTTTCGGAGGCATCTGCTCCTGTTGGCCAAAAAGGGAAACATTTACAAAAAGGTAATATCACCCAACGGGCAGGAAAAACAAAATAAATATTGCTGACAGCTCCTAGCCTTTTTGTCTCCCATAACTTCTACTTTCCACACTAGTAACTATTCTTGCCTTCAGACAGTTCTTTTCTGCGTGTATTTAAATCATTGGAGGTGAAGTTTGAAGAGGAAGTGTGTCAAAATCAAATTGAGTAGTCGGTGCCTCCCTACCTTTTACTTGTGGGAGTTGTGCATTTACTCCATTTGTTAAAACCTGCCTGAGATCTTGTTTTTTTAAAAAAAAATTAGGAAATTGTCTGTTTAAATCTCCAAGATCTTAAAAATCTCCGATTAAATGAATAGTGCGTCGTGGGACTGGTTAAACTTGTAGAGATGCCTGTGGCAGCCCAAAGGCCAAAATGTGCTTTGAATACAGCTTTGACTCAACAGTGCTTTGACTCATTTTTGTGATGACCCCAGAAATGGATAAACTATGTGCAAGTGGGACTTCATTTATTTTAGTCAATATTTTTTTAAATAAATTGGAAAAGTTGGTAAGTTTTTCTTCTTTAAGCCACAGGTTTTCTGCACGTTTTCTGACCCAAAGAGTGGGTCAACCAACTGTTCACAGACTTTTTCAGATGTTGCTCAGTAACGGTTTGCTTGGAGTTGTTCAGGAAATGCGTAAATTGTAAGATTCTGCAACAATTGGCAATCCAGTATAGAAATGCTGCTCTTTGGTATCTAAAGCTATTTAGTTTTTAATCTGCAGCAATGGATCCTGTTTACGTCTGTGTGGGCCTCTGAATGAACTGTGCATTTGCCAATGTGCATTTGTTTCTTTCATTAAGATTGACACACTTGATTAATAATAATCCTTGCATCTAATATAGTGACTTATCTTCGAGACGTCTCAAAGTCCTTCACAGAATATACTGTAAAGTGAATTGACTGAATATTTTATGGATGAAACGAGGCAGCCAATTACTCACAGCAGTGTCCCACAAGCAGTTATGGCTTGAGTGACCAACTTATTAGTATTTTGTTTGAAGGAATTATTACCCCAGAAAAGCATTAAATGCATTTTTGAAGATATTATGGAATATACTATGAAATCTAACTTTACTTATTTTCTCCCAAGATTTTCAAAGTCTGGTGGGCAGGCAGTTCAAGTACAGTTAAGGTATGTAGTATAATACTTTACAAAAGAACATTTGAGCTTTATTTTTAAAATGTATTTTCTGCACCAGTTTCTCCTCATATCTAAGGCACTGATCATCCACTGGTACATTACCTAAGAGGCCATTATTTCATATTTTTTGCTTTGGCATACAATTTGGCTGCAGGAGGCATCACAACCAAGTCCAGCCATGTCCTCACTCAATATCTATAATAATAATAATAATCCTTGCATTTGATATAGTGCCTTATTACGTCATTGAGATGTCTCAAAGCGCTTCACAGAATATATTGTAAACTGAATTGGCTGTGTGAATCTATGTACTCCTCTTGCATTTTAAAACGTATTCATAAAGTTAACAACAACAAATTGCACTTGTATAGACGGCACTGGTCACTGGACAGTCAGGTATTTTTGGACCCGAGCTGGGATTGAAGGCACGGTCGAAGAGGAAGGTCTTTAGCCAGGACTTGAAGGAGGCAAGAGAGGGGCAAGGCGGAGGCATTACGGGATAGAGTTCTAGAGTGTGGGGGCAGAGACGCTGAATGCCCGATCTAATTTGAGGCTGCTGTAGGCAATCGGGAATAGATTCAGAGTAGATATTTTCCCTTTCCAGCCCAAATGCATCCCAGCTGAGATTAGCTAACCCAGCACAGACTGGGATTTGAAAGTTCAAGCTTCTCAGGGTACTGCATTTGAACTTTGTCTAGAATAGAACATTTTATTGTTTCAAGGAATTCCAGCCACACTGATTCTAATTCATGTAATTAATGGAAGTACTTTTTTTTATATATAGATATAGGGTATCCTATTTATTTATAAATTCACTTTACAGTACATTCTGTGAAGTGCTTTGAGATGTGAAAAGTGCTATATCAAATGCAAGGATTATTATGCTAAAATTAAAATCTCAAACATTCATGTTTTTAAATATATTGGTTGTGAGGTTTGTATTTAATTTTACAGGATATGAATTAGGAAACACCCACCTAATAAACCACTACTATCTGAAGCTGAAATGAATTTGCTCAGTATCAAGCTGAATAGAAATTATATTTGTTTGTGCCTTACATCACCCCAATATACGGTCAATTCACTTTACAGTCTATTCTATGAAGCGCTTTGAGACATCGAGAAGATGTGAAAAGCGCTATATCAAATGCAAGGATTATTATTACTATTATGTCATCGTCTCAAGTGCTTTACAGTAATTGCTGCTAAGTGGTGACAATTTTTGTGGGCAAATGTGGCAGCGATTTTGCATACACCAAGTTTCCAGAAACAGCCTCGTGGTGATTAACTATTTTATCTAGAGAATTGTTGGGCATGAGCACTGACACCGAGCCAATAGTACGATGGTATCTTTATTTCCCAGAGGTAGACTGTTACCAAACTGACAATTATTTGAACTATAATTGTTTTCAAATTATAGTTGTTCACAGTTTGATCAAATCCTAGTTTTCACTGGTCATTCACTTCATGGCTCTTGTGGATCAAATACTGTCACTGCGTTTTCAGAAATTCACTGCAAAGCGCTTTTGATTTGGTTTTGACTTTACATTATAAGAAGTGCAAAGATTATTTTTTTGCTATCAGTCTTATTTTATGCTCATTTTATTCAAACTTTTACAATGACTTTGTGTCCTTTGTTGCCTGTATTTTGCTTTTGGGATGGGGTAATCAGGAGAATAGAGATTTGTTTTTGTTTGCATTCATTTTTCCCAAAGGTTTTGAAATTATCATCATAGTGATTATTGGATGAGGACAGGTGGGCATCTGGTGGTCAAAGCTGGAACCACAACCGAGTGTTGCTGAATACAGCACTATGCACTCCCAATAGAAATGCCGTGGACAGTAAAGTTTTTTTTTATTTTTTGAAAAAGATTTAATCCAATTCAAATGATAGGCAATCTGCAAGAAAATCAGAGAATTTCTATTTTATGTTGCATGTCTTAATGCTTCCTCAATTTAAACATAAAGATTGGACCCAGTGGAACATTAATCTGTATAATTTGCAGATTTAAATCTCATTCTGTATTGAATTAGCTGAGTGCAGCACTTTGGTGATAAAACTCAGTTAGGGAAGGGCAATACTTGTACAGCTTAATTGTACTGCAATTGAGCCTATATACAAAAGTAGTTATGTCCTTTTTTTAATTTCTAAAGCAAACCTAATGAGCTTAATATTGGTTTGAGTGTTATAAGTATGAGTTCTGTTTTTTTTTTAAATCCTGCATGCTCGGGTAAAAGGGTAGGTTCTTGTGCTTAAGTTACTAGGGGCAGGAGGCTAGAATCATTGTTATCCTAACTTTCCTTTCTTCTCCACTCCTCCCTTCACCTCCCACTCCCCCGGGTGCTGTCAGGTACAAAACAACCCAAACATTGCAGCCTTGTTAATATGAGCTTGTTAATGTTAACCTTTGAGCATTTCGTGAACTGATTTATATAGGAGGAACTTGCATTTGATTACTTGTGGTTTCGGTTTGTGCGTATCAGTGGGGAGAGAGTTGGTTCAAGGGAATAGATTAAATTTTTTAAGCGGAGATCAGCTTTTACTAGACTTATAATCTATTTTCCTCCCTTTCCTGCAACAAAGCTTCATCAGAAAAGGAAATATTATGCTCAGTAGTTTATCACAATAAGAACAAAAGGAAGCGTTCAATTTCTGTGACCCATTAGTTCTGGTGGTGAAGACTTGATCTTGCTTCAGAAGGCATACTTTTTGAGTTCCTAGCCTGGACTGACACTCACTATCCAAATGGATTATTTAGCCAAATAAATTACTCTCACCAACTTTTGCCCAAACTGTTACCCGACAATATCAAACAATAGAGGAGGAGGGGAAATTCCTTCAACTGAAGTGAACTTCATACTGTCTGAACAGAGTAGAAGCCGCAGAGTTTATGATCTGGCCTTTCCTGAAGGAAAGACGTTGTAATCTTGGAAGCCAAAGTAGGAAATTCTAAACCGTGTGGTTTTTTTTTTCTCCAATTTTCAGGATTTGCCACACGGATACCGAATTTATACAAGAAGATCAATATCCTCCCTACCTGACAGTCTTAGCAAATTCAAGATTGTGTCCTTTTACGGTAAACTACTACCTCCTTATTGTACATATAGACTATATAAAATAATGTTTTAATTTGACATCAGATTTAAGCAGTCAACAGAACTATATTTAATCTGGATAAGTGTGACATTTGTCAGCCAGGGTTAGAATTGTCCTTGATGGTGGATTACATGAAGGGGAGGGGGTAGGGAGAAGAAATCGTCCCAGTCTTTCATTATTGATTGCTGTCCAATACCCTAGGCTGGGCAAAGAGGAGAAATCTGTTCTTACTTTGATCAAATGTAACCTGTTTGGTAGGTTGTATAAGTGACCAGCAAATTATATAACTAAGCACAGAAGACCTAGCATTATCGAGTCACTGGATATGTAACCCAATGATTCATAAGAACATAAGAATTATGAGCAGGAGTAGGCCATTCGGCCCCTCTAGCCTGTCCCGCCATTCAATAAGATCATGACTAATCCATTCTAACTCCACTTACCCGCCTTATGCCCATATCCCTTAATCCCTTTATCCACAAGAAATCTATCAATCTCAGTCTTGAATATGTTCAAGGACTGAGCATCTATAACCCTTTGGAGTAGAGAATTCCATAAATTCGCTACCCTCTGAGTGACGAAGTTTTTCCTTCTTCTCCTGAAACGGTTTGCTTGAGTTTATTTTTTCTTGGATACTGTTAATTGGCCAATGAAGGTAATTGAAGGATATGGCTTCACTGACGCAATGGACATTATATTTTAGCTTTATGCAACATGTCCTGTATAAACATAATGTACTAAATATTTTGTGCCTGTGTCTTGGAGACCTTGTTCAAGCACAGTACTTTGTGCAAGGTCAAGTGCAGGAGTTTCTAATACATTTCCTGAGTTAGGAATGTGTTTTGCAGCTGCATGCACCAACTTGTACATAACAATATATACAAGTGCAATATATACAAGTGGCTTATCAGTTTTTCAAGAATATAGTCTTAGAAATCTGAACGAGTAGATCACATTGCCAATTCAAGTCTTTCAGGCATTGACGTGTACATGGAAAACCGCTGCTAAGCATACATTATATGGCCTGAATGTTCCTGCTCAAGGCTGTCTTGTTCATTGCAATGTTTCTTATAGTTCATTAATGTGAGGACGCTATAAAGAACCACATATTTTTAAATATCTGTTTACGTTGGAAATACAGTTCTTGCAAATGGCATGGAACTAGTAGAATTCTGTTGTAATGTGTATTTGCTTCTCATAGGATTGAGCAGTGGCCCCCATGCTCCTCACTCAAATTCCCCCAAATGAACCAAAATTGACTCTCAACTCTTCAAAACAGTGGTACTAATCAAACTAGTTGACTATCAGGTCATCAATGTCATCATCCTTTCCTGCATGTTTATAAGCCTATCTCTGGAATATTGAATCCCAACATATTATCATAAGCAGCTTTTTGTGTAGGTTTTCTTTCTCTTAAGCCCCACCCTATGTATTCCATAATTCTTCTTCAACAATGTGCCATTTATATCACTTCAGGCAGTATGGATATGTAACTGGGATATTGATCCACATTTTCTTTCACTTCCACTTCCAAAGTATTACATACAGAAAACCTGCCATGACTCCTACAATCTTAATTTTCATCTTGTCTATTATAACCTGACGTTTTCGGAGCCAAATAGTAATGTAATAGCACAAGCCAGAAAATCTGCCATTGAATAGTGCTAGAACTTTAAGGATTTGTTTGTAAGCAGTGATTACTTGCACAGCTTGCATTTATTTTGCAGCAGTAACTGATGTAGCAAAACTATAATGATCATCGCAGAGCAAATAATTTTGTAAACAATAAAAATGCTGATTATTTGTGAATTAATTTCACCTTCAGAGAAAGTTCAAGACATTTTGTTACAACCAAAAAAACATTTTGGATTGATGCTTGACATATTGCTTGACATTGAATTGATTACCAAAAGTGCAACCTTGTGAATGTTTATTTTAAAGAGTTATTTTTCATCGAATAAGCCTAGCCTAGAACCAAAAAGGCCGTGTCGACCCATCAACGTTACGGCACTGCTCAACTTGACGTCAGATGCAACCAACTACTTAACTGTCTTTTGGGGAAACTTTGCCAAGGTAAACCCTATAAATATACCATGTAACTAGTTATGATTGGTAGTCTTTTTTTCCATTTATGCAAACCTTTCATACTGGTTTTACAGCTTCTATTTTAAGAGACGCACATGTTCTTAGTACAGCTTAATCCTGATAAATAGTTTACATTTTGGCAGGAATCTAAGCCATGCTTACCCAAGCTAATAATTTATCCTGAATCACTTTGTTGAAGTGCGAAAATTTATACAGACCCACATGCAGAACCCTCATTGTAGCACTTTCTGGTATAGCACTCGTGTAGAATTAAACCTGTGCTAAGCAGATATGCAATACATCGGGTTCTAGCACTGGCAGATTTACTTTCCAGGCTGAAACTTAGCTGATTTCCAGGTTGTTGCTGACATGCCTTCTCTATGCACAGGAAGCGGTGATGAGGTCACTTTGCCAGGGAAAACTTGCAAAGAGCAGGAAATTACATCAACATCATCCTGACATCCCAGAAGTTAGTCTTTTAGCGGTTTGCTCATAATGAGGGCTCTGAGATTTTGGACCCAGAGGCCTGGGTACAACAATGTTCATAATTGTAATTCTTTGTTTTGTTCTGGAACCATTTATTCTTGTATGCTGGCAAATATATACGTGTGTCAATTCAATCAAGCATCGTCGTCTACATGTCATGTAAACTTTATTGCAGCTGTTGGGGGTGAACATTCTTATTTTATCTTTTTATGTGAGCAGGTTTGTGCCTGTTAAATATAACTACTTTCACTATTCCTATTATAGAGGTACTCTGTGGTATTGTACCTGGTGAGGCAGCAGACAACAGCAGAATTAATACACAAGCTTCAAGTAAATGAAACAAGATCTTCTGAAGTTTCCGGAGAATTAAGTAAGTAACTTTTCTCCCCAACCAATTCTCTCCTAAAGTCATTTGATTGTTTTCTATGATTGGGCTATGGATTCCATTGCTGGCTTCAAAGGTCTCACTCCTGGCTTTATTCATATGAGCCTTGACCATGAATGTTGGCAGGCTATTTGAACATGACTTACTTGGTGCAGACTGTCTTTACAGTTATCCCAATTCTGTCTGCGTCTGTGCACCCTTCACACATAGCTCTCTGGGGAGCATTTGGGAGCAGGAATCCTGACTATGTTGATAATGTGAGTTTTAACATACAATGATTAGTTGTCATATTGTTTTGTTAACAAATAGTTCAGAGTTTTTTTTTTTACCTTAAATAAAGGTTTAACTGACGAAAAATGTTGATCAAACTTTATCCCGGTTGTTTTGGCTGGAAGAAATCATGGACGTTTCCATATGGTTATTTGTGCTCCAAAAGTTGGAATGTTTTGCCCTAAGTAATATGAATGACAATAAACGTTTTTCAATGTGTTTTAAGATTAGAAATCTTCCCCCTTTCCACTGTGGTTTTCCATTAAGCAGGACAGAAGCTTATCTGCAATGCTGATAAGTTGGTGTGATAATGTTTGCAATTTTAGTTGTATCATTTTGGTAATGGTTTATTTTTTTTATTAAAGTTCGAAAAAAGCTTCGACTGGAGCCTGAAAATGACATTACCACCACTGGCCTCCGGGTTTCTCTGATGTGTAGTGTAAGTAGGTATATTGCCACTGAATCCCTTCATAACATTGAGGAATATGTTCCACATTTATTGTTTTACTTAACTTAAATGCAGTCTTTTTCCCCTTAAATAACTTCAACTGTACTGGGGATTCGTATCAATACAGATGTATGTGGAGTGTTTTAGCTCAGTGGTTAGAGCACTCGCCTTGCGAGACCTTGATTTGATTCCCAGCAGGGTGAAACGTTGGACAAGTTTCCTTATTCCACCGGCCTCTGTTTACCTACCAGTAAATAGGAATCCGGATGTTAGTTGATTAGTTAGGTTAGTTGACTTGGCTGACCACTTTTCCGGGGGTAATAATTCCTTTAAAAAAAATTGGTTACTCAACTCCTGTGACTGTTTGTGGGACACTGCTACCACGTTTCATCCACAAAATATACAGTCAATTAACTTTACAGTATATCCTGTGAAGCGCTTTGAGTCGTCTTGAAGACGTGATAAGGCGCTACATCGAATGCAAGGATTATTGTAATTGTAAAACACTTTAGATTGCAAAGCAGGGACATAATTCCCCATTTATTGATAACGGCCACACAGCTGTGGAGAGTTGGTGAATGGAGGCCATATGTTTGTTCCACAGAAGGCCCCTTCCTTGCCTTCACCACAAACAGCAGCAACAACAAGATTACATTTGTATAGCGCCTTTCACGTCAGGAGGATATCCAAAGGCGCTGGACGGAGTACAGCATTTCAGACCCGAGCTGGGGTCAGGGGGGCAGAAGTGGGGTGGCCAATGGCATGGTTGAAGGGGAGGGTCTTGAGGCAGGACCTGAAGGAGGCTAAGGAGGGGGTGAGGTGGAGTGACTGGGGGATGGAATTCCAGAGGTTGGGGGTAGAGTGGCTGAAGGCTCTCCCGCCAATGGTGGGGCGGGTGGGTCGGGGGACGTGAAGCAGGCCAGAGCCGGCTGAGTGGAGGGAACGGGCGGGTTAGTAGGGGGTTAGGAGGTTGCAGAGGTAGGGTGGGGTGAGCCATGGAGGGCTTTGTATGTGAAGACCAGGATCTTGAACTGGATCCTCTGAAGGATAGGGAGCCAGTGGAGTCGGGCGGGAATGGGGGAGATGGGGTCAAGGAGTTTGATGCGGGAGAGGACACGGGATTATCTGCAGCCTGTGGAGGGAGGAGTGGAAGGCCGACAAGCAGGACGTTTGCATAGTCGAGCTTGGAGGTGATGAAGGCATGAACAAGAGTTTCAGTGGCCTGAGGGGTGAGGTAGTGGCGGAGTCGGGCGATGTTACGGAGGTGAGGGAAGGCAGAGCGAGTCGTGGCTTGAATGTGGGGGAGAAAAGACAGTTGAGGGTCGAACAAGACACCCAGGTTCCTGACTGGCTTGGTGAGTTGTAGTGTGCAACCACAGAGGTTGATGTTGCCGGAGCCTGAGGCGCTGGCACGAGCCAATCAGGAGGGCCTCAGTCTTGTTCACATTCAAGTGTAGGAAATTTGCCCTCATCCAGGACTTGATGTCCAACAGGCAGTCTGTCAGCACAGCAGTGGTGCTGGAGTTGAGGGTGGAGGCAGAAGGATAGAGTTGGGTGTCATCCACATACATGTGGAAGTTGACCCCTATCTGCGGAAGATGTCACCAAGGGGGAGCATGTAGATATTAAAGAGGAGAGGGCCAAGGACAGAGTCCTTGGACAGTTTGGGAGCTGGAGGAGAAACCGTTAGAGGCAACGAAGTGGAACGGTGAGAGAGATAGGAATCGAACCAGGCAAGGGCAGGTCCATGAAGATTGAGCAAAGCGGAGAGGCGGTGTATGAGGATGGAGTGGTCGACAGTGTCGAAGGCGGCAGAGAGGACGAGGAGGCAGAGGGAGCCCTCATCACAAATGTTCAGATTGTCATTAGTGACTTTGACCAGGGCTGTTTCCATGCTGTGGGCAGCGCGGAAGCCGGATTGGAGGGGTTCAAAGAGGGAATGGCGAGAGAGAAAGGAGCGGAGCTGGGATGCGACGACTCGTTCTAGGACCTTGGATAGGAATGGGAGGTTAGAGATGGGGTGATAGCTGGAGAGGAGGGATGGGGTGATGACGGCTGTTTTTAGGGGGATGGGAACTGAACAGGGAGAGGTTGATGTCATCAGACAGGAGGGGGGGCAGAAGGTGGAGCTGGGAGACGAGGGAAGAGGCTTGAAAGCAAGCTATTTACAGATGGTGTGTGATCTGGTGAGAAAAGAATTCATGCTGTTTTAAAAAGAATTTGGAACAAGTTTTTTATAGTGCCTTGATTACATTCTCATTTTTTATTTCCTCAAGCAGCCCAATAGTTAGATCCTTTAGGTTTTATTAGAAAGCACCTGGTTCAAAAAATTTTAGCAGGCACTTCAAAAGTGGCTAATGTCATTTTAGTTTGCTTCCTCGCTAAATCACCCGATGCCCTGATTTCAATGCAAGGCCTACATGAATATTCAAATCTCTGTGGAGTTGGGGAGAGAAGGAGATATTCGGATGCAGATTGAATGCTGACAAAAGTTCTAATCGTAACAAATGCTTCCTCAGTTACCGAGGACTGCCAATTTTGAATGAACATTGACTAAAGTAGTCTTGATAGGAAAATGAGAGACCATTGCACAACTAATTTGTCTGAAGATCTTGTTAATAAACTAGATTGGAAACAAAACATATGGTTTGTTTTAAATTTCCAATTTCATTCTTCAACAGCTGGGCAAGATGCGCCTTTCAGTGCCCTGTCGAGGTATTACATGCACACATTTACAATGCTTTGATGCAGCCCTCTACATTCAAATGAATGAGAAAAAGCCTACATGGATGTGCCCTGTGTGTGACAAGCCTGCTCCTTATGAACTGTTATTTGTAGACCAGTGAGTATCTTTTCTTTATATATAGAATTGGTCATTTATGCTCAAGTTCTCAGGAAGGCTTGTTTTGTGAATGGGACATGCTTCTTGCTGTGGATTCCTGATTGGGTTAGTTTATGGAGGATGGAGCTAGGGAAACCAGCAAGAAAAGCATTTCAGACATCTCTTAGTGATGATGCGAGTGTGAATAAAAAGACTAGATTGCGTTAGGAAATAAACAGTGGGAAATAAACCTGTAAACTTATTGCTTTTCAGACTATTCTTAGATATTCTGGAGAAATGTCAAGATTCCACTGAAGTTCAATTCAAGGATGACGGAAGTTGGTCTTCAACGAAACCTGAAAAACAACTACAGAGGAATTGTAGCCTCAAATATTCAATAGTGGAATTAGAAGGTTTGTTTCAAATCTTTTGTGACTTTGTGCTTTGCCATTGATGGATACCAGCAATTCTCAAGTTGGTGAAATCCTTTCCTAACTTTTTTGTTTTGCTCCAAAATCCAAATAAAGCATGTTTTTGCGAGGAAATCAGATCTTTTTCCCAGGCCGAATCAAGTGGCTAAGCAAAAGATGTCTTGTTTTATTCCCATGGCCATATTAACCATCATCTTTGACCTCTTAATTTAGAATGAGAAACACATGTGCTAAACTCCTAGGACAGAGGAGTGAAAGCCAGAGGGATGGATTAAATACCTTCCTTTGCAATCTGGTGTGGACTCGATGGTCCCAATAATCTCCGGTGCTGTAAATTTCTATGATTACTTTAGTGTTCAATGGCTCACTTCTACACAGATGATTTTCATGTCTGACTGATTTCAATTTTACATTTTCAGATTCTGACAGTATATTGCCTAATCCTGTGAACTACAAGGGTGATGTGGACATTATTGACCTGACTGTCGACTGTTGATCAGGTGAAGATAGACTACCCCAAAAAGAATATTACTGTGAATGCTGGAGAGAGTTTACTAAGAATGCAGGACATATTGCGCTTGTCGAAGACCTGCTGAAAGAAGTCTACCTCTGTGGTTGCAGACTTTAGTTCCTTGGAGCCCCTCCAGCCACATCTACCTCCTAAAACCATTGGTACAATGGAGAACATGATCTCTTCAGAGAAGCAGCACTCCTACTAAGGGAATGCTCCTAGAAACTGATGTGAAGGACTAATGTGTAGTTTGGGAACCTATCCGGAGAACTGTGGCAATGTATTACAGATCAGTGGCTCCTCAGCAACTGGTCATGTTCTGCAAACCTAGTAATTGACAGGCGAATGTGTAAGAATTCAGATTATTGAAGGGTTTCGCCATTACTACATTCTACGAATTTAAAAATGTCAAATGATTAATTGCTTTGTTCTAGTCTCCAGGTTCCTTTTTGGAACTGCATCTTTGTTGATGTGTTAGAGGATTCTTGCCATCATGCCTCATTTTTTTTTAAAAAGGCCAACTTCATCTGACCTTTTTTTTTCTTCAATTAATTTATTTTTTTTAAAAAAACTTTCAACAGTGATATAAAAGTATTTCTCTTCTGCTTCTCTTTTGAAAGCACTAACTTGGATTCCTCAAGACCCGGGCACATTATCACAAATCGCTGTTCACCGTGTGTGATGCTGGATAGTGATTCCCCATAATTATAATAATAATAATTGCCAGAAGCCTGTGTGATCACTGAGGGCTTCATGGCTGACTCAGATAAGTTACTGCCCATCCACTTTCGAGCAGGCTTCATTTTATACTCGCACGGGGAACTTACTGATTTTTGCTTTTTTCACATTACCCAGCCCAACAGCACTAAGGTCAATTGTGGGACTCCAACTGCTGCTTTTGCTAATGAGGCTCAGTCAGTCAGAGAATCAAAACTGTGTGGTCTGTGTGCCTTTGTGCCTTTACCCTCAGTCCCATTAGGATAGTCTTTGTCTGATTCTTCAATCCTCTCAGCGATGTCAGCACTCACTGTTGAAATACTGAGAAAGTTAGAGGCAAGAAGAAAGGTGTTGGTCATAATTCTCTGATGTCCTTTTCTAAAAATGTGTAGTGATGGAACAACATGTTATTTAAGGGTGTTCAACCATCCAATGACTTGCATATGCAATTACTCACATATGCTAAGGCTTTGGAGCAGTAGGAGCAAATGTTAAGGCACTTAATATGCTGTGCTCTGGTGTGAGAGGAGTCAGATCCTTGCACTTATAAACCTCTCAGCCAAGGTTTCGAGCATATAACCTCTCCTTCCCTCTGTCAGGGAATGGTATGGAGGAATTTGCTAAAGCAAAGAAACTGAAGAATATAAGATTAGGAAAAGCCATTTAATTCTAATTGTCATAAGATTTTTTTTCTTTCTTCTTTCTATTTCTACATAGAATCTACTAGCAACTGTAGTTCGGCCATATTTATTTTTACCATTATAGGATTCCTCCCTCTCATCTCTTTTCCTCCGTATATCCACCCTGTTTTCGGTCAGGATAAGACAGGCCAACATTTGGCTTCTGATTTATTCCTTGGGCCATCTGCTGGGTGAAGCACTTAAGTTATGCAGGAAGGGTCAGCTCCTTCTGATCAATGTCTTTCTTTTTGCCAAAAGACTAGAAACTTTGATTTGGTGGAAGCCAAGTGCAAATGTCAGCACTGCGATAAACTAGTTTGAGCCGGTGTCATAGCTCCTGGGACGTCATCGATTCATTAGATTTTTTCCTTCTGTTAATGTTGTACAGAGACGCCCATTGTTTTTTAAGGCTCGTCTTTAAATATTTCTTTTGGTCATAATGTTGCAATTCAATATTTCAAATTTTGAAAACCAAATGATTGTTCAAGCAGGCAAAGCAGATGTGCAGCATGTTTGTCTTTGAATGAATCCTGCGGTTTGTAATTTAACGTGGTTTGAAAGGGGAGGTGTAGCTTTTAATAATTTTAGGTTCAGTTATCTCGTGCTGCATGGTCTGCTCTGCGTTGCATTAAATTTAAATTATAGCTTTCTGAACATTCATCTGAAAGGAACAGCAAAAGTTCGTACCAAATTGTGTTTTCGTACCAAATGGTGCTGTTGCTTCAGAATCTTACTCTTGTCACTTCCCCTATAATCCTTTGACCTGATTTATTGAAATGGTAATATTGACAACCAAATTTACTTTGCAATTGCATTGTATTTGCACCATGTTTCAGCCCCAGTATTTCTGTTCATCCTGTTGCCCGAGATCAAAGGAGAGATTTGGATCGGTAACATTGATCGTTGTAATTGGAGAAAAAGATCACTAGATGGAATTTTGCATTAAATAAATCTTGTAAAGCGTGAAGGTGTTTGAGTGTTGAAACAAAGCAGCTAATCAAAGTAATTCAGATTTCTAAGCAAATTCCTTACCCATTGTTTTTAAAAATTTGCCCATCCATGATTTACAAAAGGCCTTTCAGACATTTCTTTAAACTATAAACGTTGATGCAGCAGACTGCTGTTGAACTTACAATACAACAACACATGGACATTTTGCATAGAAAATCCCTGCTAAGCAATGAAGCTTTTGTTTTTTTTAAATCCAGAAATGTAAAATTCCAGAAGGGTTTTTTAGCAGTAACTTTTGCACACTTTTTCAAAAGGAGTAAAAATGTGTTTATTGCACAGAATGTTTTTTTAAAAAAAGTGAAAAACAATATTCAGATCTGTGGTTCAAACCTTTCAGACTAACGGCATATGTTCTATACATAACCTTACCATTTAGCATCTACTGGTGAGGTAATTATCAGATGTCTGGAAAGACTACTGGGATTGATTTTTAATAAATATAATGCACTTTTTAGTAGATATAAAAAAATTACAACCTATTCATCAACCAATAATTTTATTCTCTTCAAGCATACATTTTCTGGCATCTTTAATGCCTTGACGTTTACAAAGCCTAGAACTCTACATACCTCGAATGCAAAATCAAGAATAGACATTGGGTTTTACCTTAAAATTGCCATTGTTTAAGCTCGCTTCAATACAATGGGTTTAAAATTGATGAGCACAAGGTCATTGTTTAAGATAGACAGTGTACTATTTTGTCGAAAGAATGGCATCATGTTGAGCCTGTTTCCCTTATATGTCCAATATATTGCTTGAGCATTTTTGAATGTAGACAAGTGCCGGATTTCTAAATAAAAACATCTTGTTTTCGTTTTCTCACAAATTGGTTCCCAGGGTCAGACTTCGCTGAACAACTCATTTCCGAAAGTACGTTCAGCATTAACAAAATGATCATCTGTACTGTTTACTTGCTTTCAGAAAGTTGAGATTTTGTAAGTGTTTTAATCCCACAGACCTCAAGTACTTAATGCAGTCAGAAGAAATTGCAGCACAACTTCTCGGGTGAGAAAGAAGGGTTTTTTCTTTGTTTGCGCCGTGAGATGGCTCAAAGATGCAATGATTAGTATTGTAACATGATTAACTCACTAATATCTGCACCTTCCCCAGTCCAACCATAGGGTTTGACAGATCATTTGAAAGATCTGCAGCACATCCCTTCTCAATCATAGTTAATGGGATTAAAATACTGTAATAAGATGCTTCAGTCCTTTATATTTGTTCTGGGATGTGCTTTCACATTTTCTTGCCTTCTGGTACCACTCCCAAGTCTTTATTCATGTGATGCGAATGGGTGTTGGTGGACTATTTTAAAGCAGTTAACAATAGACACAGTCACTCTAATTTCACCCTGTGAAGCGCTTGAAGACGTTCTCCCGGCATAAAAGGCACTGTATCAACTGCAAGGATTGCTATTAAACTCCAAACCAATCTTTCACGTCCTCCCGACGTGAAAGGCGCTCTATAAATGAAATCTTGTTGTTGTTGTGATCTTATGGAGATGTTAATTATCTGAATTTTTGGGGGGGTCAGCCAGGTGTCTGATATGTGCGGAAAGGTGCTCCAGAGTACCCAAACCAGAATTCAATCCATCTGTAAAATATTGAGCGAAAGTTGGTTAAACTCAAAGGTTTGACCACGCCATTGGCCATCCCCTCCCTTTTCACACCCCTTCCCCCCCCGACCCCAGCTCGGGTCTGAAATGCTGTACTCTGTCCAGCGCCTTGGGACGTCCTCCCGGCGTGAAAGGCGCTATACGCATGTATGGAGTCCTGTAGCTCAGTGGTTAGAGCACTCGCTTTGCAAGTGAGAGACCCGAGTTCAATTCCAGGCAGAGGGCGAAACCTTGGGCAAGTTTCCTTACTCCACACAGAGCCTAATAATAATCCCTCCAAAACCAAAAACAATAATAAATTGGTCATTTTCATTCTACGACTGTTTGTGGGACATTGCTGTGCGCAATTGGCTGCCGCGTTCGCCCACAAATATAGTCAATTCACTTTACAGTGTGTTCTGTGAAGCGCTTTGGGACGTCCTCCCGACGTGAAAAGCGCTATATCAAATGCAAGGATTATTATTATTAATCTTGTTGTTGTTGTTGTTGTTTGCGGGGCCCAAGAACGTGCGTTCGGGTAAACCATCCAGAGACCTTTCTTTTTTTGATCGTGCTCACGCTCGTCTCCCCCCGTCCCCCCCCGTCCCCCGGCTCGCTTCCAGCCTCCGCCGCCGCCAACTACCCCCCCCCCTCCGCGCGCGAAGGGCGCTTATGATATAAATGCAAGTTGTCGTCGTCGTCGCGGGTGACGGCCGGGAGTCTAACCAGCTCTCCCCACCACCCCCCAGCCCACCCCACCCAAAAAAAAAAAGCATAGCTTTGCGAGGACAACCCTACCCTTAAGGGGTGCAGGTGAGTCAGGGGAATGGTCTCTGCACACACACCCCCCCCCCCACCCCCAGTGACTGAAGCCACACACACACACACACACGGATAATGAGCTGCAGGTTGCGCCGCGCACCTGCGGGGGGCGCTGTGACCGGGAGGACCCGCCGCTCCCTCCCCCAACCCCCCCCCCCCCCGCACAGCGGGGACACGTGACTCTCGGGCGGTGGTAAAAGACCCGACGCTGACGTAGGCGTTCCTTTTCCATCCTCCCGTCCTGAGAGGCGGTTAGAAACGGCCGCCCGACGCGCACGCCAATCCACCGCCATCCGGCAAAATGGTGAGCCAGCCCGGTCGCCGGCCGCCGGCACCGTGCGGGGGGCGGTCCGGGCTAATTTCCTACCGGGGGATTGGGCTCCGTGTGCCCACCGGGGAGCCGATGATCGTCGTCGTCGCCGAGCCTCAGTTCACAGGCCGCGGCCGGGGGGGACAAAGGGGTTATCGCCGGGGCCGGAGCCTTAAGACACGGCCTGAGGGAGGGAGGGAGGGAGAGAGGGAGTGGGAGGATTCCCTCTTGTTACCGTGGATACGGCGGGCGGCGCGGGGCGGGGGGGGTTTAAGGGGGAGACGCAGTCAGGCCCGAGACCGGTAGATGACCGGATGGCTCCTGAAACTACCAGAGGCTGAGGGAAGTCGGAAGGCCGCGCGACGCGACGTGACGTGTCCGCCCGCCCGCCCACGGGTTTTTTTTTGAAAAAAAACGGCCCCGGCAACGCAGCGCAGATTGGACCCCCCCCCGGCGGCGGCGGCGGTGGGGGGGGCGGCCATCCCCAGAGACTCCCCCCCCCCCCCCCGGTTCCAACAGCCTCGGGTTTGCTTGCTCTCTCCCCCCCCACCTCACCCGCCCCCACCCCCGCGACCGTGTGTCATCGCCGGCCTCTGCCACGTGGAGCTGCCACGGCGGACCCCGGGGCCGCGCCACCCGCACCCGTGGCGGCTCCTGCGGGGCTTCAGTTGCTGTGTGTGTGTGTGTGTGTGTCTGTCTGTCTCTCTCTCTCTGTCGTTCTCTGTAGCCATTTTATTTTATTGTGTAGCTCATCATCATCATGTACCAGCCTGGGTTAATTCGCCCTCTTTATTTCTATTACACCCCCACTTCCTTTCCATTTCCCCCCCCACTTCCCTTCCATCCCCCCCCCCCCCCCACTTCCCTTCCATTTCCCCCCCCCCCCCCCCTATTTACATAAGTCATGGCTATGGTATGTCTTCTGTGCGGTCTGTTCTGTTAAACCTCTGGTGTTTTGCCCAGTTGCCCATCTCTCCTTCATGTGTCATTACCCCCCCCCCCCCCCCCCCGCCTTTGGCAGGTTGCGCAACTCGTGGGAGACGTCATCCGTTCACCGGTTCACAGTGTCCGGGGGTGGGGGGGGGTTGCGACAATAAACCTCAGGGTTAAGAAAGCGGGGGTTGGAGATGGGTATGAATCAGCAAGGGAGGGCCACCTGTTTCTGATTGCTATCTCCTGTATTATCCTATTTATTATATTCCATTACTCCCCCCCCCCCCCCCCCCCTCCACCGCCAACATTCATAGGAATGTGCTACGACAGTGCTTTATGGCGTATGTTCTTTTTTTTCGTTGGGTGGGGCTTTGTGCAATGTTATGTAATCTGGATTTCTGGCTTCAGTGGTGTGCGCTCAGTGATCTTTGCACGGGGATCGTGCTGCTTTTTATGCCCTAAAATAGACTACGTGGGCAGGTTTACAAAAGGCTTTTCGAACTGCAATCATTGAAAATGGTGTGTAAATACAAACCGCTGTCATGTCATGGTCAGTAATGTAATGGTATTGTTTAGCAGCAGGTGCGCTAAACCGCTGTCGATTCTAAATGATGTGTTGGTTTTGAAGGCAGAAATGACTGGTGTGTGTTTTTTCTGGGATTTTGCTACAGGGCTTAATTGGCTGCTGCCCTGTTTGTTTATTTGCTGTTTTCTGCAGTCGGTGGTGTCCTGACAATAATATTCTTTTCCAGGTGAACTTCACAGTAGACCAGATCCGTGCGATCATGGACAAAAAGTCCAACATCCGTAACATGTCTGTGATTGCTCATGTTGATCATGGCAAATCCACCTTGACTGACTCTTTGGTGTGTAAGGCCGGGATCATTGCCTCTTCCCGTGCAGGTGAAACCAGGTTCACAGATACGCGTAAGGATGAACAAGAAAGATGCATCACCATCAAATCCACGTAAGAAGCTTCAGCTTTTGTTGTTGCCTTTTGAATATCAAATGTTTTCTCGGCTTTTTCTTCTTGGCCTCAGCTTTTGTGCTTGAGTCGCCTGAGCAGATATTGTCAGCTTTTAACACCTCCCTGTCAGGATCAAGAAAGTGTATAATGACGCGATGCTCTTGGTGACAAATTTATTAAGACCTTTTTGATTTAATAAAGCTTGGTCTTAATTTCCCCTTACTCATGTGAATGCAGTGACTCATGCTGAAGCTTCCATTTCCACAAGCATTGGAGCCTTCTAGTATCTTCCCTCAGTGATCATTTTGTCATGTGTAATGTGTACATGGGCAAGCTTGCCTATCACGGCTGAGCAATCATATCTTGGTGCTGCACTTCTAGTGAGTAGGAACCTGAAAGCCTGCTTATTTTGCTCCCAGGGTTAGGAATGTAGGGATCAATTGGGCATGCATTGAGCCTTCGGAGGAGCAGGGTTTCACATTAGATTGTATTTGCTATCAACGCTAGTGCTAACTGATACAGGATGTATGGCAAACTATGAAAATCTTGTTCGGTGGTGCACCCACCCTCTGGAACTCCATCCCGCAGTCCCTCCGTCTCGCCCTCTCCCTTGCCATCTTCAAGGCCCTCTTCGAAGCTCCCCCAGCTTCCCACCCTGCCCTACCCCACCCCGACCCTCAGCTCGGGTCCGAAACTCTGTCTGCCTTGGGACGTCCTCCCGACATGAAAGACACTATATAAATGCAATTTTGTTGTTGGATATGAGGATCTGCATTAAAATGATTGTTTGGTTTCTTGTGCAGTGCCATCTCCTTGTACTACGAGCTCCAAGAGCGGGATTTGGCCTTCATTAAGCAGTGCAAGGATGGCAGTGGCTTTCTCATCAACTTGATTGACTCACCTGGACACGTTGACTTCTCCTCCGAAGTGACAGCTGCTCTGCGTGTGACTGATGGTGCTCTAGTGGTGGTTGACTGTGTCTCTGGTAAGTACATTGTTCATGTACAGTTTAAAGGCTCTCATCACCCAAATAATAATCCTTGGCATTTGATATAGTGTCTTAATCAGGTCTTCGAGATGTCTTCACAAAATATACTGTGAAGTGTATATTTTGTGAGAGAAAATGCACGAAATACCAGGAAATAAACAGCTTTAGGGTTAACCTCAGAAGTCTTCACTGATCAGATTTTATAAGTAATGAGCAAACGATCACCTGCTCCTTTTGTTCTCATTAGAGGTTAGAAAGTGCTCTGCCAATCAGTGTGTTGTATATTTTCAAGACTACTTGTTGTGCTGTCCACAATTCTGTTACCCTATCCTAGGTAAAGCCATGTATATGACCATAGGCTATTGCAGCCTAGATTCCAGTTATTTATCTTCTGTAATTTTACAGATCCTGCTAAGATCAAATCTGTTTTGTAGTGTGTGTTTTTTTGTCCCAAAGGTTACATTCTTCCGACATCCTGCTGGGGGTTCTCTGCTTAGTACCGTTCTCACTGCTAAAGGTGGACCCCTGTAGGTATGGAACCTTCTCGCTGCTTATGGCACCTCAGTCTTGAAGCACTCGTCTGCTGTACCTTTGAAACAGAAGCCTGTGTTCTTGCTTTGGATTCCCAGCCAGTTGAGGAAGTGAGAAGAATCTGGCTAAGAATGGAAGTTCCAAGCGAGAACTTCCATTCTGAGTTCTATTTCAATACTGGTAAGGGCTAGAATTTGAACTCTGGTCCGCTTGGCTCGAGAGTTTCCAGTGACATGACTGTTGCTATTTTATTGCCAAGGGCTGTAAGCTCCATTATTGCAGGCAACGATATTTTAGGATCAGCTAAGCAAACCAATTGAAGTCAAATTAAATTCACTCGGTTCAATTAGAATTCGAGAGCCAAGTCGGCATCTACACTTGATTATTCAAGAAATCATCGGACTGAATAATCCCGATCACAGTTGTTGCTGCAATTACAAATGTTTCTCTGGTTCAAAAATCAGATTTTTTTTGTACTAGGAAAAGCTACTGTAATTGTAAGCGAGATGTCCTGAGAATGTGCATATTTTGATGTAGGTTGACCTCTGGTGCTTTGTCCCAAGTGGTTATGACTCACGTGTGATCCTTACAGATCAGATCAAATGAGGTTTTGCATACCATCTCTTTCTTTCTCTTCTGTCCCCTTCCCCCAAAAGTATGAAGTGTTCGTGAAAGAGAGAGAAAAGTCACAGTCAACATCTCCATATACATCTTCCAGTGTGGGTGACTGGATAGTAATCGAGAGGGAACCATGGCTTGCTCAACTCAATTGTGATCCCACTACATTGGCAGTCATTGTTCTGCCCTAGCTCCAAAATTGGTCTGAATCTTCGTTGTGGATTACATTGAGTGTTATTATTTAAATGACCATTGAACTCGATAGCTAGCTTTTTTTAAAAAAAAAATCAAATGGCTTTGACTATGAAGTGCATCCCTGGAATAATGGCTGTTGTTCACAGGGGTGTGCGTGCAGACAGAGACTGTGCTGCGTCAGGCTATCGCTGAGCGGATCCGTCCCGTGCTGATGATGAACAAAATGGATCGTGCGCTGCTCGAGCTGCAGCTCGATCCCGAGGAGCTGTACCAGACCTTCCAGCGCATTGTGGAGAACGTCAATGTCATCATCTCGACCTACGGTGAAGATGAGCATGGCCCCATGGGTAACATCATGGTAAAAAAAAAATCATAATAGTCATTTGATACTACGCCTTTCATGTCAGGAGGATGCCTCAAAGTGCTTCTTGTAATATACTGCAAAGTGAATTGGCTGTATATTTTGTGGGTGAAATAACTATACATAATTGGGGTAAGGTGGGAAGAGAGAGGAACTCTCCTTAAATGAACTGTTACTTAATTTTCAGAGAGCGGAGGAAGACAAAGTGAAATAGTTATTTTAGCTGACTGATTTGAGGACTTCTCATGCCTGCCCTGAATAAGCTTAGACAAGTAGTCAGTGAGTTATTTTCACTCTTTTGTTGGGAGGCTCATCAAAGTTGAGTATGAACCTGTTGATGCCCAAAAATTGGGATCAGGCTGTTATTTTTCCCACTCCTTTTCAGTCCTGGGTTACTAATGTTTGCGTCATCTCTAACGGAGATTAGCAATCAGACCTGGGGTGCTCCTTGCCTTGTGGCTCTGCTAGATATTTGGGGAATGGGCTCACAACATTTTCACACCAGACCCTGTTTGTTTCCTCAGGTTGACCCAGTGTGTGGCACAGTTGGGTTCGGCTCTGGTCTCCACGGTTGGGCTTTCACCCTGAAACAATTTGCAGAGATGTACGTTGCCAAATTTTCCGCCAAGGGCGATTCTGCTGTCCTTCCTCCAAATGAGCATGTCAAGAAAGTAGAGGACATGATGAAGAAGCTGTGGGGTGACAGGTGAGACTCTAGCATCATGTGTTGTACAGAGCAATCGTGGTTTTGTATAGTTCTGTTTGTCTGCCATTGAATGGGTCATTCATCTGCTCTTATACCTCTGCCGTACCTGGTCAGTGGTTATCTGAGTGAGATCTGTTTTTTTATGTTTCATGAAGAGAAAAGGAAACCGCATACAAGTCATATCAGTCAGGATCACACAATTAATATGAGTTATGTCAAACTTACATAGAATATAAACTCTTGAACAGGACTTGGGCAGGTGTATGACTTGGGCGATTTTATACAGATCAGACATGTGTGAGGTATAATAATAATTCTTGCATTTGATATAGCACATTTCACGTCTTCTAGACATCTCAAAGTGCTTCACAGAATATACTGTAAAGTGAATTGACTGTCTATTTGTGGGCGAACGCGGCAGCCAATTGCGCACAGCAATGTCCCACAAACGGTCGTAGATTGAAAATGACCAATTTATTATTGTTTTATTTTGGAGGGATTATTATTAGGCGTTTGGAGTAAGGAAACTTGCCCAAGGTTTCACCCTGCCTGGAATTAAAACTCAGATCTCTCGCTTGCAAAGCGAGAGACCTGAGTTCAATTCCAGGCAGGGCGAAGTCCTGAGCTACAGGACTCCAGTACAGGACTTAATGTACCTCACTGTTTCTCAAATGGCTGGGTTCACATCATCTTTGCACCTGGCATGGCACCTTTACCCCATGAAGTGTTTTCACAGCTTTACAGTATTTCCTGTGATTCAGATTGCGCTTACTAGAAATGGTTGAGTTCTATCAAACTAAATAAACTCCCAGGTTTCTTGTAACTTGTGTAGGACTTTTTATGGAATTTTTTATTATTTTGTCCATTATAGGTATTTTGATACTGCTGGTGGTAAATTCAGCAAGTCTATGACCAACGCTGAAGGCAAGAAACTGCCAAGGACCTTCGTACAACTTGTCCTGGATCCCATCTTTAAGGTAAAACAATTGTAACTCGTGAATAATGACAGATAGGGATCATATTGAGCTGAATGTGATGATCAAACTTTTTCTTCACTTTGACCTGATATTTGGTGATGAAAACTGATGACTGATAGCGCAAAGCTCAGAACAGATTCTTGTATTATATATCTTTCCTAAGTAAGATGGTTACTTACTGATTTCCTTTACAGGAGAATTACTTTCAAGTATTGCTTGCTAATGCCATAAATGTTGGCATGAAAGTTTAAAGAATATGCACAAACTCATTCTGCTTGTGTAGCAATTCTGATGGATGATCCTTGTTTTCTTCTCAGGTCTTCGATGCCATCATGAATTTTAAGAAAGAAGAGACTGCAAAGTTGATTGAGAAACTGGACATTAAACTGGACACCGACGATAAGTCAAAGGAGGGCAAGCCTCTGCTGAAGGCAAGTAATCCGAGTTAATTACTCAGAGGAGGGAAAGACTTATTTTTCACCCAAAGAATATCTTGAACTACTGATAATGTCTTGATAACGTTTATCCATTAGGATTCTGTGCCAAGTTTATCTGGGGAGGACTATGGCTTGTTTCCCATGAGAACATGTCGCTCTAGTGCGAAACATTCCTAGTGCTGTATTGTAGTTGTTTGTAGTGTCGCTAGCCGAGAGTCTGAGCAATGCTCTGTTCCCATACACAGGCAGTGATGCGTCGTTGGCTGCCTGCGGGTGACGCTTTGCTGCAGATGATCACCATTCATCTACCATCTCCAGTCACCGCACAGAAATATCGTTGTGAGCTTCTGTATGAGGGACCCCTCGATGACGAAGCTGCCCTAGGTAGGTTTAATTTAACAGAAGTCTTTTACATGCTAACCAGGGGAATTAATTTCCCCTCCTGTCAGCGGGAGTTAATTTCGCCTACGTATCGTACTCGGGTTTGTTTTTTGGCATTTTCAGGAGGAGGTGGTCTTACCTCAAATTCTGGGTTTTAGGTATCAAGAACTGTGATTCCAAGGCGCCACTGATGATGTACATCTCCAAGATGGTGCCCACCACCGATAAGGGCAGATTCTATGCCTTTGGACGTGTCTTCTCCGGTGTTGTCTCCACTGGCCTCAAGGTCCGAATCATGGGACCCAACTACACCCCAGGCAAAAAGGAGGATCTTTACCTAAAGCCTATCCAGAGGTTTGTATTTTTTATTTCAGCGATTTAATAAGATTCTACTAATGTACGCTTTGGTTCAATTCTCCCCCTCTCTTCTCTCCCCCCCCCCCCCCCAGCCTGTCTTATAGAATTCGTTATGCACAACTAAATGTGGTTTCCTCGTTTTCATCTTAAACATTGCAGTTGTAGCACTTTTAATCTTTTTGCCGCTAAAGAGTATTCACTTAGTTTTATATTCCTCCCAAGTTCAGCTTAAACGTAGATTCTGACAGTTTCTCCCAGAATCATAACAATTCCTCGTGTTCATTGCCAATTCATTTTCATTGCAGAACTATTCTGATGATGGGGCGTTATGTGGAGCCTATTGATGACGTCCCTTGTGGAAACATCGTGGGTCTTGTTGGCGTTGACCAGTATCTGGTGAAGACCGGTACCATTAGCACTTACGACCAAGCTCACAACTTGAGAGTGATGAAGTTCAGTGTTAGTCCTGTCGTGCGAGTTGCTGTTGAAGCTAAGAATCCATCTGATCTGCCCAAGTTGGTCGAAGGTCTGAAGCGTCTCGCCAAGTCTGATCCAATGGTGCAGGTAGGTTTTTAAAAGAAAATCACTCCTGCTGGGTTTTAAGTATTTTGAGTTTTTGAACACTTCTCCCCCAAGTTTTTCCAAGATCTAAAAACTGTTTGATGTAATTGTACAAATGCTACAAAATACTTTTTAAATGGGTTAAATGGCACACTCATCATCCAACCTTTGTGGCCTCTCTAGTGCATCATCGAGGAGTCTGGTGAACACATCATTGCTGGTGCCGGTGAACTTCATTTGGAAATCTGCCTGAAAGATCTTGAGGAAGACCACGCTTGCATCCCCTTAAGGTAAGCTTGATTGGTTCACATTGCAACAAACGGTGTTACTGTTTGTTCCTGGAACTATTATGACTGCAGTTTTTTTAAATTATAATCTATGTCTTTTTTTAATCAAGAAATCCGACCCTGTTGTGTCTTATCGTGAGACCGTTAGCGAAGAGTCCGACCAGACCTGCTTGTCCAAGTCTCCGAACAAACACAACAGACTGTACATGAGGGCTCGTCCACTAACCGAGGGTCTGGCTGAAGACATCGACAAGGGCGATGTTGCTTCCCGGCAAGAGCTCAAACAGCGAGCCAGGTATCTGGTTGAGAAATACGAATGGGAGGTCGCCGAAGCTCGTAAGATCTGGTGCTTTGGACCCGACGGCACAGGCCCGAACCTCCTAGTTGATGTCACCAAGGGAGTTCAGTATCTGAATGAAATCAAGGACAGCGTTGTCGCTGGATTCCAGTGGGCAACCAAAGAGGTGAGTAACATTTCCATCCAAATATTCTGAAGTGCTTTGATATGTCTCAAAGACTTGATGAGGCGCTATAAATATTGGTTGGTCAGGATTCTTCCTGTCTCTTGTGGTTGGTCTCAATTGATGGGAGTAGAGAGGGCCTTACCATGTTTGACATTAAGTCTAGTAATTGACTTGAGGCTGATTCTAAATGGTTGGTAGTTTATTGCTCATGTTAACAAAAGACTCATTTTGAAGTTTTAACAAAATTATAGTTTTATCTAAAACTAATTTTCTTCAGTTATTTGGAACGAGTAAGGAAGTGTTTTGGATGGGTTGTTCACAGTATATAACTCTGTTTCCCCCCCCCCCGTTTGCTTTTCAGGGTGCTCTGTGCGATGAGAACTTGCGTGGAGTGCGGTTTGATATTCATGACGTGACTTTGCACACTGATGCTATTCACCGCGGTGGTGGCCAAATTATCCCCACTGCCAGGAGGTGTCTGTACGCCTGCATGCTGACTGCCCAGCCTCGCCTCATGGAGCCCATCTATCTGGTTGAGATCCAGGTATTGCAATAGCTTATTCTGATTTGTCACTAGAGGTGCTCCACATAAACTTATAACCAAATATATTATAATAAATGTATATTATAATCAAATATATTATAATGAAACAGACTGGAGTGCTTTACAAGATAAAATTAATTGGAAATTAAGTAAATGTTCAATAGGCCTGCTGTTCTATGAAACCTTATCTGATGCTTACAACTGCTTTTGTGGTTTCCTTTCTGTAAAATTCTACTGCTTTGGGCCTTAGGATTTGATAGTTTAGGAATTCAGTACAGAAAAACAAACGAGAATACTTTGTCCTTGCAGTGCCCAGAGCAGGTGGTTGGTGGTATCTATGGTGTACTGAACAGGAAGCGTGGTCATGTGTTCGAGGAGTCTCATGTTGCTGGCACACCCATGTTTGTTGTCAAGGCTTACTTGCCTGTAAATGAGTCCTTTGGTGAGTGATTTGTATTCCTTCTTTGTGTCAATTCTCCCTAACTTTTGCCAATGTTGAATTCGCTGAACTGTTTTTCTTGTGCGCATTGATTTACTCGGCTAGAAGTATTTCTCTTTTAAGAAGTTTAAGTTCGAGGACTTGAGCTCCCAACACTTTGTAAATGTTGCACTGCTGAAGGTAGCATCGTAACTTTTTTTTATTTTCTGACAGGTTTCACGGCCGACCTGCGATCTAATACCGGTGGCCAGGCTTTCCCTCAATGCGTCTTTGACCACTGGCAGATCCTGCCTGGTGACCCCTTCGATCCCAGCTCCCGCCCATGTCTGGTTGTGGCCGAGACCCGCAAGCGCAAGGGTCTGAAGGAAGGTATCCCGGCTCTGGACAACTTCCTGGACAAATTGTAAAGAGTTCCATCCGTACTACATCATTGGAAACATCTGGCCAACTCAGTGTTGACTTCTCTGAACTATTTAGCAAATTTAACATCGCCAGATTGGACATGGTGATGTATTGTAGCCCTGCGGTGAGATTCACTGTAAAAAGAAATGGACATAGTGGTGTAAATTAAAAACTGAAGGTTTACCTCATAACCGGGTTTCTCTTTATTGCATTGAGGCCCATCTTGTGCCATGCTTAGCTATACATTTCATTCATTTTCATTCAGTTGTTGCCGGGTCTGATATCTGTCAGTACTCAAATCTGTCAGTACTCAAGTCTAAACATATTGTGCTTGATTTACGTGGCGCATTCCAGTCCAGGGCTTTCATTGTGGGCACTTTAAGAAAGAAACACTATCCTGGTATAACATGCACACCGTGCATTTTTAGTGCAAAATAATTGTTGTAAAGAGTAATTGAGAATGCAGGAGTTTGCAGCACAATGGAAGTGATTTGCTTGTGACTTACCTAGCCTTGCGAGAGACAAAAAAATGCAGTAGGTTGTATTGGTATCTGAATAATAAACTTTATATGATTGCAATTGTGTACTCCGCTGTCAGTTTTGCCTAACTTTTTTTGGCATCTATTGGGGATTTACTTTCGGATATGAGTCCCTTTGGTGGTAAAGCTCAAGTAAACATTTCCCTTCAATGTCCCAAATGTCTTTTTAGATGCTGCAAAGTAGAGATTTTGATCTTTCAGCATGTGAGGAAGACTCTCAGCCCTTACTAGGACCTGAATTTGTCCTCTTGTCCCTTCCCCTTTGAGATTTTCCCCTCTATCATGGAAATAAACTGAAGCAAAATATGTTTGGGAGTTACTAGACATCTGATAGGAACTGGGACGCCTGATTACAGCAAGCAGCATGCATCAGTGCTCAGTCCTCTATGTATAAAATGAAATGTCAATAAAAAATTTAAAAAGTAATTTGTCTTATGTAGGAATCTTAATATGAATAGGTTATCCCATACAGTTCTAAATTGCCATGCCATCAATACACTGTGTGTGTATTCGTGCACGCATGCAGATATTTTTTAATATGTTACATGTAGAAATCTGTATGCATCACCATGCTTAAGTGTCTAAATCAGACTGAATTAGTTAGCCCACAACCCTATCAGTTAGGCATTTGGCTTGCAAGGTTAATGGGAACCCAAGTGGGAAACATTCCCAGTGAGCAGTCTTTCCCTCCTAAATTGATGAGTCAGGCTGTCTCGTCTGTCAATGGCAGTGGCTTAGACTACTATGGACTCTAATTATGTTGATGTATATAAAATGTGTGCTTTATGAATGCAGATGTGTAGACGAGAGTGGCCATTACTGCAGAGGAGTTGCTGACTGAACAAATGCTGTCCTGTAGCGCTCTTGTTTCTATATCTTGCAGAGGGAAGTGAGGAATCTGGGGTTGTTGTAAAATTTAGATGAATATTTCGGCACAGAGTAGTGTATGTTTGGAGCGCTTAGGAAGGAATAAGCTTGAAGGGCCTGCCCCCCTCTGCCCTTTGTTTCATTCTTTTTGGTTTAAATAACTGGTAGAGTTCCCGAGCCAAGGTGAGTAGTATGTATCAGCAACTGAAGGAGCCAAACTCTTGGCTTTGCCCGTTAGCCTGCAATTCTACAGGTTTTCATATATATGTGTTGCGTTTGTTTTTGCAATTTAAATGGCAGTCATTGCATATATTGACCTGCTCGGGTCAATTTGGCAATTAAATGGTTTGTGGCTCAGTTATACATTACTTGAATCTGCCACTCGTATATATCTCTTAGATTGTAAATTTCAGGCCAAAAAGACCGGTGATATTTCTAGTCTACTTGCTCTAATCCCTTCCTTACAGATGCATTTGAGCTTCCTTTTAATTGCATGGATGCTTTCTACTTCAGCCATAACTTCCAGCATTTGAGTTTCACATTATCACAGCTCTTTGTACAAGGTTGGTTGTACTAAACTCTCGTTTAGATCTGCAGGTGGCTCCCTTGACACTTATGCCCCTTGTTATGGACTAGCCAATAATAATAACAACAATAAATGAAAACAGCATATTTTAAGTCCTTAAATCTTATTGAACTCCTTCATGATTTAAACATGCCATCAGGCACCTTCTCAAATGCCTCGCCTCCACAGAAAACGCTGCAACTCGTCCAGTCTTACCTTTTTAGGTAGGCAAATTCTCCTCAATGTAAACCAGAGTGTTCTGAATAAAATTGATAAGGCAAAGGAGTGCGGCTCTCTGCAGTTCTGCCATCACACTTTGAGATGGAACAAAGGGGAACTTACTGCTGGGACACATTCTGCCTGAGAAGCTGAGAACTCTGCACAAGACATGTATTTGATGTGAAACCTGCCCGTCAGCTGGATGGTAAAAATCTCATGACACTTCCCGAATACAGTTGGTCGCTCACTCCACAGCCGTTTGTGGGACGTTGATAATAATAATAATCCTCGCATTTGATATAGCGCTTTTCACGTCGGGAGGACGTCCCAAAGCGCTTCACAGAACACACTGTAAAGTGAATTGACTGTATATTTGTGGGCGAATGCGGCAGCCAATTGCGCACAGCAATGTCCCACAAACAGTCGTGGATTGAAAATGACCAATTTATTATTGTTTTTGGTTTTGGGATTATTATTATGTAATGCGTGCAGTCGTGCTGTGGCGCTTACACCGTCGCTCCATTTCACGGTAATTGCTGCGAAGCGCTTCGACATATCCTTCTGACATGATACGGCGCTGTATCAAATGCAAGGATTATTATTAAGACAAAAGCGTGTGGAGTCCCGTAGCTCAGTGGTTAGAGCACTCGCTTTGCAAGCGAGACACCTGAGTTCAATTCCAGGCAGAGGGCCAAACCTTGGGCAAGTTTCCTTACTCCACACAGAGCCTAATAATAATCCCTCCAAAACCAAAACAATAATAAATTGGTCATTTTCAATCTACGACTGTTTGTGGGACATTGCTGTGCGCAATTGGCTGCCGCGTTCGCCCACAAATATACAGTCAATTCACTTTACAGTGTGTTCTGTGAAGCGCTTTGGGACGTCCTCCCGACGTGAAAAGCGCTATATCAAATGCAAGGATTAGGATTATTATTATTAAAAGGCACTTGACCAGGTGCTGTGAGAGTGATTGACACCACAGCCTAAGATCAGCCCCACCCACCCAGTGAGGGGGCGGGCCTGAGGGGCAGCGCACGACGTCATCGGGCTGATGGGCGTGAGGCGCGGCCAATCAGGAGCGCCCGGTCTGGGATCGGGGCTGGGAGCCAATCAGGAGCGGGCCCGCTGGCCGTGGGGGCGGGCACGAGGACGCGGTGACGTCAGTTCCTGTCCGGCCGGCACAGGCGATGGAGCTGAGATGGCGGGTGAGTGAGTGTTGGCGGTTCGGGGGCAGTTTCGGTTAAAGCGTTCAAACTCCCCCCTCCACACACACACACAGCCGCCCCCTGGGCCTCGGGGGGGCTCAGAGACATCAGGGAGGCTTCAGGGCAACTCCCAGTCTCCTGGCGGGCAATACCCTCGTCAGCATCGGGTGAGGCGGGAGGGGGGGAGGCAAGGGAGGAAGAGGAAGGTGGGAGGGGATGGGAAAGGCAAAGGAGGGAGATGAAGGTGGGAGGGGAAAGGCAAGGGAGGAAGAGGAAGGTGGAGGGGAGGGGAAAGGCAAGGGAGGAAGAGGAAGGTGGGAGGGGAAAGGCAAGGGAGGAAGAGGAAGGTGGGAGGGGAAAGGCAAGGGAGGGAGATGAAGGTGGGAGGGAGGGGAAAGGCAAGGGAGGAAGATGAAGGTGGGAGGGAGGGGAAAGGCAAGGGAGGAAGATGAAGGTGGGAGGGGAGGGGAAAGGCAAGGGAGGAAGATGAAGGTGGGAGGGGAGGGGAAAGGCAAGGGAGGAAGATGAAGGTGGGAGGGGAGGGAGGGGAAAGGCAAGGGAGGAAGATGAAGGTGGGAGGGGAGGGAGGGGAAAGGCAAGGGAGGAAGATGAAGGTGGGAGGGGAGGGAGGGGAAAGGCAAGGGAGGAAGATGAAGGTGGGAGGGGAGGGAGGGGAAAGGCAAAGGAGGAAGAGGAAGGTGGGAGGGGAGGGAGGGGAAAGGCAAGGGAGGAAGATGAAGGAGGGAAGGAGGGTAAAGGCAAGGGAGGAAGATGAAGGTGGGAGGGAGGGGAAAGGCAAGGGAGGAAGATGAAGGAGGGAAGGAGGGTAAAGGCAAGGGAGGAAGATGAAGGTGGGAGGGGAGGGAGGGGAAAGGCAAGGGAGGAAGAGGAAGGTGGGAGGGAGGGGAAAGGCAAGGGAGGAAGATGAAGGAGGGAGGGAAGGAGGGGAAAGGCAAGGGAGGGAGATGAAGGTGGGAGGGGAGGGAGGGGAAAGGCAAAGGAGGAAGATGAAGGTGGGAGGGAGGGAGGGGAAAGGCAAAGGAGGGAGATGAAGGTGGGAGGGAGGGAGGGAGGGGAAAGGCAAGGGAGGGAGATGAAGGTGGGAGGGAGGGAGGGAGGGGAAAGGCAGGGGGAGTGGCTCTTGTGTTTTTACATACCTGCCCGGGCATTGCTGAAACAAAGCTTTCTAAGACAGTGCAGAGGTCGGTCGGGGCTTCTTTCCTGTGGACATGTTGCCTTTCCAGTTGGACGTTAAACACGGTTGATTTTTAATGTGGGGACATGTCATTTCGTTGCTCTGTGTTGAAGCTGCTTCTGGTGGGAGAGAGATGATGGCCCACTTGTGTCGGTGTTCTTTTGATTGTAAATTGTTTTGTGTGTGTGTATTGTAAGGGCCCGGGAGCTCAGACACCCTTCGCGAGAAACGGTGAGCCTTGCCATCCTGACTGTGGTCCATCTTCATCCAAATTTCCCCCCAAATTCAACTCATCACTCCTCTCGTATTGTTTATAGGTTGTTAACTGGTACATATTAGTTGCTGGGTTTCTCTTCATAATTATTAATCTGATTCTGTAAAATTCTAAGACAATTTTTGGCGTGAAAGCTCCTTTATAAGCATATTGTGTGATGGTGAGGAGAGAGAACTCTTGTTGCTTGCTGTGGGAGATTGGGGCAGCAGCAGAGATCTCTCTCAGTTTGGATGTGGAGCCCAAGTATTCATTTCCTACCAAGAGCTGTGAATTGATCCAGGTATCAGAAGGAGATCTGGGCCACATCAGAGTTTAGTTATGCTTTTGTTTATCATTTTGGATGTTGTGCCGCACAGCTTTCAGCAGTAGACGATAGGAAGTCAGAGTAAGTTTTACACTGCCACTCCAGTTCTCTGGTGGGGTGAGGGCAGGAGGCAGGGGTGATTGTTGAGAAGAACTTTGTGCTCGTGGGGTCGAGTTGCATTTCTCCTAATTAGTGTTAGTTTTTTTTTCCCATTGAGGCACACATTTCTGTTACTACACCATAGAATGAATGGTTAAAGGATCGTGTCTGAATGGAGTTTGAATTGATCATATCACTTGAGTTTCTATTGCAGCGGTCAGTCACTTGGGCACGGTCCAATCTCAGTACTTGTAGCTAATGGAGAAGATGGAATAAGAGGGGAGAAGTTGGGAGGGAGAAAATATATTAGGCGTCACAAGTAAGTGGTCAGCAAATCTGCTGATAGATCTTTCAGATGTGTAATCTTTAATTTTCAATTGGATCAGAATTTTAACATCACAGCTGTCAGAACCCGAAACCGCTTTGGGGCAAAAGGTTTGGCTCATGATTGGGTGTGGCTGTGACTGACGTGGCCTTGGAATGCATCTATGACAAATATTCTCTTGAACGGAGTGTTCGATGCATATAGAAACCAGTAATTAGAAGGTAAAATAATCTCCGCCTTCATGAAATATGAACAGTTCATTAAAATGAGGTGACGTGCCTCCTCAGATACAGCCCAACATGGAGCTGAACTTGTACAAAAATTAGGCCATGAGTTCATTTACTGAATATTACATTGAAATGTAGCTAAACCGTTGATTTTCCTTGTGACAATTTACATTTATATTGTGCTTTCATGTGGGGAAGATGTCTCAAAGTGTTTCACACAGCTGAGTTGGATGAGCTTTGGGGGTGTGGCGTAGACTCTGGGCCAAAGGTATAGGTCTAAGGGCGTGTTTTGAAGGTATCGGAGGAAAAGAGCAAAGTGGACGGATTCTGGGGTGGAGTTCCAGAGAACAGGGATAGAATGGCTGAAGCTTTGCCCACTGATGGTGTGGCAGATCAGGACCTGAAGCAGACCAGTACATGCTGAGCAGGAGAACCAGCTGGGGCAGAAGGGTGACATGAGGATGGAGCAAGGCCACAGAGACATTTGAAAGTGGAGATGAGGACCTTGAATTCGATCCAATGGGGCACGTGGAGCTGAGTGAGGATGCAGATGATGAGATTGTGTGTGTGTATGTGAGAGAGAGAGAGCTATGATGTAATTGGGTTAGTTTTAACTTTTGAAAATTCTCTTTTTTTTAACAAAACAATGAATTTTCCTTAAACAGTCTGTACCCACCGAACTGCTTGCAAAACCTTGCACAAGTTGTATTTTACCTGGATGTTTAGACATTCTTGTCACAGATCATTTATATGCTGGTATGTGATACCCAGAAACTGGATATGCAACATACCTTAGGTACAATATACTCTGCAGAGATTCTGTAGGCTGTACACAGCAGGCACTCGGATCTGCAGTCTGGGAAATGAAGATCATACTACTGGATTTTCAAGGCTTTTAATAATAATAATTCGCATTTGATATAGCGCCTTATCACATCTTCAAGACGTCTCAAAGAGCTTCACAGAATATACTGTCAAGTGACTTGACTGTGTATTTTGTACAGACTATATGAGGCGGCTAAATTGTGCAGATTCATTGCCTGGAATCAGTTTGAATATTGACCCAGTGGACCAATATGTTCTTTTCAGCCTCTCTCTCGCTCATTGCCTCTTGCTCTTGAGTGACCTTATTTTCACAAGTCGCATCTAACAAAAGCTGAGGTGTGGCGGGCTTGGTGCAGTGAACATGTTTATGTTGGTTAGCATCATTAACCCATCTTGATATCCAATGGATATTTCCAATGATGTTCCAATGACATTTATTTCCAATGATGTGGTGCGTCCCTGCTGCGCAAGAGAAGAGAATAACTCGGTACTTTGCTGGAAGCTCATAACATAACATGTAGGAGCAGGAGTAGGCCCTTCGGCCCGTTGAGCCTGCCCCGCCATTCAATCATGGCTGATCTTCTAATCTAACTCCAGCTAATAACCTAACCCTGTCTTATCCCCATATCCCTTAATCTCTTTTGCATTAAGTTATATATAATAACACTGTACGGGTTGGATAATCTATGCTCTGCATTTGTTTAGGAAATGCTGAGTATATTTGATCAATCAGTAACTTGGGAGTGTTAAGTTAGATATATTTTCATGCAGTGCATTGTTAGAACATGTGGTCCTTCACCACAAGTGGTTACAGAAGATAAGAGCATAGCAATGTATAAAAGGAAACTGGATAAATATTTGCAGAGGAGCAAAATAAATAGATATACGGAAAGAACAGGGAATTGGGATTAAAGTGGGTGGAGGAGCTAGTGCAAGCATAGGACAAATAAGCCTTGTATGGGATGGTCTAAGTGGCTTCCTGTGTTGTAATTTCTATGCTGTAAATTTTGTGCTGTGCATTCATGAACCTCACTTATAGTTATATTAGGCATTGCATGCTCAACGAATTAGATATTGACCGCAGCAGGGAACTGGAGGCAGCAACCAGGGTTACCGTGAATACTCTCCATGCTTTTGCTGCATAGTTTGGTACCTTCCAGCACCCCGTCTCTGGAGCCTCAGGCATATTCTGTGTACAGTTGATTTCCCTCAGAACCACCCAAAAACAATTCTACCAACAAAAGAGTCTCAATTTTATTCTTCAGTTTATCACATCCAATTTTTTTGTAAAACGTTCCCCCCACTGGCCTCTTTACTCCTGGTCTGGCCTCCTCTTGCGAGGGTGCTGCACTGGATACCTGTTGCACGCCCAAATGGTTGGTTGTTCATGTGTGAGACTTGGCGGTGAGTGTTGGAAAGGCCTTTCGACGAGAAGGAGTCACGGCCATGTCCTGACCTCTGGCACAGCCAATAAACGGTGCAGGAATCTCGAAGACTTGATAAAGCGCTGTATCAAATGCAAGGATTGTTATTGTTCTACCCCCACCGCCCTGGTCTTCCCCCCTCCCACCCCCAGCCATGGCTGAGCCCAGCAAACTTGTTTTGAGTCGGTAATTGGTTAATAAGTGACTTGCAGCTCAGCATCGTGGAAAAAAAAATGGTATGCGATGGGAGTGAGTTCACGAAACAAAGCAGACTTTAGTGAAACTGCAGACAGTTAACACAGTGAACACAGGAGATAAAAGGGTGTAAGATCACTTTGCACCAATAGGGCACACGCTGCAGCTTAAGATATAAAAGCCCCTCGAGTCAAAGCGTGTGCTGGTGACAGGAATGCGGTGGTGAAGAAATGAGTGGGGGAGGTGTTGGTCTCAAGTGAGCTGGTTTGAATCGTGCTCTGTTCAGCGATGTGGTTTGTTAAATGGAAGAGCTTGAGGAGGGCCCCCCTGATGACTGAGTGGTTATACGCTCGTTCCTCTGACGCATGCTCACAGTTTTGTCTCGCAACCCCAGGCTTGACACCTTCATTCAGTCTGTTCTGCTCTTTGCAGTGCTCAGTTTACGGTCTCTCAGCCTCTTAAAAGTATACCTCCCTCTGAAGTTGAGGTATGTAAAGGTTTTCTAAGTAAGTTATGTAAAAAATGTTTTTCTACTACGGTACTTTGTGTCGGAGTGTATTTCTCTTTGTTTCTCAGCCTGAGTTACGTTGTTTCGTCTGTTTCTCGTCCAGATTGACTGCTGAAATGGGAGGAATTCTCTTGGGGAAAGCTGCGTGAGTTGATATTTTTTCTAACCTGGAGAAGCTACTGGATCTAACTCAAGCCATGGCAGTTTTCAAGCAAGACAATGTGGAGAAGTATTATGAGATGGGCGAAGAGCTGGGCAGGTGAGATAACATGGCTTAATTATAGACCTCTCTTCTCTGTCTTTGTAGATCAGTAATAGTGATATTGTCTTCTAGAAATACTCGTGAAAATGTATGAAGATGTTTATGTCTGTCCAGTGCCTTGGGGATGTCCTCCCGTCGTGAAAGGCGCTATACAAATGTAATTTTGTTTTGTTTGTTTGTATGTCATTGGTTTAGCATGTGCAATTAAATCAGGAAACATTTGTCCTTATAAATGTAATCAAATATAAAATGTGATATCTTCCTCGAGACCCGATCAAGATGGGGTGTGGTTCTGTATGGGGGGTGTCAATCACCCAGAACCTTTTCAAAGAGGATATTGCAGTCTTGGAGAGTGTGTGGCAGCAAACTATTGAACCAGAGACATAGAGGGCATCCCGGCTGAACCTCAGCATGTGTCCAGCTGATGACTGCACTGTCCTTTGCGGGCTGATTGTGGCACTCGCATCACATTCAGCACAGGCTGAAGAGGTGTGATTGCTTTAATAATGTACAAACTACCGACTGTGACACGCACACATCTGGACCTACAGACGTGAAGCTTGGTTTAGGAAAGGTCTGATATATAACGTGAGCATCAACCTCACTTGGGCAAATGTATAATGAACCGCAAATGTGTTGTTGCCTAGAACTGCCCTCATCTGTCAAGTTCACTAACACACCATGCGTTCCAATTTAACCCCGATAGACAGATCCGCAGGCTGATGCGCTTTTGCGGTAATACGGTCTATTCATTGTTTGTGGACTGTGTTTGTTTTGATGAGCTAGCTACTAAGTACAATAGCTTGACTGCACTTAAGATGTCTTAAGTATCTACAGTGTTAAATTTCATACTGAAACAGCTGTCTTGTTAATTCAATAGATGATTGGCATTCTTCCAATCTCGTCGTCATTGCCAGCCAACAGAGGTCTTGCCCGTTTTACCAGCTTCTAGTTTCAGGCTAGCTCTGTGAAATTATTCGAGTCTCGGCCATTCTTAGTCAATGAGTCATTCATTGCATTGTCGACTGAAAACCGACCAGTGCCTTTATAAGGACAAATGTTTCCTGCAGGATGTGTTTACTGTGATTACATTGCACATGCTAAAGTAATGACACACATAAACATCTTCACATAGTTTCAGGGGGATTTTTAGAAAACAAAAATGCAATTCCCAAACTACACATTCTTTAAATACTCCCATCCTCCTCTCTACCTAACCCCAGCTCTCCCTCCCCCCCACCCCCCGATGTTTGCCCTGTTATTTGTATTGCATGTTTAGTCCTGTTCAGGGTTATTTGGATTTTAGCTGCCTCCTTCCTTACTGTTGTGTGGTAGGATTTTTCTATGGGAGGAGAGAGTGCCTTGAATCACATATTTTGCTCTTAAACCATCATGAAACAAGGCCGGTGTATTTTGAATGTAAAGTGGGATTTGTAAGAAGATTAATGCACAGACGACCGACTAACACATCTGGACCTGCAGGCGTCCAGCTTGGGTTTGGAAGGGACTGAAAAATCACCTCAGTCAGTCGAATGTGTAAGAAGACACAAATATATTGTTGCCTGTTGGGGTGGTTGGAAAACGCTGAACTGCTTTAACTGTAAGGCTTTCTTTGTACAGGACCTTCTTTACGTGGATATTTTCTGTCCCTCAACTGTCACAGAATCTTACAACACAGAAGGAGGCCATTTGGCCCATCGTGGCTGTGGTGGCTCTTTGAAAGAGCTGCCAACTAGTGTCACCACGTCCCATTTTACCCCACATCCCTGCAAATTTTTGCTTTTCAAGTACATATCCAATTCTGTTTTGAAAGCTACGATCAAACTGCTTCCACCGCCGTTTTGGGCAGTGCATTCCAGGTGGCTTTATGGGGACAAATGTATCCGTTAATTACAGTGACTGTAAGTCTTTGCTGTTTAACGGTGTGTGTGTATCTCTCTCTCTCTCTCAGTGGCCAGTTTGCTATTGTGAGGAAATGCCTGGAGAAAAGCACGAGGGTCGAGTATGCGGCCAAGTTCATCAAGAAGCGACGCCTATCGTCCAGCCGACGTGGGGTGAGTCTGGAGGAGATCGAGCGGGAGGTGAACATCCTGCGGGAAATCCAGCACCCCAACATCATCACCCTGCACGACATCTTCGAGAACAAGACTGACGTGATCCTCATCCTCGAGCTGGTGTCGGGAGGCGAGCTCTTCGATTTCCTGGCGGAGAAGGAGTCGCTGACTGAGGAGGAGGCCACTGAGTTTCTCAAGCAAATCTTGGACGGGGTTCACTACCTGCATTCAAAGAAAATCGCTCACTTTGACCTGAAGGTACAGAGCTTTCAGACATCTTCACACAGTTCATTCAGTGGTTTCAGGTTTCCTCAATTAGTTGCAGATCAATTGGGGAAACCCAGATAGGGCATTTGTCCACAGAATACACAGTCAATTCACTTTATAGCGTACTCTGTGAAGTGTTTTGAGATGTCTCTATGATGTGATGAGGCGCTCTATCAAATGCCAGGGTTGTTGTTGTTATTATTATTATAATCCATGCACCAATTGCCCAGATACTTGCAGCCTTTCCGTGTCTGAGTTCTTTGTTTTCCTTTCTCAGCCTGAAAACATCATGCTCCTGGACAAAAACGTGCCCAATCCTCGCATCAAGCTGATCGATTTCGGCATTGCGCACAAAATCGAGGATGGGAACGAGTTTAAGAACATCTTCGGAACCCCAGAGTTTGTGGGTGAGTATACAGCCGTAATTTGTTTGTTCTCCAAGTAACTTGCAGAGGGAAGAAAGGGAGGAAAGCGGGAAAATTGATTGATTGAATCAGTCTTTCAAGGAACCCGCGCATGCATGATGCGCTGTAATTTCGGATTGTCCTAAGGTGTTTTATTGCACTGGTTTTCTCCGATTATGAAGCGTGTGCTTCAGTGTTCATGCAATGCCATCACTCTGAGACTAAGAGAAAGGCTGCGTAAGATCAAGGTCTGTTCTGTGTTAGTCTCCATCATTCGTTGCTGACTTGCTCTCGGGCTCCTCACCAAGTGGCTGTTTATTTTGTAAGCCTGGACTGTGCGCTTGATGCAGCGCTTTGCATTAAGCAGCATTCAACTTAACAGCTGCATTGTTCTCTTCAGCTCAGAACAATAAAACATGTTTGGGAGAGAATAGCAGACTGACCGCCACCCCCCCCTTTCTCTTTTCCTTTCAGCTCCCGAAATAGTGAACTATGAACCCCTTGGCTTGGAAGCAGACATGTGGTAAGTGGGCACAGCCATTGCTGCGGTCTTTAACCCCATTCACCGCCACAGCACGAGTCTATGTTTGAACAGGATACTCTCCAGAGAACATTGGCTCAGATTGTGTTTCTATTCAAACAATCAGTTTAATGTCCTCTTGTTGCTGTTTCTGGGCAACTTACATGTCAATTGAAGCAACCTTGAGTTATACCCGGGTCATGCTGACACGCTGACCAGTGTAATAAGTTATGGTTTACGTGAATTTCACCACTCTTCCTTTCCATTCTATTTCAGGAGTATTGGTGTGATTACCTATATTCTGTAAGTATGAGCTTGATATTTAATATTCCTGTTATCTTTTATAGGGTGTTGTAACTAAACTGTATTCATCGTTTGTTTGTTGCTAATTTGTCTGGCTCGATCTTAAGGTTTGCCTCGTTCTCAACTACTTTGCTCGTCCTATCACGATCATTGAGTCAGGAGGTTCTAGTTTGAAACCACAGTCGAGACTCGGCAACAATGGTGTGCAAGTGGAGCATTTTGTTCCTCCCTGTGATAATTGGTTTGCATTGTGCTGCAACAGTGCACACGTGCCTTCAATGCATTATTTCCCCAAATGTTGTTATGGATTGAGACAAACTCAATCGCACTTCAAACTTGTTTCTCTCCCCTGCTCCAACTCCTTCATTCCTGGTTAATTTTTCTTCCACAGGGCTATAGTTCTGTGGGCACAAGTTCACCCTCCTGTACCTCGTCCATAACCCGTGCTACTGAGCCCAATAGTAAACTCCTCGGCTTCACTACACATCACACATTGGACCTGGGCCCTTTTTGGTCTGTGCAGCTCAGAGAGTAAACGCATGTGAAAATCCTCTTCAGAAACCAATTTGGCGCATCTCATTCAGATAATTTGAGTCAAAGATCTAATGTTGGACCATCACTGGGCTAGAGATTTTTTTTTGGTGCCATAGAATCGAGCTGTTTCTGGGGATTTTCTTCCCACATTAACCTACTTGCACCATCTTTGCTGCTGAGAGGCGTTTTAATGATGAGAATTTCTTCTTCCCCATCCCCTCAACAGGTTGAGTGGCGCTTCACCATTTCTGGGTGAAACGAAACAAGAAACGTTGACAAACATTTCTGGCGTGAACTACGATTTTGATGAGGAATATTTCATCAACACCAGCGAGCTGGCCAAGGACTTCATCCGCAGACTCCTCGTCAAAGACCCGAAGTAAGCAAACAACAACAGATTACATTTGTGTGTGGGCAGTCAGGTATCTGCACTAGAGTTGGTGGTTGGGATCAGGAGGGGTGGAGGGCGGGGAAGGTAGGGGGTAGGAAGGTGACTGAAGGCACGGTCGCATTTGGAAAACTTAACTGTCCATTGAACAGTATATAATAATAATAATAATAATACTACTACTACTAATGCTTGCATTTGGTATAAAGCTTTACCATCACCCCCCGGGGGGTGGGGAGTAGAGGTGACCGCGGACACCGTTTAAAAATAAAGGAAGATCGGAGGAGAAAGCAAACGCAAGAATAGGTATCCTGGAATTGTTTTATGGTCTTTCCCTGTACGGTTTCAAGACTAATTCTTCATTCTTTTGCAATTGTAGGAAGAGAATGACCATCGATGACAGTTTGCAGCACCCGTGGATTAAGGTAATTTTATTTATGCATTATACTGAAGTCCTACATTAGTCCAGTACGCTAGCTGTAATTCATTTGTGGAACATGCATAACATCTGTGTAACACCTTGGTAATGCCCATGAAGGTATGAGAGGGGGAAGGGACAAGGGTTTTCTCGTCGTGGGGAAAGACTTTCCCTAGGCTGAGATTATGAAGTTAACGGAGCAGTGTGCAATGGGCTTTGGTTTCTGTAATGTCCCCATTGTGACTTCCAAAGGCTCCACCATTATTATCGAATCCTACAGTACAGAAGGAGGCCTCTCGGGCCATCGTGCTTTTGACGGCTTTTTGAAAGAGTTACCAATCAGTCCCACTTCCCCGCAGTTTCCCTGTAGCCTTGCACATTTTTTTCTTTACAAGTAAATATCCAATTTCTCTTTTGAAAGAGAATTGGACAGTTACTTGTTGGTCACTATCTGTACCAAACAGGGTCTGGTTTTAATGCTGGTCAGTCTCTAATGTCACTGTCAATGCTAAGATTGTTTAAAACCTTTTTGACAGAATTGCAGCTCATTCCTTTCATCTGCACTCTTCTCTACAGGTGATCAAGCGAAGGAATGTCAGAAAGGAAGATCAAGGGAGGAAGACTGAGCGGCGTAGACTGAAGACGACACGTCTGAAAGAGTACACGATCAAGTCGCACTCGAGCATGCCTCCAAACAACACCTACGTCAATTTCGAGAGGTTCTCGAAGGTCCTGGAGGAAATCAACGCCGTGGAAGACAGCATTCAGGAGCTGGTGAGAAACAAGAAATCTTTCAAGGAGGACATCGACGCGCTCATTTCAATCTACGACGAGAAAGAGTCCTGGTACAAGGAGGAGAATGACAGCATCAGTCAGGACCTGGGGCAGATCAAGAGCGAGATGCGCAAGACAGAAACTCTGCGAAAACAGGCCCAGGACGAGGTTAAATCGACCATGCTCTCCACCAACATCCTCAAGAGGAAGTACTCCAAACTGGAGACCCGTTACGATGCGTTAGCCGCAGAACTGAAGTGGGTGGAGGAGCTCCTCAAGTCTGTGGAGCAGGAGCGAATGCAGGGAGGGGTTGCTGACGATGGCCGATTTGGGGGGATATGTTAGTTCCCATTGTATGGAAATCCGTGTTCGACCCCGGGAAGCCTTACTGAACTTCCTGGGATCCTTTTTAGCCATTGTCTTAACTGTGTCCAACTTGCAAGTTTCCCAACCGCGTACTTGTGATGTTTTGGGGGTTTCTTGCCAAAAATGCCACTGAAATTCCAATCTTAAAAAGCCTCTCCTTGAGTAAAATACCCTTCCCAATGGACCAAATATTCCACTGCCCACAGTCGTGCTCTATATCTCTGCTTCCCCCTCCTTACACTTAACAACCATTGAGTTTCTGAGGAGCCTGGCTCTGTTTGAGGTGAACATCTCGATGGTTTGAAGATTCGTTCCAAATCGCACCGTTTGCCGAGGGGTCCCCTTTAATATGTGATACTAGGATCGGGCATTTTATTTTCAAAGAGGAAGCTTCTAACAAAACATAGGATTTTCAAAAGAAAACACAAAAGTCTCAGCTTTTAAGCTACTGTTAGGATCTGACCATTTTTACTCTTGCTGCGATGCCAATATTTCAGCCATCAGTGTCGAGCTGATGGGTGGGTTGCTCTGATTCGGGTGGGAGGGTCAAGAGCTCAATTGACAGATACCGAGAAACCAGAGCTCAACCCTGTGCAATTCACTTCACGTCAAATGATTTCGTATGAGATCAGATGAGCATTTTCTTTGCTTAAACTTCACAGGGTGCATTCAGTAGCAAGAGGTATAAAATGGTCAAAGGACAACGTTTGGTATATTGTGAAATGCAAGGATGATTATGTTACCCGCCCTATCTTAACTTAGGATGTGCAACTAAAATGGCATCAATCGTATTGCTCAGCATTAAGTGCAGTCAGAATGGCTTCATTTGTCCTTTTAGTGAGGTTCCCTCGTAAGTGAATGCTTCTCCTCAGTGTCTTTCGCGTGACAATTCGGCACATGCAATATTACCTTTCGAAAGCGCTGCTTGCAATTCTTGCAATTGATCAAACTTGATAGAATTGATCTCAATTATTTGACGCCTAACCTGCAAAACCAGACCTTGTGTCATGGTGTTTCCCTGAGAGGAGAGAGTATCAAATGAACCCATTCCAGCTTCGATTCAGCTTGTTTTTTTATATAGTTTATTTTGCCTGGTGGGTGGGTGGCGGGGAGAAGGGGAGGTGGAGATTGGAAATGCAATATGAAACGTTTTTAACGAGTCCCTTCACAAACCCTTGGGTGAACAGCATTCTTTTACGTTTGTACTCTCGACGTGCTGTGAGCTCAGCACCTCAAGCTCCGTGGCAAAATTTTGGCGCTGGCAAAATTAAATGGTGCTGTTTTTATTACTGTTGTGTTAGCGAATCAACCCCGTTTATTTAAACATGTGCACATAGGGGTTTGCTGTGCGTGTTAGACATTGCAATCACATGCACCGATTTTTAAGGTTGATCTTTTTAACAGGTTTAACATGTTAAAAGATTAGGATGGGATAAACCTTAAACACATTAAGATTGTGAATTGGGCTGCTTGTTTACATGGACACCTCAAACACTAGCTTTAATCACCATCAGTGTGAGATTTATTATCTGACACTCTCTCACCCCCCCTCTCCCCCTCCCCCCCCCCCCCCCCACAGTTAGTTGTATGGGAAATTCAGACAGTAGTCGCTCTTGCTAAGACACTTCATTCCCCTGCTTTGTAAAAAAAAATTGAACCATTTCGAACAGACTTGTGAGTCACTAGTACTCGACTGTCTTGCTATCCATAATGGAGCTTGAACTCAACAACAACAACAACTTGTGTTTATATAGTGCCCCTCACTCAGGGTAGCGTTCCAGAGCGCTTGACAGTGGCGGAGCACAATGCTGGGGCTCAAAGCGCTCTGGGAAGCAACCCTGCGTGAGGGACGCTATATAAATGCAAGTTGATGTTGTTGGACTGAAGTGAAATGATTTCCCAGTTCTCACTCCTTGTGAGGCTGGACTGTATCCTCTATTTAGTCATGTGTGTTGAAGGATCATGTACATACATGGTGTATGGGTGATGGGGCATTGCATAAACTTTTCCAAACTCAGACCATAGCATGGCTATAGATCCCAACACACTGTAGCTTTTAGCCCTTTTGCATTCGCTCTTATCCCATCTCAAGTCTTAACGTATGAATTATATCTTCTGCTAAAGTGACAGTGAACGTGTTTTGATTCAGGCTCTTATTTTTTAAACTGATACACTAAATGCTTCTGAACTGTATTATAAATGCACTGTTTCAGGATGAATGTCATGATTATGGGAACAAAAAATGTATTCGGTCAATTGTACTGTGTGAAGACTTCAGTATAGCACATAGTATGTTTGTGTGTAACCTGATTTAGCAATAATACTGTATAATGCTTTAATATCCATTTATTGCCATCAAAACACTTCTTTAAATGCCATATTTATTATGCTCAAAAAAACTCCACAAATATCTGAAGTCAGCAAATTGTTTTTGTATTTGGAGATTTGAATTTGCCCCGTGAAATGCAAGTGGGATCAATTAATTTATTGTTTGTACAAAACACTGAGAATATTAGGACTTCAACATCAAACTCTAGACCTACAGTAATAGTCGGTAACCAACATCCAGCTGTTTGTTATCATTCCGTTTATCTTCATACCGTAAAGCTTAGGCTGTGTCAATGGTCTGTGCCCAATATTTAAAATTGTGCAGTTGAACTTGTATCTGATCATTATTGACCACTGTTTGGTCTAATTGCTTACAGTACTGATCGTGTCTTAAGTGCTGTTCATTAACATGTATAGGACCTGTATCAGAACCTTTTGGTTATTCTCAAGCCAGAATAATGACTTGGGACCATTTGCTTGAAGGGGGAGATTGGGTCAGACTGGAATTAACCTCCTCCATTCCTGGAAGAAATTTAGCAAGGATATTCACTAAATGAACTTCCTCTCTCAGTATGCATTCCACGAACAAATTGGTTTTATGTTAATAAAACGATTCATGTCTTAACGATCCTTTTTTTGTGACAGTTAATTCTGGCCTCACCAGTTCTGACCAGTTGGTTTTTATTTGAAGATGTTTTATTTTCAAAGGAACGGCACAAATTCGAACAGTTATTTGGGAACCCAACACACAGATTGAACTTGGAAAGGAGTTTCCGAGGCTGGTCAACAGCGGTTGAGTTACATTTAGAACAGAAAATGGCATAAGTTGAGAAGAGCTTTAAAAGAAATGGTGTGCAAAAAGTGGACACGCACTACTCCGAGCTGTTGGGTCTCTTGCAATCTTGGGTTTGCCATTGCAAGGTCCTGACATTCCAGTGAACTTAGGTCCTTGTAATTATCTTCCTTGGAGGGGAAGTAAGTGGGAAGTAAGTAACTGTCGGTTGAAGGCTTACACACCAGCACTCCTGCTCGCTGGTTCATTTATAATACCGCAAAACACATTTTGGCTTCCGTAATATTTTACACTCTGCAAACCCCGAGGTTTGCCTGAATTTAGCCCAACGGGAATGTCTCTCCCGGACAGTGCTCCTCACTGAGGAATGGAGACTATCACCTGGGCAGACGTACAATTTTTTTCCAGCCCCATTTCCCTGACGTATGAACCATGTATGCAGGTTCAGGTTGTATGTTCATATGTACGTATCGGATCCCACCACCAAACGTCGGAACGCATTTAGTGGTAGGAATCTGAACCTCGTGCAGCTAAGTTCGTCGGGGATTGTTGTACAAAAACCCGAGCTGTGCAGTTGGAACCTTCTTTAATGTGCTCCGGAATTATTCTTAACGCATGTAAAGCGTATCGCAACGGAAAGACGGGCCTTTTCTGTTCATTGAGGTCGGCGTGTTCCAATGACTGGGCGGTGGTTAGCATCTGGTGTCGATGTGGTTTCACAGTTTGGGCTATTCAGGGGTGACAACATAATGATATACAAAAACATTGCCTGTATTTAAACACCACTCTCTGCTGTATCCTCTCACTTTTTTTTGTAACCGTTTACGTAAGACTGGTTTTATTGTTTGTCTCCCGAGACCAAAGCTCGACAGCCACGTTAACCCGGAGAAAGTATTGACATTTTGTAACCGTGCTGTTTTAAAATGGTCAATGAAAAGGTCTGTTTGATACACTCAACATTTGTAATAAACTTTTTAAAAAAACACTTCAATTGTGTCTTATTTAAATCAAACTGCTTTCGGCCTTCTCCTAATTATGGTTCTCTCACTTGATTCCTCTGTCGTATCTAGTTTGTGTGCGTGTGTTTACGAGTCTCTTTCACCGACAAAATACAACAACTTTGCACTTATACAGCGCCCTCCCAATAAGGCAGCGTCTCAGAGCGCTTAAGACACGACTGTAAACCTTGCAAAACACTTTGAGATGTCTCAATGATGGTATAAGCCGCTCTATCAAATACAAGCATTATAATAATTATTATTATTATTACATCTATCCGTCTATCTCACAGTTCTCTCGCCCATCTTTGAGTTTCACACATATTTTTATCTTATCACTATGGCTTTATATGTTTCTCCACGTGTCATATCCATATAGTCATGGCACACTCAGTTTGGTTTGAATACCCTTAGCATGGTGATGAGTTTCCTCCTGTCTCAGGACATCTGGCTGACCAAAAAAAGTATGTCCCACCCACTCATCAGTGCCATACAAATGCCATACATAAACACACAAGAATTTGCTGGACGAAAGAAAGGCCAAGATCCATCCAGTTCGCCTTCCACCATCTTGGCAGTCGCTTGACATGTCGTGTCTCGTCTCCTGAGATATTATTTTCTAACTGAGAAATTTGGAAACTTTCTACTGTGAGCCATTCCTCCTCTAGAATTCCCCTCTTCCGTCAAGATTTAAACCCCAAACAGAGCGAGCGAGAGTCCTCCTTTTCCAGGACAGTAAAAGCGTTCCCCTGTGATGTACGCGGGAGAATACGACGCAAAATTACGTTTGCGTAGCGCCTTTCACGTGAGGAGGACTTCCCAAAGCGCTGGGACCAACCAGTCCTCACCGGTTAGACCATCTCATCAAAAGCACCTCTAAAATGTGCCGAGACCAGGAGGCAGCAACAGCCCCTAGAGACTGTGAAATAATATAATAATAATAATCCTTCCATGTGATATAGCGCCTTATCACGTCATTGAGACGTCTCAAAGCGCTTCACAGAATATACTGTAAATGTAATGACTGTATATTCGTGGGCGAAACGCGGCAGCCAATTGCGCACAGCAGTGTCCCCAAAAACAGTCGTGGATTAAAGCGACCAAATTATTTTTTTTGAAAAGATTATTACCCCCTATTTAAATAATTATTTAAATATTTATTTATTTAAGTACGATGATATGGGGGGGGAGTAGGAAGGTGTATGGTTTGCTCATTTAAAGCCCCAAATTCCACCTATTCCTGAGCCAGTTTGAGCCATTTTTGCCTTAAAATTTAAACCGGGTGAAGCCGGATCACAATTCTTAATCCCCGCTCCGGTTTCGGAAAACCAGGTTTTCCGCATTTCTTTTTTTTTAGATCAAAATGGCTTCCAAACCGAGACTGAATTTGAGGACCATTCTCCGGGATTTAAAAATGTTAGGACGTGTAATAATAATAATAATAATAATAATAATAATAATCTCTGGGTTTGACACAACGCCTTTGTATTTGTGTTGGTGTTTGATTCCCGGCGTTCGACACAGTGACCTCATCACGTCGCCGCGGGATATGTACGGGTATACAAGTGTAGTGACCGTGTGTTTTGCGGAGGTTTGAGAGCCAGGGAGTAAGCAAGTTGTTATTGTGGGGGTGGAGAGCAAACTCCCCCCACCCCCCCATCCCACTACCCCCCCCATCCCAATAACCCCCCTCTCCATCCCACTAATGCCCCTCCCTATCCCATTAACCCCCCCCTATCCCACTAACGCCCTCTCCCCATCCCACTACCCCCCCCATCCCACTAACCCCCCCCTATCCCACTAACGCCCTCTCCCCATCCCACTACCCCCCCATCCCAATAACACCCCCTCCCCATCCCACTAATCCCCCCTATCCCACTAACCCCCCCTCCCCATCCCACTAACCCCCCCCTATCCCACTAACCCCCCTCCCTATCCCACTAACCCCCCCTCTGCATTCCACTAACCCCCGCTCCCCCTCCCACTAACCCCCCTCCCTATCCCACTAACCCCCCCTCCCCATCCCACTAACCCCCCCCTATCCCACTAACCCCCCTCCCCATCCCACTAACCCCCCCTATCCCACTAACCCCTCTCCCCATCCCACTAACCCCCCTCTGCATTCCACTAACCCCCGCTCCCCCTCCCACTCACCCCCCCTCCCCCTCAACCCCCTCCCCCTCCCACTAACCCCCCCTCCCTATCCCACTAACCCCCTCCCCCCCCCCCCCCCACACCCACACACAGGATGGGGGTGGGGGGGAGTTCCTGTCCCAGTGTGTGCAGCTGTGAGTGTGGCTGAGCGATGGTGGTATAGTGGAGAGCAGAGCTCTCGGGTTCCATTCCCGGCCATCGCAGGTCTTTTTCCCACGTCACAAAGGAACCCACACGGATACATTGTATGCGCCGCCCAACACCGCGCGCCGTCACACGGCAACAAAGTATCCGCTCATTCACTCCCTCACTCACACACTGTCCTCACCCATTCATAAAACAATACAACTCTTTTTTTATTCTCTCTCTATCCCCCCCCACTCCCCCCCCCACTTCTGCGCAAACCCGCAGTAGGAATCAGCAGCTGTTTGCCCCCCCCCCCCCCGCCCCCTGCTGGGCAGCGCCTGTTAATGGCACCGCGAGTGCCTGAGAGTTACTTCACTTCTCCCCACCGACACAGCACTGCGATTCCAGCAAAAAAAAGGACTTGTGTTCAGCAGTTGTGGGCCTGGCCTGGCCTGGTCTGGCTTGGCTTGGCCTGGCCTGGCCTGGTCTGGCTTGGGTTGGCTTGGCTTGGCTTGGCCTGGCTTAGCTTAGCCTGGCCTGGCCTGGCCTGGCATAGCTTGGCATGGCTTGGCCTGGCTTGGCTTGGCTTGGCCTGGCCTGGCTTGGCCTGGCTTGGCCTGGCCTGGCTTGGCTCCAATGTAAGGCAGCGCCCCGGGTTGCGAAATCTTTCACAGATTGATTCGCTACAAGTTTTATTTAAATAAAGAGAATTGCAGCCGATTGCATTTAAAATTGTGTCTTATTTTGTCTGTCTGTCTGACTCAGTTGGTAGCAATCACACCGCTGTGTTAGGAGATTGTGGGCTCCCGTGTTGGGACTTTGAGCTATATATTTGTGGGCGAACGCGGCAGCCAATTGCGCAGAGCAGTGTCCCACAAACAGTCATGGATTGAAAGTGACCAATTTATTATTGTTTTTGGTTTTGGAGGGATTATTATTAGGCTCTGTGTGGAGTAAGGAAACTTGCCCAAGGTTTCGCCCTCTGCCTGGAATTGAACTCAGGTCTCTCACTTGCAAAGCGAGTGTTCTAACCACTGAGCTACAGGACATTGTGGGGTCGTGCCCCGGAGTGCTTGTGACACTAACGTGACGGATGAGAGGTGACCCAGTTACTGGTTGGGTTGCATTGCCTCCTTGCATCATAGCGACCAGACTTATGCGCAGTACTGCACGTAAGGCCTGACCAAACCACTGTAGGCAGATTGCATTATCCAACTTGAATCAGACCTGAAATCAACTGATTTGGAAACATTTGCTCAGCGTCCTGTTTGCGCTGCTTATTGCTGACTCATAATTTTTTGACAGCGTGAGCGATGAGTCAACTGACCAACCCTAGATCTCGTTCAACTTCCCCCTTTAACAGGTTGTGTTCCACGCTGACCACTAAAAGTAATCCTTGCATTTGATTTAGCATAGATCAGGAGGACATCTCAAAGCACTTCAGGGGATGTCATGCATAATGTAGCGGCTGTGTATTCTGTACACAGCCAATTTGCACACAACAGCAACAATTTGCATTTATACAACGCCTCCTCGCGCAGGATAGAGACCCAGAGCGCTTGATGGTGGTGGAGCACGACCCTGAGCCGGGGAGAGGTGGAGGTGACCGTAGGCGCGGTCGAAGAGGAAGGTCTTCAGGCGCGACCTGATGATGGGGAAGAAAGGTGGGGCCGAGGCCGAACAGTTTCCAAGAAACAGTCATGAAGCGAACAATCAATTTTTATTTTGGAGGAGCACGCAAAAACTATCCAAATTGGCTATGATGAGGAAGTGATATTTCATTTCCATATTTATTTAATTTGTGGATCTGTTTCTAAAGAAAGGAACAGACACACGAGCTATTGTGAGCACATCTGAGACTCACATGGTAACATCGGTGCCCCTGCACCTATTAAGCTCTGACCATCTGTTTTTGTTATGGTCCTTGGCTCAGTTTGTTATAACCCCATATTGGCCCTTTTGAGCTCAAAGTGTCTATGTGAACACAGCAACCAATTTGTGTACAGCAAAGTCCCACAAACAGCCACAAAGTGAATTTTATTTGGGGGGCGGGCTGTTGTCCAGGACACCAGGAGAAATTTTTATCAAACAGACCTCAGTTGGTAGAACTCTCGTCTCTGAATTAGAAGGCTGTAGGTTCAAGCCTCACGTCGGGGCTTTGAGCTCACAGAGTGCATCCTGACCCTCCAATGCTGTGCTGGTGGTGTGTTGCATTGTCGGATGTGCAATGTTTTGGATGAGATGTTAAACTGAAGTCCTGACTGCCTTTCCAGGTGAACATTAAACATTTAGACATTAAACAACCCACGGCACTATTGGAAAAGAGAAAGGAGTTTATCTTGGTGTCCTGTCCAACAATCGCCCAAATAAAAACATGAACGTTGCTGTCTACAAATTGGCTACTGCATTTGCCTACAACTACACTTCACAGTAAAATCTTGTGCTTTGAGATGTCTCAATGACATGATAAGGTATTATGTCAAATGCAAGGATTATTGTAAGGAACATAGGAACATTTAATTTTAACATCACATCTCTTTCATACTTTACCAATAATAATAATAATAATAATCCTTGCATTTGATATAGTGCTTTTCACGTCTTCTCGACGTCTCAAAGCGCTTCACAGAATAGACTGTAAAGTGAATTGACAGCATATTTGTGGGCAAAACGCAGCAGCCGATTACGCACAGCAGTGTCCCACAAACAGTCGTGGATTGAAAATGACCAATTTTTTTTTTTTTTTGGGTTTGAAGGGATTATTATTAGGTGTGTGGAGGAAGGAAACTTGCCCAAGGTTTTGCCCTGCCTGGAATTGAACCCAGGTGTCTCATAAAACTGTTACTTTACCAACTATATCATGTGGGGACAGTGGGAGGAAGAATGTGATGAGGTTTTCCCATTCAAACTGATTTGTGAGTCAAAAAGGTTCTCTTTGAGCAATTGACCACACGAGAAACAGAAGTTGTCACAATGATCCATCATATGATTGAATTTCTTAAGATGGAGAGTTTCACTTCTGTCATTATAGCTGAGAAATGAGAACGAGAACACGACACAGGAAAAGAATGGTCAAGATCTTGTTTTGCCCACAAAATATACAGTCAATTCACATTACGGTATATTCTGTGAAGCGCTTTGAGACGTCTCGAAGATGTGATAAGGCGCTGTATCAAATGCAAGGATTATTAATATTACTTGAGTTACAGAGGGCGTCAGTGTTGCCTGAACAAACTTGGCTGTATCATGCTTTGGGCTCAGTTGGTCCACAATTTTGCCTCTGGATCAGAAGATTGTGGGTCCAAGCTCCATGTCTGGATAAAGTTCCATCTCTGCTATCACTCTAACACTGCAGTGGGGGTGGAGGTGTGGGTGGGGGGTTGCTGTCTTTTGGGAGGTGTTTAATCCAAGGACCCGGCTGCCTGGTAAACATCTCACGACACTATTCGAAGAGTAGTTTCTCCTGGTGCCTTAGTCAACACTATGGATAGAATGGCTTTGTGGCCGAACACCTTGCTTGCTGGATGCAAATGGTTGCCGTGTTTCCGTCACTGGATAATAAACTTAAAATGCAATAAAATACACAGTCGATTCGCTTTACAGTGTATTCCGTGCATCGCTTTGAGACGTCTCGAAGACGTGATATATCAAATGCAAGGATTATTATTATTATTATGATGATGATGAATTAACAAATAATCACAAAGCAGGAAGTTACAAATTGGGAGATCTGTCAATACACTGCTGTATTGTACTGTACAAAGCAGTTGCAAAAAGCGGAATTCAAGTCGAAAGAGGAAGTAATGTGTTTTTCATATCTAAGCAAAAAAATCTGAACAGGTCACATGAAGTAATGTCACTGGGTGGAGCCTGATTAAATAAGATCCGTACCATTTCCCGATAGCTTCAGACTAGGGGTTTTTTTTGGTGGCTCTTGTTCATCCAGGAGAGAAGAAGCTGAGAAAGGTAAGGAATAACATGTGAAAAAAAAACCCTCCTATTTGATTCTCAGGGCTCAGAGATGAAAGAATTTGGCGTAAGTTAAAAAGAAAGAATTAACGGTGTAAATCATTAGGTGAGGCAAACATGTCCCCATGTTCCTTCCTGCTCTCACGCCGAGGTACAGAGCAAAAAAAAGTTTTCAAAATTTTGCTAAACTTTTGCTCAAAGTTAAAGGCGAAACGGAGAATGGGAGAGACTTTTACCCCAGAGGGTTTGGAGATCGCTTGTCTCTCCCCGGCACTGACTAAATCCCACGCCTCAGCTGCACGTTGAGAAACTATCACATTGAATACTTTATATACAGTACTTCCTGATCGATACAGAAATGCTAAGGGTAGTTCATTGGGGGGAGGTCAATTACTGTAAATAAAGGTCGAATTTCAAGTGAAACAGAAACATTCTTAGGCTGGTGATTTCCAGAAGTTTCAGTGTCTTGAAGAATGTTTGGTTTCACTTCGAAATTGACACCATCTTTGCAAACTCTTTTATCTGCAGAAATACTGTAATTCGTCCTCTTCAAACACACACACACACACACAACGTCCTCACACGCTGCCTGTTGGATGTCTATCTTGCTTCTTATTTTCTTTGCAGAATTAAGATTGTTCTCCTTCAAGGGAGATTTAATCGAGTTGTTAAAAATTCTGAGGATTTTTGGTCGACTAAATAAGGAGAAACTTTCCTCCAGGTGGGCACAGATTCCAGATAATTGGCAAACAAAAGAACCAGAGGCGAGACGAGGAGATTTCTTTTTACGCAGCGACTTGTTACGATCTAGAATGCACTGCCTGAAAGGGTGGAGGAAGTAGATAATAATAGATAAATAATAAGATAAATAGATAAATAATAACTTTCTAAAGGGCATTGGATAGGTTCTTGTAAATGAAAAAAAATTGCAAGGCTTTGGGGAAGGAACGGGAGAGTGAGACTTGTTTTGAAAGGCGCGATACAAATGTGGTTGTTGTTGTTGTAGTTGGATTTAAAGAGCAGGTACGATGGGCCGAATGGCCTCATTCTGTGCTGAAGGATTCTATTATCTGTAAATGTAAATTACCTTACATTTTCTGGTCACATGATGAACTGTGTGGGCAGGTGCTTGATATAATAATAATCCTTGCATTTGATAATAGTGCCTTATCACATCATTGAGACGACTCAAAGTGCTTCACAGAATATACTGTAAAGTGAATTGACTGGATATTTTATGGGTGAAACGCAACAGTCAGTTGCGCAAGACAGCGTCCTGTGCCAGGCCTCGGAAGATAAGGAGGGGGGACTTCCTAATTAAGAAGGATAAACTGCTCAAAGGAGGTCCCAAGGCCAGTCCCGAATAACATCAATATCAACAAGACAATGGAGACTCACCTTATCAACACCGGTCAGGGCAATGATTGATTAGGATGAGTATGTGCAGGACGAGTTGTGAGAGGGAAGAAGGTATCTGGCAAGAGTCCAGAAAAGGGTATAATTAGCGAAGGGTAAGAAAGAAGTCAGTTAGTCCCAGCTGGCAGGAGGGCGAGCAAGGGAACTGGGCAGCGAAACCAGGGCAAGCACGTGACGACAGCAAAGGAATCTTCTTCCACTTTTGTTACTTACTCTTCTTTACACACTGTTAAGCTCACTGTCTTTTAATAAAATAATTATTGCACCACCTCGGATGGTCGGGTCATATTTCAAACTCTCGGGATCGGAAATCCCAACAGTCCCACAAACAGTCGTGAATTGAGTGACCACATTATTTATTTTTGGAGGGATTTTTACCCCCGGAAAGTGATCCGCCCATCAACTAACAACTGGGTTCCTATTTACTGCTGGATAAACAGAAGCATGTGGCGTATGGAACTTGAATCCACAATTAAGTTCCATAAAATCATCTGAAACAGGCGAAAGCACTATCAGCCTTAGCTTAAGCCAGGCTGATTAAGTTGTGATGCAGAAGGAAGCCTTTGGGTAATAAAGTGGTACGCAGTTGAGAATTGTTACCACAGTAGCGCTGATACAAACTAGAGGAATGGGATAATTGCACAGTACCTTTACCATACCCAGATCACTAAATAAGAGTGTTTTGGTTTTGCTAAGTCTTTGATAAGAGCAAAAAAGACCACTGTGATCCAGCCAGTCCCAAATTTTAAAGAATCTGCACAATTCTACCCCTGTGTCTAAATTTCTCGTCGCTTCCCTTTACAGTCAATCCTGTGAAGCGCTTTGAGACGTCCTCCTGACGTGAAAGGCGTTGTATCAAATTGCGAGGATCATTATTATTCAGTTCCAACTTGAAATTGCTGACCCATCAGTCTTCGTTATCGGGTTTCTTTGTCAGAAAGACGCAGCAAGAGAGTTGCTAAGTTGTTGCTGTCAGTACTGGTGTGCGGGAGATCTTAGAGTCACATCTGTCTGGTGAGAAAAGCAGATCAATTTGGTGAAAGTTCAGGTCAAAGATAGTCCAATACAAATCACTGCTTGTCACGCAGGTGAGAGGAATAATACACAGGTGAGACAGTATCACACAAGTACATGGGTGAGTGCAGTGTCACACAAATACACAGGTGAATGAGCAACACACATGTACACAGGTGAGTGAAGGGAATAGTTCTTGTTCACTGATCCCTTTAAATTTTGATTGATTGACTTTGACGGCATTGTTTTTATTCCGTTAGGTAATTTGCGATGGAGACTTCTCTGGTCAGGGGTTACGTCTTGCTGTCTTTTCTCGCTCTGGCTTTTGCACAGATGTTTGACCCATTGCTCAGCGAGCCCTGGCTGAACTGGAAATCGTATCATGGGAGAGAGTACATGCAGGTAAGTGGCTGAAACAAAGGGATCACAGTCATTTCCGACATCAGGCTGAACAAAGTCTTCTGTGTTACAGTGTGAACATTCCCATTTTACCCTCTCCAAAGGTCTCGAACTGACACAGTGCTTTCCTGTAGGAGAATATCTCAGTGTTTCACAGAGACAGAATGGTAGTCCAAACAGGATGGTTGATATGGGAGGTCGGAGGTGGCAGAAGTTGCAGTCAAAGAGCACAAGGATTTGAAAGCAGAGAAGGAGGGAGGGAGAGAGGGAGGGAGAAAGCAAGGTGGAGGGATTTAGGGAGAGAGTTCCCGAATGTCTGAAAGCTCACCCACTGTTGATGGAGCGGAGGGAACCAGGGACTTGGATCAGGCCTGAGTTGTATGGAGTGAAAAGAACAAAAGGAGGTGGTGGAGGGAATGATGATTGCACGACAACAACAACCACAAATTACATTTCACAGCGGGAGGGGATGTCCCAAGGTGGTGGACATTCAAGGATTTGGACTCAAGCTGGGGGTTGGGATCAGGATGGGTGGAGGGCAAGGAGAGTAGGGGTAGGAGGGTGACCGAAGGAGTGGTCAAAGGGGAGGAGGTAAAGGAATGGGCGAGGCGAATGGACTGTGGGATGGAGTTCCAAAGGGTTCGGGCAGAGATGATGAAGGCCCGAATGCCGATAATGGGGCTGGACAGGGGACATGGAACAAACCAGAGCCCACTGAGCAGAGGGAGCGTCCGGGTCACTGTAAGACCCTTTTTGCTTTGCTTTTCAGAAGGAAGACAGCTACAGGAGGGCTGTGTGGGAGAAAAACCTCAAAACAATCCAGCTTCACAACCTGGGTTACTCGATGGGAAAGCACTCGTTCGATCTGGCAATGAATCAGTTTGGTGACATGGTGAGCGGGTGTAACTTGCCTTTATACAACACCGTATGCGCGAGAGAAATGTCTGGCAGCGCTTCACAGAACACGACTGATTGGAAATGAAGTGAGGGTCAGAGCTCTTCACTGGTCGCTGGTAACACTTCAGAGCATCGAGAATTTGTTGCATTCTTCGGTTCAATTTTGAAGCCGATTTTCTGCAAATTCTTTTTGAGAACCGCAGAAAACGTGCTTCAAAGTTATGAGTGAATTCAACAACCTGCCCAAATCTGTGCACTCTGAAATGCCATGTTAACTGAATCAATAATAATAATAATAATATAATAATAATACTTGCATTTTGATATAGCGCCTTTTCACGTGGTCGAGACATCTCTAAAGTGAATTGACTGTGTATTTGGTGTGCGAAACATGACAGCCAATTGCGCACAGCAGGGTCCTGTAAACAGTCGTCGATTGAGGATGAAATTATTATTATTATTTTTTGTTGAAGTGCTTATTAACCCCAAGGGTATCATGGCTCTTTGGATCCTTTGTTTTCAATATATTACAACAACAACTTGCACTTACATAGCGCCCTCCACCCAGGGTAATGTCTCAGAGCGCTTAAAACAATCTATTAATTTTTCCTTGTTGGTTAAACTGTGTTAAATGTCGATCGCAAACTATTTCAGACAACTGAGGAGTTCCATCAACTGATGAACGGATTCCAACAGCCTGATACGGAACACTTAACCAGCACAAAGGATGTATCAACGAGACCCAAGTCCCTCAAACTTCCAGGGAGCGTAGACTGGCGCGATAAGGGTTACGTCACTCCAGTGAAGAACCAGGTAAAAATGACAACTGACTGATACACGTGGAAGCTTTCAATTCCTATAGTAATTCTGGCAATTTTTCTCTCTTTACTCATTTCGTGAAAAATCGGTCCTCCTTTTCCCCTCCCCCCAGTACAGTAGAACTTGCATCAATTTGATCTGTATAAATCTACGTCTGCCCAAGAGTTTATATTCTATGCACGTTCGACGAAACGCATACTTTGCATAAGTCATATTAAATGTACAAATCGAACTGATAACAACAACAACAACAAATTACATTTATACCACGGCTTTCACGTTGGGAGGACATCCCGAGGCGCTGGACAGTCATGGAGTTGGATCCGAGCTGGGGCTAGGGCTCAGGAGAGGTGGAGGGCAGGGAGGGTAGAGGTAGGAGGGTGGCAGACAGCTTTCTCGAAGAGGAGGGTCTTGAGATGGTCCTTGATGGAGGCAAGGGAGGGAACCAGGCAACAGGACAGTGGGATGGAGTTCCGAAGGGTGGGGGCAGAGCGGCTGAATGGTGGGCCGATTTATGATACTCCATACTGTTCTTGACATAAGGTACATTTGTGTTCCAGGGTGCTTGTGGCTCGTGCTGGGCGTTCAGCTCCACCGGTGCGTTAGAGGGACAGACCTTCAAGAAGACGGGAAAACTGATCCCACTGAGCGAGCAGAACCTGGTCGACTGCTCCCAGAAACAGGGCAACCATGGATGCAATGGGGGGATGATGGATCGCGCCTTCACCTACATACAGCAAAACAATGGGATTGACACAGAGGCTTCCTATCCATACACTGCAAAGGTAAGTTTCATTCAACAACAACAACAGCAGCAGCAGCAGCAGCAGCTTGGGTTTAATTGTGTCCCTCACGCGGGGCAGTGCCTCAGATCGTGTTCGAGCATTCAAGGGGGCATAGTCTTAAAATTAGAACCAGGCCATTTAAGAGCGAAATAAGGAAGCATTTTTTTACTCTAAAGGGGCGGTAGAAATCTGGAATTCTCTTCCCCCAAAAGGCCATGGATGCTGGATCCATCCACACCTTTGAGAGTGAGGTTGATAGATTTTTCGTTGGTCAGGGTATCACGGGATATGTGGAGAAAGCGGGAAATTGGAATTGAAAGGATTAGTTGAGGTACAGATCAGCCGTGATCTAATGAAATGTCGGAACGGGCTCGAAGGGCTGAATGGCCTACTCCTGTTCCTACAAAAATGGTCAACTCAGATCTTTTTGAAAGACCATTTTAGTGGATCCTTGTGTTTAAAATGAGCACAGGCATAGTGAAGTATTACAATAATTAATATTGCTTGCTTAGTATTAATAATGTCATAAGCGTCTGAAAGTGCTTCAGATAATTGTAGTGACTGTGTATTTATAGGAAAACACAGCAGCCAATTTTACATAGAATTACGTAGAATCTATAGCATCAAAACAGGTTATTTGGCCCAATTAGTCCAGGCTGGTTTATCCTCCACCCTTCCCTAGCCTCTCTCCATATATTCATAATAATAACAATAATAGTTGCATTCGATATCGTTTGTGGGATACTGCTGTATGCAATTGGTTGCTGAGTTTCGCCCACAAGATATACAGTCATTTCACTTTACACTATATTCTATGAACCGCTTTGAGATGTCTCAATGACGTGACAAGGCACTATATCAAATGCAAGGATTATTATTACATTATTAAATTCCGCAAATTATTTTGGGAGGTCCTCGCAATGTAAAAGGCGCTATATCAAATGTAAGGATTATTATGATAAGACATCTATTAGATTCAGGTTTCTTCTGGGCTGTTTTATGTCTCATCTAATGACAATTTTCCTTCCTGCCCTAGGAACACCCATGTAATTACGATCCCAGGCATAATGCAACCACTTGCCATGGTTACAGGTATAGCGAGCAGTATGACGAAATGGCATTGGCTGAAACTGTGGCCACGATTGGGCCGATATCGGTTGCCATTGATGCCAAGCACATTTCTTTCCAATTCTACAAATCCGGTAAGTAACCACTATTAGTTCAGTAGAAATTCAAGAAGGAAGCAGTTCCTGTGATGAATTAAACCCAGAATCCGAGCTGTTGAGACCTATTCTGTGCGTATGTGGAAACTCACACGACTGTTTGTGGGACACTGTTATGTGCACTTGGCTGCCGTGTTTTGCTCATAAAATATACAGTCAATCCATTTTACAAGATATTCTGTGAAGCGCTTGGAGACGTCTCAACGACGTGATAAGGTGCTGTATCAAGTGGCTGTTAGTGAGAGCGACTCTCAAACACCTGACCTGTGCTGGTCAGTGTGGAAGAGTGAAAGAGACTCATAGTTGCATTCCACTCTTTCTGTATTGACCTCTGACTCCGCCCCGAAGCTTTGGAACTCTCTTATCCAATCCCTCCGCCTTGCCCCCTCCTTCCCCTCTTTTAGATCACGACTGAAGATCTTCCTCTTTGACCGAGCTTACGATCACCTCCTCCCGCTCTCCAGCTGAGCGTCAGGCCCCATCACTGCTGAGCTCTCCGAGTCTCTGCCCCGAGTGAAGGGTGCAAGTTGTTGTTGTTGACATATCCTCTCTATCCTTTCCCTGTAAAGGCACAGTCGGTGACTGAGCATGCGTGTGCAATCACAGACACAAAGCCTTGTTCTGGTTGGTGCACGCTGACCACATCCACTATTTGCGAGCTGATTTACTTTACTACATTCCTCCTTGCAGGCATTTACCAGGAGCCACGTTGTCAAAGTTACAATATCAACCATGCCGTGTTGGTGGTGGGCTATAACAGTCAAGGTGGAAACAACTACTGGATTGTTAAAAACAGGTATGGTGCTTGTGAGGATGGTTACAAGCTGTGATTCCACAACCATTAATTTTTCCAATTGGTGGCACGACCATTCCCTAAGGGGGGGTGCAGGCCAGATCTTGTGCTGTCATTTCGACCCCAGCTGAGATCTAACAACTCAGTCCCAGATCAGAGATTGCACCTGTGACCTTCCCTAGTTTACTGGACTCAGTGCTATAACGTTTGTCAGGACAGTCTTGGACCCCATCATCAAAATCCATCTCTTTTGTTCTCCTGAACCTACCAACATCTCCCCAATAGGGAGATCCAACAGGTAGAATCATGAGTTTGTTCTGCCTGTTGGGGAAATGATCATTGCATGTGACAGTGGATTCCCCTGTGACCCCCGCTCGGAGGTTCTCTGACTAAGACCAGAAGCCGAGTGTTGGGTCTGATGTTACAACTGTATCTAAAATTTTCTGATTCCAACATAAAGCAGCTCTAATGCGCTAAGACATTAATCATTAAATGATGTCCCAATCTGTTCATCTCTGCTTCATGTACCCCGCCTGATCTACCTCGCCCATTCTGTCCCCACTGCCTGCTCTGCATCTCAACCGGTCCAACTGACTCCCACTCTCTCCACTTTTAAAGCCAACCTTAAACCTTACCTCTTATGGCCTTAAGATGACCTTTGGATCTCTTTTGTCCCCCCCCCTTTTCAGTCCCCACTCCCACCCCACTAACCCGAGCTTAGATTCCCAGCCAGCGTTGTAAAGAGCTGAGACTCCTCCTGACATATATGATATATCCATTTATATTATATATCATAGTATCCATCCTACAGTTCCTTTGCTGCGCCTCCTTGAAGGCCCGTCTCAAGATCCTTCTCTTCAACTGCAACATTGGTGATCCTCCTGTGCCTACGCTCCCTGCTCTCCGATCCCAACCTCCAGCTTGGGTGCAAATCCCTACCTTGGAACGTCCTGTACTCCCGACGTGAATTACACCTGTAATTTGTTGTTGTATGTTGTGGGAGAGAGATCCGTTTGCCCAAATGTTAATTACAATTATAAATCTTTTTCCTTCCACTCAGTTTTGGATCCAGATGGGGCAACAAAGGCTACATCTGGATGCCTAAAGACAAGAATAACCACTGCGGAATTGCCAGCTACCCCACCTACCCCTTGGTGTAAGGGCAAGGCTTCCAGGCGTGCAGACAGGAGGGGCCGAGGATAAGACCCTCCAACAAAATTCCACTTTATAATGTTATACATGTTTCCATTTACAGCGGTGTGATTGTGTGTTGATTATATAGGAGACCAATTGAACCTGTTGACTCAAGGTCTTCATTTGCCAGGAAATTTGGGGCCTGACAGCAAGAAATTGTGTTGTTGCTGTCAGGCCAGATTATCCACTGGAATATTCAGATGAATCTGTTCTGAAATTTGATGTTGAATATCACTTTGATGGCTGATATTATATGTGCATTAAAATTGTCCAAAGTATATTTAATGTAACTTTAGTAACTTTTGGGGGCAAAACCTTAGGGACAGCCCAAAAGCTTTGAGATGAATCAGCGTTGGTGTTGATGGGGTGGGCAGGGATGGACAGTGCAAGATGTTCATAGATCTTGGGTGTGACTTGACCAGCTCTGGGCTTGGGGGGGGGTTGGGGGCTGGGTGTGTGTATGTGTGGGTGTGTGTGAGGAGCAGGGATCCACAGGGAATCACAACCCAGATAAGCAGCATGAATGAAGCATTCAATGTGCCAATTAATTAATTAGAGGGAATTGAAGAGACACCTATGGAGGAGACAGATGCAAACCTGCCTCCTACAAGGATGAAGAACTTGTAATCTATGTCCTTATTATTAACCACCCCATTGCTTCATCACCTACAACTTAATCCTGGGTTTCTGTTATTTTACATGAAAGAAACAACATGAAGTATAATTATTGAAATAATTTACACTAACTGCTTAAGAGAGAGAAATTCCACCTGGTTCTCGAGTTATTCTATCTTCTTAGCATTTCACAGTATTAATATTAACAATAATTATTATTGTTACTTATTAATAATTATTTTTACCCAGAATTTGGCAAGTTCTACGGTAAATCTAGAGCCAAATCTGTCTGCCCCTTGAAAAAGAAATACAAAATTCTACTGATAATTGTTCCAAAGTGGAATTTACGCTGCAACATTTCACGAGGAAATGTACAAATCTTGGATTTGGAGCTCTGGTGTTGGTGTGGTGTTTGAAAGGTTAATGCCCCATTGTGCTTTTAAAGCCGAGATATAATATTGTGCGTGGATGTGATTTGCTTTCTAGAAACTTCCCTGCAAAAATTGCATTGCTAGACTTTTAAGTGTATTCTGAGCACCAGAGATTAAAATAAAACTTAAGTTTGTAAAAAATAAATTGTGTCTTTATTTGGTTTTTTAAAAAAAAGGAACTCAACCAAACCAATCTTCACTGTGTCACTCAAACCACGACTGTTTGTGGTTCACTGCTGTGCGCAATTGGCCGCCGAATTTCACCCGCAAAAGTACATTCAGTTCGCTTTACAGTTTATTTGATGAAGCGCTTTGAGTCGTCTTGACGACATGATCAGGAGCTGTATCAAATGCAAGGATTATTATTATTATTAGTGCTGGAAATGGGACACTTTCGGTGTCCTGGTCAGGCCAACCAGTGACGTTCCTCCTTGAGAAGCAGTTTATCAAGTCTTTCTGGATAAGAGCTCGTTCCAATGATTGGAACAATAGAGAGACATTGGTGCTGAGTCACCTCCTGGGAGAACACTTTCCCACCCCCCCCACTCCCTCTCATTTCACCTAAACAATACGTAATATACACCCAACATCTACCTGGGCACTCAGTTCCCTCCCCGGGGATGTGAGCACCCCACACAAAAAAACACAGGTAACTGTTAGCGTGTCAGCCTGGCTCAGTGGTAGCACTCTCGTCTGTGAGTCAGAAGCTTGTGGGTTCTTGAACTTGAACTCACATGGTCTAAGATGACGCTCCAATGCAGTGCTGGGGGTGTGCTGGATTGTCGGAGGTGCTGCTCTTTGGATGAGACGTTAAAGATCCCACGGCGTCCTCGCCAACAGTCCCTTAAATAAAATTGGTCACTCACTCCACGGCTGTATGTGGGACGTTGCTTATGTGCAATTTTGCTGGCGTGTTTGCTAACAAATACACAGTTACTCCACTTCACAGTTAGCTGTGAAGCACCTGTGATGACCCTTGGCACGTCCTTCTGACGTGATAAAGTGCTAAACCGAAGGTAAGAATTGTTATTATTTATTATTATTTATTAGTAATAATATTTTTTGCATTTGGTACAGCTCATTTCATGCTGGGAGGACATCGCAAAGCGCTTCACAGGATGTACTGCAAAGTGTAGTAACTGTGTGTTTTGTGTGAAATGTAACTCACGCTAACCCACTTAACTGGGGTGGGAGGGGGAGGAGTGGGTGAAGAACCCCATTTTATTTCCTTGTAGATTGTAGGATTGCATTTAAACCAGAAAAAAGTGCCCTCGATTTACAGGCCGACAATAACTGCTCTTTCCTGCATTATCCCTCCCTGCTCTAAATAGGATGATCAGTGTAGTAAAAATAATAAAAATCCCTGCTTTTGATAGAGTGCCTTATCACGTCTTCGAGACCCAGTGGTGTGTGCGCGCGTGTGTGTTTTTGTTTGTGCGCGTGTGTGTTTTTGTGTGCGTGTGTGTGTTTTTGTGCGTGTGAGTGTGAATGTGTGTGTGAGTGTGAATGTGTGTGTGTACTTTGTTTGTATTGGACTCGGGGAATTTTCCAGTCACATGAGATGACTGGAAGGAAGTTGCTTTTTACACTCAGTCAGCAGGTCTGCAATCTTACGAGCAGCAGTCTTCCTCGGAGAGGCTATTCTATCAGGTGAGACCTTCCGTCTTGGGCAAATCATGGGCAGTTAAGAGACAACCTGTACTTGGACAGGAGACTTGAGAGGCTGTGACCCTTTGCCAGCGATTCGCAAAAATCTGGACACATTTTTCTAGGGACCCAACCTACCCTAAAGGGCTTCAAGTGTTGTTAACAACTTGTGCTAATCCTCCTTAAGAATACGCCTTTCGCAATAGAAATGAACAGATTGAATCGTTCCAGAAGCAAACTTTGTTCCTAACTTTCACTCTCAACTGGTCTAACAGGGTAAAAACTTTTTTTTGAGAGAGACGAAAAGGGAAAGGAAATCAAACGTTAACTTTTTTTTGTATAGCTCAGTTAAACTGAAACCATAACCAGTGAACATCTGGTCAGCAAATAGTTTAGAAGTTATAGAGTTATATGTACTTCATCTAAAAACACAGGAAACTTACTTTTGGGTTTGTCAAACAACAAATCGCTTGCGTTCAAACAGAGAGGAAATTCAAGCCCCTGGGGTTTCTTTTTCTCTGATTGAATTCAAATGTGTTTTCACTTAAAGTCATACGCCTCCTTTGCTGATCGGACAGAGTTGAGTTTTTCTGCTAAAGTGTTTTTCTCTCTGTGAAGAGGAGAGAAGTTCTTCCCATATCCTGGCCAACAGCCCCCACTCACTCAGTTTTTTTTTGTGTGTGGCTCTTTGTGGGACTTTTCCGTGTGCAAATTGCCTGCCGCGCTCACCTACAAATGTACACAGTCACTCCACTTTACAGCTAATTCTGTGAAGTGCTTTGAGACTTCTTCCCACAATAACAACTTGTATTTATACAGCGCCTTTCAAGTGGGGTGGGGTCATCTCGGAGCGCCTGTCAAATCCCTCTGCCTCGCCTCCTCCTTCCCCATCTTCATAACGCACCTGAAGACCTTTCCTTTCGACCGTGCGTACGGACATCTTCCCCCAGCAACGCCCTCCCTCCAGCTTGGTGTCGTGCTCTACCACTGTCAAGTACTCTGGCTCGCTACCCTGCGTGAGAGATGCTATGTAAATACAAATGGTTCTTGTTCTCAACACGAAAGGCACTGTATTGAATGCAAAGCTGATGCATAAACAACAACAACTTGCACTTATATAGCGCCCTCCAGGCAGGGTAGCGACCCAGAGAGCTTTAAAGAGCTCTGTCTTCGTGAAAAAGCGAAAAGATGTTCATCACATGCATCTTTCCCCCTTTTGTGTACTGCAGTGGCAGCAACCGATGGGATATGAGGTTTAGATGTTGGAATTTTTCCATTGTTCGGGTCGGAGAATCTTAGTCCTGGTAATGAGTTTCCGCGTGTGTCAGATGCCCGGCTGAACACGCAACAAACGTAGATCAATATCAGGAAGAGCAAATTAAATCTCTTGTGTTCATCTTTTGTCAGGTCCTCCACCATGAAGATCTCTGTGTTTCTGGGCAGTTTCGTGGTCTTGGTTGTGACCACAGGCCCCGCACTCGCCTTCGATGAGGCTCTGACCCAAGCTTGGGAGCAATGGAAGGCATTTCACCAGAGAGAGTATACAGAGGTGAGGGCAGAAATGGACTGTGGGCTGAAAATATCTTGGAACGCACTGAGACACTGAGGTTGAGATAGATATTCAGTGTATTGTTTATGGCTCAAAGCCAATTTATGTTTTGGCAACGTTTGATTTGTTTCAGATTGAAGAGAGCTCTCGGAGACTGGTGTGGGAGAAAAATCTCCACTTAATTGAACGTCACAACCTGGAGTACTCAATGGGCCAACAATCCTTCCGTCTCAGGATGAACATGTTTGGGGACATGGTACGTGGGTTTAACATCAGAAAGGGTCTATGGGGATCACCAGTTTGTCTTTGCGTTTGTCAGTGGTGCCTGCTGATAGGAAAAGGTCAGGAACCTTAACATGAGAGATGGCAGACTGGGCAATAGTCAAACTGGAGCCCAGAGGTCCAAAATTCTACCTAGTCTTAGCCTTTTCTCCTGAAATTGAAAATTACACACAATGAAGCTGTTTTATAATACAAATAATAATAATAATCCTTACATATGATGTACAGTAAACCTCATATCAATTGTATTAGTTGGGATCATACATTTAATATGACTTATGCGAAGTATGAGTTATGTGAAACTTACATAAGTTACAGGAAATTCAGCGGGCAGACGTACGCGTACGACTTAGGCTATTGCATAATTTATACAGATCAAACTTATGCGAGTTTTACTGTAACAATAATAATCCTTTCATTTGATATAGGGTTATCACGACGTTAAGACGTCTCAAAACGCTTCACAGAATATACTGTTAAGTGAATTGATTGTGCATTTTGTTGCCCAAATATCACAGTCCTTGACAAATACAGTTTCCGAATTCAAGCCAAATTTCAACAACTTGGCGCCACCTTAGATTTCAAGTCAAAATATGTTTACAGGTTTGAAGACAAGGTGGGATTTGGGGGCCTTTCAAGACTCTGGACTCATTTACAAAATTAATTAATGCTGAAACGTTAGACAGCACAGCCATCCTGGCTCATCGCGGGACTTGGAAGGACAGACCAGTCACTGAGAGCAGGAAATCCTCCCGCTCAGCTCCCGTTAACCCTGTAAGCCAAAGCCCTAACGGATAGGGCGATCCTAGCTAGGTAAGCAGCGGGAAAGCTTGCCAGACATTGCTCTCTTTGGCAAGCTATGCGGTTGTAGCTGGTTAGACTTCAGTAGTTACCCCAACGCACGCTCTGGGGTCCCATGCCTTACCTCTTGCCAACCTGGGACTAACTTTCCTGAATTCGGTAAGCAGGATGTGTCCCTTCAGGGACAGAGAGTGCATTCCATTTCAACAATCTATCTCTGGGATTTTCATGTGTAGGTGGGATGGGTAGAAATCTCAGCTTGGTTCGGATACTCTTAAGTACGGTGATGGGTTTCCGCATGTGTCAGACACCCGGCTGACCAAACAAAAACACAATGTTGAGATTGAATGGGCCAAAGCATCATCGTGATATCTTGTGACTGACCTCCCCTATCTCTCTCTGTACTGATCCTCTCTATTGATACTCCCCCTCTCTATTTCAGACCGTGGAGGAGTTCAACTGGCAGATGAATGGATTTGGTCGCTCGCCAGCCCGGACCTCGTCCAAGACATTCTTAAAGGTTTTGGATCCTGTCCAACTTCCTCGGAAGATTGACTGGCGCAAGGAAGGTTATGTCACCCCAATAAAGAACCAAGTAAGGGAGGAAAATGTTCTGTTAAAGCAACTTAACGGGAGCAGATATCTCATCAAATACAGTATCAATAATAATCCTTACCTTTGATACAGGAACTGTAATGTCAGAACATGTCAAAGCACTTCATAGGGATTGCTGTCAAGTGTAGTGACTGTGTGGATCCCATTGTAAACCATAACAAATTGTATAGCACTGCCGATAGAGGTTTTGGTAATAGCATGTCAGATAGTGCGATTCATTGCTCATAGATAACTTGCTTTGTAGTCAGCTTGGCTGAATTGGTAAAACTATTGCCGCTAAATTTAATTGTGGATTCAAGCCCCATGTCAGGGACTTTGAGCTCGGAGTCCAGGCTCTCAGTTTGGTGCGATGATGGGGGAAACGCTGCATGGTCATACACAGTCACTATATTTACCTGTAAAGTACTTTGAGACAATTTGAAGTTGACAGACGTTATATCATATATTTTACAATCTCCCTCTGGCGCTCAGTTAATACATGCACCAACACTGCCTGTTGGACTCCACATTGAATCTCAAGTTAATGATGAATTAGATGATCTCTGCCAGGGCAGTCACAATTGACTTCACCCACCCGACATCTACACACGTTCCAACAGGGGCGTTCTGCTTTGTGATCAAGAGCATGAACACAGATGGACAACACAAAAGGTGGATGAACGGCACAAAAAAAATGCTAGGTGTGTATCTGGTCTGTGTGTGTTATATAATAATACTTGCATTTGATACAGCGCCTTATCACGTCTTCGAGACGTCTCAAAGTGCTTCGCAGAATAGACTGTAACATGGATTGACTGTATATTTTGTGGGCGAGACGCAGCAGCCGATTGCGCCGGGCGGTGTCCTGCATACAGTCGTGGATTGAGCGACCACATTTTTTATTACAGGGTGCTTGTGGCTCGTGCTGGGCGTTCAGCTCCACCGGTGCTTTGGAAGGACAGACCTTCAAGAAGACGGGAAAACTGGTCTCGCTGAGCGAGCAGAACCTGGTCGATTGCTCCAAAGCAGAGGGGAATAGTGGATGTGGTGGAGGGTGGATGGAGAATGCCTTTAAGTACGTGTCTGATAACAATGGAATCGATTCGGAGGATGGATATCCCTACACTGCGACAGTGAGTTTCAATTTCCGTCTGACCATTGATAATCTGTTCCAACCTTGTTTTGTTTAAAAGTTGCTCGGAGCCAATATGGTGCAATAACTGAATATGAAACAGTACCATGCTTTCGTCGAGAATCATAGCACATTTGCTGAACACAAACAGGTCATTACACCCATCAAGTCCTTGTGCTGCTCACGTCTAAGTTTCCCCAACTTAGAACTATCGATTCCAATCATCAGCTTCTTGTAAACAGCACGTTTACACAGAATGTACAGCACGGAAACACGTCAATCAGTCCATGCTGGAGTTTATCCTCCTCATGTGTCTCCACCCATTCCTTACTTCCTCTCATACCCTTCGATTCCTTTCTTGTGTGAAAGTCTAACTTCCTCTTAAACTCCCTTCTCTTTTTGAATAGTGCTGCGGTAACTTTAGTGTCCACCTGAACAAGTAGACAGGAACTCAGTTTAATGTCTCACCCAAAGGACGGCACCTGTAACAATACAGCTGAGAGTCAAGCTTGACTGCGAGCTCAAAGACTCTCCTTGGAGCTTGAATCCACAACTTTCTGACTCAGAGGCAAAAGTGCTACCAACTGAGCCAATAACGATTTGGAATTAGAAAGCACCTTTCACACAGGATAGAGTCTCGGAACGTTGGTATCAGCCAGTCATCGTCCTGGTTGGCGCTCCTTCACTTGAATTTGTTGCTTCACTCGACAGAAATTACTTGTGACCCACGTTGAGGTTGAGACATTACCGTTAGCAACCTGCAGGTTAATTCCCTTCATTGGCTCTGTATTTCCGCGATTAACTTAATTTAACATGTAATTGTCGTGGTCACTGAGCTGACCGAATGACATTTCAGCGTTCCAACAGGACGGTAGAGTATTAATTTACTAAACATGTGTTTTTTTTAAACAAAATTCAGGACGACCCCTGTAATTACAATCCCAATTACAAAGCTACCAATTGCACCAATTACATGTTCGTTTCCGAAGGCAACGAGACAGCCTTAGCCATGGCTGTGGCCACCATTGGACCTATATCTATTGCTATAGATGCCACTCATCAATCCTTCCAGTTCTACCATCACGGTAAGTCACAAATGGCAGCATAAACTATCAACAGTGAAACCCTGTTATACTGTGTTTCAATGTACTGTGTGTCCATTTATAATGTGGGTGCACTGTTAAGGTGAAGACAAGGTTATGCTTGGCTATGGTGAGTGGGTTAGCGTAGGTTTGTGGAGTCCTGTAGCGTATTGATTAGAGCACTCACAAGCGAGCGAAACGACCCGGGTTTGATTCCCGGGCAAGGCAAAACATTAGCCAAGTTTCCTTACTCCACACGCCTCTGTTTACGTAGCAGTGGAGTAAGTAGGAACCCGGTTGTAAGTCGATTGACGGATTACTTTTCTGGTGGTAATCATCCCTTCAAAATAAATAAATAAATGACGGAAAAAAATGTGGTCTCTCAATCCATGACTATTCGTGGGACACTGCAGTGCACAATTGGCTGCCGCCTTTCGCCCACAAAAATATAGAGTCAATTCACTTTACAGTACTGTATATTCTGTGAAGGGCTTTGAGATGTCGCAAAGAGGTGATTGCGCGCTGTATCAAATGCAAGGAATATTATTATTATTATATTACAGATTAGAGCTGGAACACTGGGAGGGGAGAGGGTTGGGGTTGGGGCTGAGCTCGAACACTATTGTCATGGAATAGACTGCGTGGCTGTGTTTGTGCAGGTGTTTACTATGAGCCGGACTGCACCGATTACACCATGAGCCATGCTGTCCTGATAGTTGGATATGGAAGAAAGTCCGGGAAGAATTACTGGATTGTTAAAAACAGGTACATTACACTCTGTTTACTGTCGGATATTACTGTGTGTTACGGTGCATAAAAGAAGCTTAGCAACCTCACTGAGACAGGCTGGATCAGGACCTTCAGAATGCTGTCACAGATGTGCTCATCTGAGGTCATTAGGTTATAGGAGATTGGATGAAGAAGACCTTTTGGCCCATTTGATTTCATCCTTCCTAACCGTCCACCCATTCCAGCATCAAGCTATAATTGAATCCAGTGTCCTGGCCTTGACCACCTTTTCAATATTTCATATACTTTGCATTACGGAGTCCTGTAGTGTATCGGTTAGAGTGCTCGCCTCGCAAGCGAGAGGACCCGGGTTCGATTCCGGGGTGGGGCGAAACCTTAGGCAAGTTTCCTTACTCCACGCACACGTCTCTGTTTGCCCAGCAGTAAGTAAGAACCTGGTTGTTAGTTGTTTGGCGGATTGCTTTCCAGTGGAATAATCCCTTAAAAAAAATTAATAATAATTTGATCCCTCAATCCACGACTGTTTGTGGGACACTGCTGTGCGCACTTGGCTGCTGCATTTCGCCCACAAAATGCACGTTGTTTTAAGAATTAATCCTATGTTTTTGTTAAAAATAAATATTTTTCAGCTACTCGACTAGTTGGGGTGACAAAGGCTACATTTTGATGTCCAAAGACAAGATGAACAACTGTGGAATTGCTTCTCACGCCGTCTATCCGGTGATATAAAATTTTGCTGGACAAAATCTGGGAATAAATTTTGCAATGTGTCTGATTGTTAGAATATTATTGCCATTGGGAAGATTATTTCCCATACAGTGTGAGTTCACTTTGTAAACTAAGCTTGGATATTATAAAAACCAGCAAAGAATCCTTTGTCCTTTCTGTTCCCGAAATAATTTGGGTCAATTTTGCGCCATTTCTTAGCGGATTTCTTAATTAAGAGATCGCAAGCAGTCACTCCGACCCAAGGGAATCAGGTGCTGAAAATGGATCCGAGTTGGAGTCATGGGCTTCCGGATTTCTTAAATCCATTAAGAAATGCTGCAAAATTAACCCCAACTAACAGGCACCCTCGACTAAAAGGGAAAGTTTTAAACCATGTTATTAAATTGTTGCCACATTAAAGGAAATGGAGCATCTTTGGACTCCTTCCCGTGGGGCTTGAGAAAGAGAGCCTCAGTGTAAAGGGAACCTCATCCCAGAGGAAGGATGTGAAGTGTATCTCTTCTCGGTAAATCCACACACATCTCACTGACTTGCAATAATCCATCAGTTGAGTCCCATAGAGTATTGGTTAGCGCGTTTGCCTCGCAAGCGAGAGGACCCAGGTTCGATTCCCGGGCGAGGCGAAACCTTAGGCAAGTTTCCTTACTCCTCACGCCTGTCTACTTAGCAGAAAGTAGGAATCTGGCTGTTAGTTGATTAGCAGATCGCTTTCCGGGGTAATAATCTCACACAAAAAAAAAGAAATTTGCTCACTCAGTCCACGAGTGCTGTGCGCAATTGGCTGCTGCGTTTCGCCCACAAAATATACAGTCGAACCACTTTACAACATATCCCGTGAAGCGCTTTGTGACATCTCAACGATGTGAAAAGACACTTTATCAAATGTGAGAATTATTATCAGCTCTCAGCTTAGAGTGGAGGCCGAGCAAGTCAGTGGGAGGCTCTTGGAATTCCCTGGAGGAGGCAAACTTCACTGCCTGAGATTTTTGTTTCCGCTGCAAGCTGTTAATGACACTTGTTTTCCTAATGAGACCTTGTTAATTCTCCTCTTCTCCCCTCCCCATGTGCATCACTGATGTATCTTTTACTCAATACATACAAAATGGATGATTTTTTAACCCATAATGTTGTGAGACTCTTGTGTGTTTGCTGACAAGCCGGGAGGAGATGGGATAGGGAGGCAATGGAGGGTGGGGTTGGGGTGGGTGGTTGTGGGGAGGAGTGGAGAGGAGGGGATGGGAGGGAAAGTGACCTTCGACAGCTCAGTTGGCGGAGACCTCATTTGGTGAGTTCCAGAGAACACACACAAGGCCAGAAAGGCTCCAATTCGTGCTCGGTGCTGGGTTAGACTCTCGCTGTTAGTGGGGCATTGAGTGACTCTGGACTGCAGACGGGGAAAGGAGGGAACTTCTGCCAAGGTTCCTGCTGCGGTCTAGCCTAACCCTCAGTGCCCTCCGCCCCTTCTGATCCCAATACCCTGCTTGAATCCAAATCCCTCTTTGTCCAATGCCTTGGGAAATCCTCCTGACGCTGGAGGCGCTGTGTAAATGTAATTTGTTGTTGTTGAAGTCAGGCAGTGACCCTTTTAAGGTAAAGTTTATTCCTATACACAGCGTTTTTTTTTATTCAAGTCAAAACAAGCAAAGAGAAAGAACATCACATGTTCTAATTCTAATCTGAGGAGTTCTGTTCACTGTAAATCAAGCAGTTTCATATCACTGCAGAGTTGCCTGGACATGACAGGCTGAGCTGAGGACCTCAGGGGGGGACCTTAGAAAAGTGCATAGAACTTTAAATGAGATTGAGAAAGCCAACCCAGAACAATACAGTAAACCTCAACTAAGTCTTACGGTTGGGTCTATACATTTAATATGACTCACGCAAAGTATGAGTTATGTCAAACTCGCATGCAATATAAACTCCTAAACGAGACTTGGGCAGATGTACGATTTAGGCGATGATACGATTTATACAGATCAGACTTCTACGAGTTTGACTGTACTTTAATGCATCAAAGGAGGACTCAGGTTTACAGTTGTAAAGGGCAATTTCAGGACAGACACCAGGAAGTTTTTTACTCAAGAGGATAATGAATGACTAGAATACGTTTACCAGGAAGCGGGGCTGAGGCCAGGACACTGGGACTTATTTAAAAAACACACAGCTTGATACTGTGCTGTGAGGGCAGAAGGGTGGGTGTTCTACAGGATGGGAGCAGATGGGTCAAAGGGCCTTCTTCGTCTGTTCAAGTGAATGTAAAGTAAACCGTGACATAATTGGAAATGAGAAGAGAGAGTGCCCTGGCTGGTGATCCTCAGACAATTGGTCATTAGGGTCCTGTCTGTCTGTGGGACATCAATAACAACAACAACTTGCATTTATATAGCGCTCCTGAACCAGGTTAGCGTCCCAGAGCTTAAACCAGAGCACATCACCGCGCACACACTGACTGCCATCTTTGCCTATAAATACACAGTCAATACATTTAACAGATGTTACAACAATAACAAAACTACATTTGTAAAGTGTCTTTCACGTCGGGAGGACGTTCCAAGGTGCTGGTACCAGAGTTCCAGAGGGTGGGTGCAGAATGGTGGGAGACCTGCCTGCCGATAGTGGTGAACAAGGCGGGGGACGTGAAGCAGGCCGGAGTCCGCTGACCGGAGGAAGCGAACAGGGTGGTAGGGGGTTAGGAGGTCAAAGAAGTAGCCGGGAACAAGACCATTGAGGGCTTTTAAGGTGAGGACCAGGATCTTGAACTGTATCCTCTGTGTGACGGGAAGCCAGTGGAGTCGGGCGAGGATGGGGGTGATAGGGTCGCGGAGCCTGGTGCGGAAGAAGACACGGGCTGCAGAATTCTGGATGATCTGCAACCTGAGGCGGGAGGAGTTGGGGAGGCCGACAAGCAGTGAGTTTGCACAGTCGAGCCTCGATGTAATGAATTGTTTACTCATTTACTGTTGACGTTCAGAATATCTGGGAGAAGTGGCTTATTACAATCAGTCGCACGCAAAGCATCCAGGATTGCGTGATCAAACTAATGTCAAATCTGTCAAGCTCAGATTTTTAGACTGTTTTATAACCACAACAGGAAGCTTTGACCCATTTTATCACAAGGCTCCATACAGCCAGCACATTCAGCTGAGGTTGAACTCAGACCACATGGGACTTCGGTTTAATGTCTCATCTGAATTCTATCCCACTCGCCCATTCTCTCCCCATAGCCCTGCAAACTTGTCCTCCCCAAATAATTATCTAAGGTGATGGCTGTTTGTTGGACACTGCTGTGCGTAAACTGACTGCCACATTTCGACCACAAAATATATAACAGTCAATTCATTTTACGGCATATTCTGTGAAGCGCTTTCAGACGTCTTGAAGACGTGATAAGGCACTATAACAAATACAAGGATTATTATTATTATTTATCCCACAATCTTCTGACTCAGATACGAGAGCGCGACCAACTATGCTGAAATAGCACAGAATGCTGCAAAATTGGGTGTAGCACCGCATAATGGTGCGAATGGGAACCGCAGCGAACAAAGGGAAACATTTGAGCGAAAGCAACTTCTTGCTGCATACAGATCCAAACAGTTGCCTCCCTCGATTGCAAGTCACTCTTATTTCTTACCATCTTCCCACGGAACCAGTCACTGCCCTCGACATTAACTGCCTGTGAAGTGCTCGTAGTCCCCACACTATGAAATAGCTTAACAAGTCACTCAGTTGTTAGATGTTGGTACGTGCTAACCTTATAATAATAATAATAATAATAATCCATGCATTTGATACAGCGCCCTATCATGTTGTTCAGATGTCTCAAAGAACTTCACAGAATATACTATAAAATGGATTGACTGCGTATTTTGTGGGCGAAACGTGGCAGCCAATTGCGTGTAGCAGTGTCTCACAAACAGTCGTGGATTGAGTAACGAAATTATTATTATTATTTTTTAAAGGGATTATTACCCCTGGAAAGCGATCCGTCAATTGACTAACAAACGGGTTTCTATTTACTGCTAAGTAAACAGAGGCGTATAGAGTACAGAAACTTGCCTAAGGTTTCTCCCTGCCCAGGAATCGAACCTGGGTCCTCTCGCTTGCGAGGCGAGTGCTCTAACCACTACTCTACAGGACTTCACAGCCTTGCCAGCATCGCCCACATCGTAAGAAAAGACTAGCACAGATGGACCAAGTGGATTTTCATTCTGTGACACTCACTCCTGGGAAAGGCCAAGCTCAACATCAACAATTAGACACTCGCCTGAGTGTGTCAATCTGAGACATTACTGAACTCGCACTTACCCCTGAACCTGCCACCTCTTGTCCTGCTGCCTCGGCACCCAGCTACGTCGGGACTTTAAACCCTGATAGTCTAAGATGACACAGAAATGCAGTGCTTGGAGTATCCTACATCGTCAGAGGTGCCGTCCTTTGGATGAATGGTTAAAGTGAGGTCTGCCTCTTCAGGTGGATATCAAAGTTCCTGTGGTGCTTGAAACGAGAAAGGAGTTTCTCTCTCCCGGTCTCCTGACCAATAGTTCACCAAAATAAAATTGCTCACTCATGCCATGGCTGTTTGTAAGATATTGCTGTGTTAAAAATTGGCTGCCGTGTTGGCCTACAAAATACACAGTCACCACACGTTACCCTAAATCCTGTGAAGGCTTTGAGATGTCCTCCCAATCAGAAAAAGGTGCTGTAAAAAATGTAGGGATGAGTTTATTTTTATTTTTGAAGGAAGGTGTTCCCTCCAGTCAACCAGCCACCCCTCCATCAGCACACGTGATGGTTGATGAAGTATTTTGCTTAATCTGCAAAGCACGAAACAGAGTGATCTCATCCCCCCGCAGAGTTAGCAAGCTTGCTGGCTTGTGAAATGTACCTGAGAAATGGCTTGGCTTTATCTACATTGAGGTCACCTGTCTGTCTGTCTGTCTGTCCGTCCGTCCGTTCGTCCGTCTGACCGACGGTCGGTCGGTCTGTCTGTCTGTCTGTCTGGCGTTTCGCCCACAAATACACAATCAATTTACGTTACAGTATATTTTGTGAGGCGCATTGAGACGTCTAGAAGACGTGGAAAGCGCTATATCAAATGCAAGGATTATTATTTATTATTATGAGGTGATGAGACTATCAAATGCAAGGATTATTATTATTATTATGATCGTTATTGGCCGATAGCAGAGACAGCAGTCGCGGCGTGGAGGTTTCTGTTACCTTGTTGTTGAGCTCCGTGTGCTCAAACACAATATTCTGGCATCACAGCGGGACCTCCGTGACAAAAGGCCATTCATTTGGCTTTGGATTCTGACAAAAAACTAAAGCTGCTATGATCTCAAAGCTAACAAATGGGTCACACTCAGCAACCAGCGTTACTGTGCGGAAGGGGGAAATAAATTGCTTACTGAGCAACAGGTCACCTTACAGGACGCAAGATATCTGATATTATTTGTCAACTTGATCACTCGGACCTGTCAACCATTTGCGTTTTAGCAGCGTCTTGAGGGTGGACAGGACGCTGCTGTTAACTATGGTATATATTGACCTGTGCGCTCCCCATATTAGCCAGAGGGCAGGACGGCTGGAAGGTAGGACTATTGATAAAAATGTGTCTTTTGCCCATAAAATACACAGTCAACCCACTTTACAGTATATTCTGTGAAGCGCTTTGAAACGTCTCAATGACGTGATAAGACGTTATATCAAAGCAGGGAGATGACCACTGGTGTGGTCTAAAAGATAGACCTTTTGGCTGCACAAAATCTCTCAACTCAGAGTAACTTGCTCACTGTCTGTCTGATCCCTGTGTTTTGTTCTGACAGATAACTCGTCATGAACTACCTGCTGAGGGGCTGTTTTGTGGTGTGCGTTCTAGTTAAAGCTTCAACAGTCTCGATCAATCCAGCTTTGGACAATGAGTGGCTGAGCTGGAAAACCTTTCACAAGAAGGTGTACCAGGAGGTAAGAGTTGTCAGACTGGCTCATTTGGTAACACTCTTGCCTCTGGGTCAAAAAGTTGTGGGTTCAAGCCTTCACATCAGAAGTTTGAGACTCAAAATCTAAGCTGACACTCCTGTGCAATGTTGGCAAGAGTGTTGTTTTGTCAGAAATGCAGTCGTTTGGACGAGATTGGTGAATGTGGTTAGTCAGATGATCCGAAATGCTAAGCTATCCAGGTGGAAAATATTTCTCTCGATTGATGATTTCTATGCTAAAAGGAGTTGGAGTTTGACACGGGTGTAAATCCTACTTTTCAGAAAGATGCTGCGTTTAAAAGAAATGTGTGGGAGCAGAACCTGCAGTATATTGAGAAGCACAACACGGATTACTTCATGGGGAAACACACGTTTGCTGTGGGGATGAATCAGTTTGGAGACATGGTAGGTACCTGAAGTGTGAGAGTGTGAAAGGTGAACAGCGAATCTTTGAAACACTCCCATTGAATCGGGATGAAGATTGATTGTGGAGTCCTGTAGTGAAATGGTTAGAGCACTCGCCTCGCAAGCGAGAGGACTGGGTTTGATTCCCAGCCAGGGCAAAATGTAAGGCAAGTTTTCTTACTTCACTTTATGTGCCTCTGTTTACAGTTTTTAATCGATTGGCAGATCACTTTTTGGGGGTTAATAATCCCTTTAAAAACAATAATCTCAATTTAGTCACTCAATCCATGACTGTTTGTGTGTATGGGATATTATCCCAAAAGATATCATGATCTGATGCTGTTCTCTTCCCTCCCACCCACCCTGTAGCGATATTGTAACTAACAAATCTCAAATCACTTACCTTTCCAGACCGTTGAGGAGTTCAGTAACCTGTTGAATAGGCGAAACACAAGGCAATATAACAACAAAACATGCAACATATTTACAGCTGATGATAAGACTGACCTCCCTCAGAGTGTTGACTGGCGCCCTAAAGGCTACGTTACCGGAGTGAAGGACCAGGTGAAGGAGAATCACTTTTAGCGCCTACTAAACTATTGAATGCGGGGTCAAGAGGAAGGTCTTGAGATGGGCCTTGAAGGAGGAAAGAGAGGGGACGAGGTGGAGGGGTTCTGGGATGGAGTTCCAGAAGGTGGGGTCAGAAAAGCTGAAGGCTCGACCACCAATGGTGGGGCTGGCGGGGTGGGGGAGATGGAGCAGGCCAGTGCCGGCCGAGCGGAAGGAAAAGAATGGTTAAGATATTCTGTGAAGCACTTTGAGACGTCTGGAAGACGTTATAAGGCGCTGTAGCAAATACAAGGATTATTATTATTATTATTATTAATTCAGTATTGCTCCTCATTCACCAGAAAGCCTGTGGCTCGTGCTGGGCGTTCAGTACGACCGGGGTCCTGGAAGGTCAGTGGTTTAAGAAAACGGGGAAGTTGATCTCGCTTAGTGAGCAGTACCTGATGGACTGCAGCCAGAGTGTCGGGAATCACGGATGTAACGGTGGTTCCAACTACCGTTCCCTCCTCTTCATTAAAGAGAAAGGAATCAACTCGGAGGAATCCTACCCCTACACTGCCAAGGTAACTTACCCTCCCTTTAAACACCTTCCTTTTATCAATGACTGGGGCAATGACCTCAAAGTGCCAGCGTGGCTCAGTTGGTAGTGCACTCGCCTCTGTGGCAGAGGGTTATGGGTCCAGCTCAGGATTTGGAGCCCCTATAAGTCTATGCCGTCCTTCAGGTGAGACGTTAAACCAAGGTCCCGTCTGCCTGTCCAGGTGGACATTAAGCAACCTGTGACACTATTTGAAAAGAGAAGAGACTTTCTCTCCTGGTGTCCTCACCAATAATTGCTCAAATAAAATTAGTTACTCGCTCCATGGCTGTTTGTGGGACATTGCTGTGCGATCTGGAATGCATTGCCTGACAGGATGGTGGAAGCGCATTGTATAATAACTTTCAAATTGTATATATACTTGAAAAGGTAACATTTGCAGGGCTATGGGGAAAGAGCGGATGAGTGGGACTAGTTGGATAACTCTTTCCAGAAGCCGGCACAGGCATGATGGTGCTCTGAGATTCTATGATTCTATAAATTGGCTGCTATATCACCCACATTTACACAGCCACTGTACATTGAGATTGCTTGGCAATGACGTGTTGTCAAGATGTTAAGGCGCTGTATCAAATGCAAGGATTATTATTATTACATTACATTACATTACATTACATTACATTACATTACATTACATTACATTACATTATATTATATTATATTATATTATATTATATTATATTATATTAGCTGTACCAGTTGCAGCTTCTTTTGCGACCAAAGGATTCAACATGGAATGTAAATTGACACACAGACAGACATTTCATCTTTATCTATACTCCTCTGGGAGGACTCCTGTGGGAGGACTCCTTTTGGCCCTTTAAAAATATAATTTTACTGTTGCTGCCGCGGCTTAGCTTCGACTGTGTTCTTTATTTTGTTCCCGCCGCTTGACTACGTGCGTACTCTGTGATGCAGGATGCCACAGCACAACAGTCAGCCGGGCCGGCCACCAGATGTGACTGCAGTGCGTGCATACATTTGTAGGTACTCTGTGACGCACGATGTCACAGTACCACTTTGACTCAGCGGCCACCAGGTGTAACTACAAAACTGAAAATAACTCATGAACGATAGGATATATACAAAAACAAATATGCCCATGTCACTCCCAGTTGCAAGACTATTTCCGATGAGATATAAATCATGTCTCTACGTCAATCGGTTATTGAGATCCTTCTGGAAGCGCAGAAAGACATTGTCATTTTATTAGTACATGTAAAGAAGAAGATAGAATATTATTATGGAATTATACAGCACAGAAGAGGCCATTCAGCTCATCATGTCCGTGCCAGGTCTTTGAAAGAGCTGTCCAAATTAATCCCACTCCCCAGCTCTCTCCCCATAGCCCTGCAAACTTGTCCTCCTCAAATAACTCGCTGGGTGAAAAAATTATATTGGACTTTTTTCATGTGATTCGAGGCTTCGGCGTCTCTAAGGGCTGTACTTACGTTGCAGAACGAGTTTGTACCAGTAAGGAGAACGAGAGCGTGGCCACATGTCAGGGGGTGAAGATGATCAGGAAGAACTCAGAGAAGGACTTAGCCGCTGCGGTGGCCACTGTCGGCCCAATAGCCGTCGTCTTTGACGCAGGTCGTGCGTCATTCATGTTCTACAAATCAGGTGAGAAGCCAGAGTTACGCAGAGCCTTGTGCTCTCGTTTATCAGCTAAATACCTTCCTCGATCCTGTAAGATAGTGGATTTCGATTCCCGGGCAGGGAGAAACCTTCGGCAAGTCTCCTAATTCCACACAGAAGCCTCTGTTTACCTAGAAGTAAGTTCTAGTTGATTGACGGATCACTTTCTGGGGGTAACTATACCTTAAAAACAATTTGGTTACTCAATCCACCGCTGTTTGTGGGACACTGCTGTGTGCAATTGGCTGTCTGTCACATTCGCCCAAAAATGTACACTTTACGTGATTTATTATGTGAAGTGCTTCGACGTGTCTCAACGATGTGATAAAATGTCAAATCAAAAGTAAGGATTATTATTATTATTATCTGCGCCTCTTAGCATCAGAAGACTCACATCATGTTTCCCAACAAAATCTCCCCCCCGCCCCCAAGAACCGTAGAATACCCCAAACTACACCTCAGGAACACCTTAAGATCATAAATTTGATGGAAATTCTTCAATTGGGTCTTAGAGATTGTGGAACAAAGAGCTCGCGAATTGTAATAATGTCATAAGAGGGCTGAATGGGCTCCTTCTGCTCTGCATATCTTTAATACTTCTGCTATTTACAGGCATTTATTATGATGAGGCGTGTAGCAAGACTGTAACGGACCACGAGTTACTGGTGGTTGGATATGGAACTGAAGCAGGAGAACCATATTGGATTGTTAAAAACAGGTACGTCTCACAACAACAACAACAACAACAACAACAAGTTGCATTTATATAGCGCCCCTCAAGCAGTGTAGTGTCCCAGAGCACTTTCACCAGGAGGCAACCAGGGCATTTCAAACTACAGTCCTATTTGCTTCCCAACAGCGCCAATTTTCTTTTAACCAAATGCAAAGCGTAGCAGAGGTTAGCACCAGGGACGTACAGTGTGTGTACTTTGATCTCTAAGCTCTGGGCTCTACTCTTGACCCACTTGACCCTGTGACTGGCAGGAACTCAGGTGGGTGAAGACTTGAGCTGGTACCCAAGAGCCTACAACGGTCATGTTTTGCAGACGTGTGATGTGAAAGCTTGACAGTCTTTCAAATGAATGACAGGAATTGGTTTAGATGAGGTTGAGATTGAATGGGCCAAAGGGACTTTCTTTTTTTGAACTAACTCCTGTGACCATACATTACGTGTTGATTTCTTTCCAGTTTTGCCTAAAAATTGAGACGACAACAACAACTTGCATTTATACTTGGGTACTAAGTAAGGGTGTTAACACACGTGGAGAAAAGGCAGAGAGATGAGATTAACAAATCTGCTATGATCTAATAAAATGGTGAAACAGCCCAGATGGACTGAATGGCCTCCTCCTCTCCCTAAATCCCTCCTCCCCCGCTCTCGTCCACCTCTTAATCTCAGAGCAGCGACGAGCTTTAAATTACTTTTTTGTATGACTTCATGACTTTAAGTGATGTTAACCGTAATTTCTATCTCTTTCTTCCTTCAGTTGGGGAGTCAAATGGGGCAACAATGGATACTTCCACACGGCAAAGGACAAGGGCAATAACTGCGGCATTGCCAGTTCCGCACTCTATCCTGTGGTGTAAACTTGGATGAACTGGAACTGTAGCGACTCCACCTTAAGAAATCCAAACTCTTCTAAGATTGTAGGCATCTTCAGCTGCCTTCAGTCACCATGTCCCAGTGTTGTTTAAGAAGGCTCCGCCAACAAACCTTTGAGAAAGAATTTCATATTATCGGAAATCGTTAAATGCTTTTCCCGGACTAAATCAACAACAACAACGTGCATTGATATAGCAAACTTCGCCCGGGGCAGCATCTTGGAGCGCTTAAAAATCGGTTGCTTAAAAATATTTCTTTATGCATGTGCTACTGAGGTGACTCTGGTATTCAGCATTTTATGCAAAAAGCAAATTATTTACGTTCTGTTTTGGTGTCCCTGTTGCTCATTCATATATGGACTCAGAAGTACAGAGCTGTGTAATAAAGAGAGACGGCAATCTGACCTGACCTCCTGAAGTCAGTGAAGAAGGAAGTTCTGACGGTCAATGTCAGGTATCTCCAAAGTAGAAATGGTCAGACTTGTTCACCAAATATCTCAACTTTCTTATCCTGAATGTTCTGGCTCCTTCATAGAACTGTCCACCTTTCCCTGCCTTTTGAGCTCCTCGACCTCGTTCCCTCCCTCCAGGAAACCAAATCAAACCGTCCAAAAGGATCTAATGGGGAGAAATTCCACTTGGGTCTAGATTTACTCTATGTAGTATTTTAGAGTCTCAACATTTGGCAAACTGTTGAATTGAATCTTCACTTTGAAGCCAGTTTTCTGTGGTTTTCAGAATATACTTCCACAAAAAGAACTTGAAAATCCATGCAGTTTTAAAGACTTTACCAATTCCAGGACACTGTAAATATCCAGGTGGAATTTCAATCCGAAGGTTTGGATACTACAGGAACTCAGAGATCCATATTGGACTGGAAAGCCTCACATCAGGACTCACAGTCCAGCTGTCACTCCAAATAAAATTGATCATTCACATCATGGCTGTTTGTTGGACATTGCTGTGCGCAAATTGGTTGCTGCATTTGTCTACAAAATACACAGTCACCGCAGTAAATCCTGTGAAGTGCTTGAGACAGGCTCTCAATGTGATAAGGTGCTGTATTAAAGGATGATTATGAGGTGCGATATCAAATATAAAGGTTATTACATTTCACAGATACTCCAATTGGTCTGATGTTCTTCCTGTTCACTCCTCACACTCTCCCTCTGTCTCTCTGTTCAAAGACTTTAGAAAATAATTGTAGAAGGAAATGGGCTGCATTAGTGCTGGACGGTAAAGTGTAATGAGGTCCACACTTAGTCTGAGAGCAAGGACTTCGCCCAAATGCCTATTGGCACACATGAGTCTTCACAGCCAAGCCCCGATCCTGCCCTCACCTGACACCTGACACCTACACGTGTGCACTAGCCCGAGACACGAGATTGAGCTGATGCAAAGGCTGAAACTGTGCTCAACAACAATAACTTACACTTACACTGCACCCTTTACACGGGCAGCATCTTGGGGCACTTAACAGTTGGGGAGCCTGACGCTGAACTGGGGGGAGGGAGTGGGTGACCGCAAGCACCGTCGATGGGCAGTCAGGCAAATCCCTCTCCTTCTTCTAACTTCATCATAAGATGTAGAATAGGCAGCTTGGATGAAGAAAGACATTTTGATCTCATCCTTTCAGACCCACTGTGGATCTGGTGATGATCTCCAAAGGAACAACTGCTGTACCAATATCCGCCACAAGATGGCGCCACTGGTAACACAGTTACAATACACTTTCAGATTTTAACAACAACAACTTGCACTTTTATAACGCCCTCCACGCAGGGCAGCATCTCAGAGCGCTTAACAGTGGCGGAGCCTGACTGCAAGCCAGGGGGGAGGTGCTGGGGGGTGGGGGGTGGGGTGCGGGGGTGGAGGTGGCTGTAAGCTCAGTCTAAGAGGGGCTGGGGACGGATTGAGGGAGCGTGTCCCAGAGTTTCGGGGCGTAGTGGCTGAAAGGGTGTGCAAAGAAGAGAGGAAGGTGTACAAAAATCTCAGCCACTTAAATGTAAGCTATGGAGTCCTGGAGGGTAGTGGTAATGTCCTTCCAACGTGAAAGGAGAAACATCAAATGCAAGGATTAACATTATTGTGATATTTATGTCAGCTCGAAAGAGCTTTTGTTATCGATCGCCTTCACCCTCTCTATTTTAGATCACTCACTACCTCCCACAATGCAGTCGCGGCGTGGAGGTTTCTGTTACCTCGTTGTTGAGCTCCGTGTGCTCAAACACAATATTCTGGCATCACAGCGGGACCTCCGTGACAAAAGGCCGTTCATTTGGCTTTGGATTCTGACACAAAAACTCTGCACCAAAGCTGCTCTGATCTTAAAGCTAACAAATGAGTTACACTCAGCAATCAGCGTTACTGTGCGGAAGGGGGAAATAAATTGCTTACTGAGCAACAGGTCACCTTACAGGACGCGAGATATCTGATATTATTTGTCAACTTGATCACTCGGACCTGCCAATCATTTGTGTTACAGCAGCATCTTGAGGGTGGACAGGACGCTGCTGTTGACTATGGTATATATTGATCAGTGCGCTCCCCACATTAGCCAGAGGGCAGGACGGCTGGAAGGTAGGACTATTGATAAAGATTTTGTTTTACTATATGTGTCTTTCATCCATAAAATACACAGTCAGCCCACTTTACAGTATATTTGTGAAGCGCTTTGAGATGTCTCAATGAAGCGATAAGACGTTATATCAAAGCAGGGAGATGACCACCGACGTGGTCTACGAGATAGACCTTTTGGCCGCACAAAATCTCTTGTCTCAGAGTAACTTGCTCACTGTCTGTTTGATCCCTGTGTTTTGTTCTGACAGATAACTCGTCATGAACTTCCTGCTGAGGGGCTGTTTTGTGGTGTGCGTTCTAGTTAAAGCTTCAACAGACTCGATCAATCCAGAATTGGACAATGAGTGGCTGAGCTGGAAAACCTTTCACAAGAAGCTGTACCAGGAGGTAAGAGTTGTCAGACTGGCTCATTTGGTAACACTCTTGCCTCTGGGTCAAAAAGTTAGAGCAAAGCTTTTCACCAGAGAGGGTTAGGGCAATGTCTCATGTTTCACATTGTTTCCAGACTCCAGTTATAGTTATTTACACTCATCCATCTTATTTCCTTGTGCTCTTTCTAAAAATCTAATTTTTTAAAAAAACAATATAATTTCTTTGGGAGACCCTAACTCTGCCTTAACACCGAGGCTTAGCCCAAACCTGAGAAGCTCGTCTATTTTCAGCCACTCTCTCCTCTCCTCCCTCTCCTCTATTCTCCTCTTTTCCCCTTCTCTCCTCTCTCCTCTTCTCTGCTCTCTTCTCCCATGCAAATTGTCGGACTGGCTCATTTGGTAACACTCTTGCCTCTGGGTCAGAAAGTTGTGGGTTCAAGCCTCCACATCAGAAGTTTGAGACTCAAAATCTAAGCTGACGCTCCTGTGCAATGTTGACAAGAGTGTTGTTCTGTCAGAAATGCTGTCGCTTGGATGAGATGTTAAACTGAGGTCAGATGGATGTTAAGGATCCCGTGGCTCTATTTGTAAAGAGAAGGGAGTTTCACCTGGTGTCCTGGCCAACAATCCTCCAGATAAAACCAAAGCAAAATCATCTACTTCATGGCTGTTTGTGGGACGCTGCTGTGTGCAAACTCGCTGCTGTGTTTGACTCCAAAATACACAGTGATTTCTCCACAGCAAAATCTGCAAAGATGTTTATCAGCTTATCAACACAATGATAAAGGAAGGATTATGCACGGATTACTGATACTGTTTGAATATTATTGTGGGCCTGCGATTATGGTGATAAGGCACATTTCTTGGTGAATGTGGTTTGTGAGATGATCCGAAATGCTAAGCTCTAGAGGAAAAATACTTCTCTCGATTGATGATTTCTATGCTAAAAGGAGTTGGAGTTTGACACGGGTGTAAATCCTACTTTTCAGAAAGATGCTGCGTTTAGAAGAAATGTGTGGGAGCAGAACCTGCAGTATATTGAGAAGCACAACACGGATTACTTCATGGGGAAACACACGTTTGCTGTGGGGATGAATCAGTTTGGAGACATGGTAGGTACCTGAAGTGTGAGAGTGTGAAAGGTGAACAGCGAATCTTTGAAACACTCCCATTGAATCGGGATGAAGATTGATTGTGGAGTCCTGTAGTGTAGTGGTTAGAGCACTCGCCTCGCAAGCGAGAGGACTGGGTTTGATTCCCAGCCAGGGCGAAATGTAAGGCAAGTTTTCTTACTTCACTTCACATACTTCTGGTTACCTCGCGGTAAGTAGGAACCCGGTTGTTATTTAATTGGCGGATCATTTTTTCGGTTGTAATAATTCCTTGAAAAAGAATAATCACAATTTAGTCACTTGTGGAGTCCTGTAGCTCAGTGGTTAGAGCACTCGCTTTGCAAGTGAGAGACCTGAGTTCAATTCCAGGCAGAGCGAAACCTTGGGCAAGTTTCCTTACTCCACACAGAGCCTAATAATAATCCCTCCAAAACCAAAAACAATAATAAATTGGTCATTTTCAATCTACGACTGTTTGTAGGACATTGCTGTGCGCAATTGGCTGCCGCGTTCGCCCACAAATATACAGTCAATTCACTTTACAGTGTGTTCTGTGAAGCGCTTTGGGACGTCCTCCCGACGTGAAAAGCGCTATATCAAATGCAAGGATTATTATTATTATATTATTACTCAATCCATAACGGTTTGTGCACATGGGATATTATCCCAAAAGATATCATGACCTGATGCTGTTCTCTTCCCTCCCACCCACCCTGTGGCGATATTGTAACTAACAAATCTCAACATCACTTACCTTTCCAGACCGTTGAGGAGTTCAGTAACCTGTTGAATAGGCGAAACACAAGGCAATATAACAACAAAACATATAACCTATTTACAGCTGATGATAAGACTGACCTCCCTCAGAGTGTTGACTGGCGCCCTAAAGGCTACGTTACCGGAGTGAAGGACCAGGTGAAGGAGAATCACTTTTAGCGCCTACTAAACTATTGATTGCGGGGTCAAGAGGAAGGTCTTGAGATGGGCCTTGAAGAAGGAAAGGGAGGGGACGAGGTGGAGGGGTTCCGGGATGGAGTTCCCGAAAGTGGGTGCAGAAAAGCTGAAGGCTCGACCACCAATGGTCGGGGGTGGGGGAGATAGAGCAGGCCAGTGCCGGCCGAGCAGAGGGAAAAGAATGGTTAAGATATTCTGTGAAGCGCTTTGAGACGTCCTGAAGACGGTATAAGGCGCTGTAGCAAATACAAGGATTATTATTGTTAATTCGCTGTCGCTCCTCATTCACCAGAAAGCCTGTGGCTCGTGCTGGGCGTTCAGTACGACCGGGGTCCTGGAAGGTCAGTGGTTTAAGAAAACGGGGAAGTTGATCTCGCTTAGTGAGCAGTACCTGATGGACTGCAGCCAGAGTGTCGGGAATCACGGATGTAACGGTGGCTACAACAGCCTTTCCCTCCTCTTCATTAAAGAGAAAGGAATCAACTCGGAGGAATCCTACCCCTACACTGCCAAGGTAACTTACCCTCCCTTTAAACACCTTCCTTTTGTCAATGACTGGGGCAATGACCTCAAAGTGCCAGCGTGGCTCAGTTGGTAGCGCTCTCGCCTCTGTGGCAGAAGGTTATGGGTCCAGCTCAGGATTTGCAGCCCCTATAAGTCTATGCCGTCCTACAGGTGAGACGTTAAACCAAGGTCCCATCTGCCTGTCCAGGTAGACGTTCAGCAACCTGTGACACTATTTGAAAAGAGAAGAGACTTTCTCTCCTGGTGTCCTCGCCAATAATTGCTCAAATAAAATTAGTTACTCGCTCCATGGCTGTTTGTGGGACATCGCTCTGCGCAAATTGCATTTAAAATTTTATTTAAAATCTAGCGAGTTGTTACGATCTGGAATGCATTGCCTGACAGGATGGTGGAAGCGCATTGTATAATAACTTTCAAAATGGAATTGGATATATACTTGAAAAGGTAACATTTGCAGGGCTATGGGGAAAGAGCGGAAGAGTGGGACTAGTTGGATAACTCTTTCCAGAAGCCGGCACAGGCATGATGGTGCTCTGAGATTCTATGATTCTATAAATTGGCTGCCATATCACCCACATTTACACAGCCACTGTACATTGAGACATCTTGAAAATGATGTGCTGTTGCGATGTTAAGGCGCTGTATCAAATGCAAGGATTATATTATATTATATTATATTATATTATATTATATTATATTATATTATATTATATTATATTATATTATATTATATTATATTATATTATATTATATTATATTATACTAGCTGTACCCATTGCAGCTTCCCTTGCAACCAAAGGATCCAATATGGAAGGTAGATTGACACACAGACAGACATTTCATCTTTATCTATACTCCTGTGGGAGGACTCCTTTTGGGAGGACTCAGTGGGAGGACTCGGGGCTTTAAAAATGTAACTTGATTGTTGTTGCCGCGGCTTAACTTCGTCTGTGTTCTTTATTTTGTTCCCGCCACTTTGCTACGTGCGTACTCTGTGACGCAAGATGCCACAGTAAGCCGGTCCGGCCACCAGGTGTGACTGCAGTGCTTGCGTACATATGTAGGTGCTCTGTGACGCACGATGCCACAGCACCACCTTGACATAGCGACCACCGGGTGTAACTGCAGCAGAAAATGCAAAACTGAAAATAACTCATGAACGATAGGGATATACGAAAACAAATATGCCCATGTCACTCCCAGCCACAAGACCTTTTCCAATGAGGTATAAATCTTTCAAAGAGCTTCCAAATTAATCCCACTCCCCAGCTCTCTCCCCATAGCCCTGCAAACTTGTCCTCCAAATATCTATCTACGACTCTCTTGAAAGTTGTTATCGTATCGGCTTCCACCGCCCGTTCAGGCAATGCATTCCAGATCCCAACAACTCGCTGGTGAAAAAATTATATTGGACTTTTTTCATGTGACTCGAGGCTTCGGTGTCTCTAAGGGCTGTACTTATGTTGCAGAACGGAGTTTGTACCAGTAAGGAGAACGAGAGCGTGGCCACATGTCAGGGGGTGAAGATGATCAGGAAGAACTCGGAGAGGGACTTAGCCGCTGCGGTGGCCACTGTCGGCCCAATAGCTGTCGGCTTTGACGCAGGTCGTGCGTCATTCATGTTCTACAAATCAGGTGAGAAGTCAGAGTTACGCAGAGCCTTGTGCTCTCGTTTATCAGCTAAATACCTTTCTCGATCCTGTAATGTAGTGGATCCATATTGGATTGAGCACTTGCCTTGCAAACGGGAGAACCCGGTTCGATTCCCGAGAAGGGCGAAACCTTGGCCATGTTTCTTCACTCCGCACATCTCTGTTTATCTAGAAGTAAATAGGAACCCATTTATTAGTCGATAGGTGGATCGCTTTCTGGGGGGTAAGAATACCTTAAGAAAAAATTTGGTTACTCAATCCACGGCTGTTTGTGTGCAATTGGCTATGATGTTCGCCCACAAAATATACACTTTACAGTATATTATGTGAAGTGCTTCAACATGTCTCAACGATGTGATAAGACGTTATATCAAAAGTAAGGATTATTATTAATATTATTGTTATCTGCGTCTCTTAGCATCAGAAGACTCACATCAAGTTTCCCTGAAAAATCTCCTCCAACCCTCCCCAAAGAACCGTGGAATTGTGGAACAAAGAGCTCGCGAATTGTAATAATGTCATAAGAGGGCTGAATGGGCTCCTTCTGCTCTGCAATTCTTTAATACTTCTGCTGTTTACAGGCATTTATTATGATGAGGCGTGTAGCAAGACTGTACTGGACCACGAGTTACTGGTGGTTGGATATGGGACTGAAGCAGGAGAACCATATTGGATTGTTAAAAACAGGTACGTCTCATAACAACAACAAGTTGCATTTATATAGCGCCCCTCAAGCAGTATAGTGTCCCAGAGCACTTTCAGTATGAGAAAACCACGGCATTGCAAACTACAGTCCTATTTGCTTCCCAACAGCGCCAATTTTCTTTTAACCAAATGCAAAGCATCTTAGAGGTTAGCACCAGTTGCATTTGTACAGCGCCCCTCAAGCAGTGTAGTGTTTCACCATGAGGCAACCAGGGCATTTTAAACTACAGTCCTATTTGCTTCCCAACACTGCCAAGTATTGGTAAGAGTTCAGCTATTATGCCCAATTTTCTTTTAACTAAATGCAAAGCGTAGCAGAGGTTAGCACCAGCGACGTACAGTGAGTGCACTTTGATCTCTAAGCTCTGGGCTCTACTCTTGACCCACTTGACCCTGTGACTGGTGAGATTGAGTGGGCCAAAGGGACTTTCTTTTTCCGAACTAACTCCTTTGACCGTACATTACGTGTTGATTTCTTTCCAGTTTTGCCTAAAGATGGAGACAACATCAACAACAACGACAACAATTTGAATTTATATTGTGCCCTTCACTAGTGGTAGCTTCTGCTGGTGCTTATCACTCTGAGGATATGCTTTACATTATCTCTGCATTGCAATGGTCTTAAAATTGGAGCTTAGCCGGTTAGGAATGAGATCAGAAAAGGTTTCTTCCCATGGAGGCTTGTGAAACTGTGGAACCCAGAAGGTCAGAGATGCAGAATGCATTGGTCAAAAGATCGACAGATTACTTGGGAACTAAGTAGGAGTGTTAACACGTGGAGAAAAGGCAGAGAGATGAGACTAACAAATCTGTTTTAATCCAATATAACAGTGGAACAGCACAGAGGGACTGAATGGCCTCCTCCTCCTCTCCTTAAATCCCTCCTCCCCCGCTCTCGTCCACCTCTTAATCTCAGAGCGGAAACGAGCGTTAAATTTTATTTTGTGTGACTTCATGAGTTTAAGTGATGTTAACCGTAATTTCTATCTCTTTCTTCCTTTAGTTGGGGAGTCAAATGGGGCAACAAAGGATACTTCCACACGGCAAAGGACAAGGGCAATAACTGCGGCATTGCCAGTTCCGCACTCTATCCTGTGGTGTAAACTTGGATGAACTGGAACTGTAGTGACTCCACCTTAAGAAATCCAAACTCTTCTAAGATTGTAGGCATCATCAGCTGCCTTCAGTCACCATGTCCCAGTGTTGTTTAAGAAGGCTCCGCCAACAAACCTTTGAGAAAGAATTTCATATTATCGGAAATCGTTAAATGTTTTTCCCGGACTAAATCAACAACAACAACGTGCATTGATATAGCAAAATTCACCCGGGGCAGCATCTTGGAGCGCTTAAAAATCGGTTGCTTAAAAATATTTCTTTATGCATGTGCTACTGAGGTGACTCTGGTATTCTGCATTTTATGCAAAAGTCAAAGTATTAACATTCTGTTTTGGTGTCCCTGTTGCTCATTCATATATGGACTCAGAAGTACAGAGCTGTGTAATAAAGAGAGACGGCAATCTGACCTGACCTCCTGAAGTCAGTGAAGAAGGAAGTTCTGACGGTCAATGTCAGGTATCTCCAATGCAGAAATGGTCAGACTTGTTCACCAAATATCTCAACTTTCTTATCCTGAATGTTCTGGCTCCTTAATTAAACTGTCCACCTTTCACTGCCTTTTGAGCTCCTCGACCTCGTTCCCTCCCTCTCCCCACTTTCCCAGGAAACCAAATCAAACCGTCTAAAAGGATCTAATGGGGAGAAATTCCACTTGGGTCTAGATTTACTCTATGTAGTATTTTAGAGTCTCAACATTTGGCAAACTGTTGAATCTTCACTTTGAAGCCAATTTTCTGTGGTTTTTAAGACTTTACCAATTCCAGGACACTGTAAATATCCAGGTGGAATTTCAATCCGAAGGTTTGGATACTACAGAAACTCTGAGATCCATATTGGACTGGAAAGCCTCACATCAGGACTCGCAGTCCAGCTGTCATTCCAAATAAAATTGATCATTCACATCATGGCTGTTTGTTGGACATTGCTGTGCGCAAATTGGTTGCTGCGTTTGCCTACAAAATACACAGTCACCGCAGCTCACGGTAAATCCTGTGAAGTGCTTGAGACAGGCTCTCAATGTGATAAGGTGTTGTATTAAAGGATGATTATGAGGTGCGATATCAAATATAAAGGTTATTACATTTCACAGATACTCCAATTGGTCTGATGTTCTTCATGTTCACTCCTCACACTTTCCCTCTGTCTCTCTGTTCAAAGACTTTAGAAAATAATTGTAGAAGGAAATGGGCTGCATTAGTGCTGACGGTAAAATCTAATGAGGTCCACACGTAGCCTGAGAGCAAGGACTTCGCCCAAGTGCCTATTTGCACCCATGAGTCTTCACAGCCAAGCCCCGATCCTGCCCTCACCTGACACCTGACACCTGACACCCACACGTGTGCACTAGCCCGAGACACGAGATTGAACTGATGCAAAGGCTGAAACTGTGCTCAACAACAACAACTTAACTTACACTGCACCCTTTACACGGGCAGTATCTTGGGGCACTTGACAGTTGGGGAGCCTGACGCCGAATTGGGGGGAAGGAGTGGGTGACCGCAAGCACCGTCGATGGGCAGTCAGGCAAATCCCTTTCCTTCTTCTAACTTCATCATAAGATGTAGAATAGGCAGCTTGGATGAAGAGAGACATTTTGATCTCATCCTTTCAGATCCACTGTGGATCTGGTGAGGATCTCTAAAGGAACACCTACTGTTCATTTTCAAATACATTTTCAGCTTTTAGTAACAACAACTTGCGCTTATATATCGCCCTCCACGCAGTGCAGCGTTTCAGAGCACTTAACACTGGCGGTGCCTGACTCCGAGCCAGGAGGGAGGTGTTGCTTGGGTGTGGGGGCGGGGGCGGAGGTGTATAAAAATCTCAACCACTTAATTGTGAGCTATGGAGGCCTGTAGGGTAGTGGTTAGAGCACTCGCTTCGCAAGCGACAGGAACCGGATTCAATTCCAGGGCAGGGCAAAGCCTTCGGCAAGTTTCCGTACTCCACGCTATGTAAGTACATGTTGTTGTTGTTGTCATCGTCATAGCTATTTGTGTGGGATGTCGCTGTGCACAAATTGGCTGCTGAGTTTGCCTTCAAAACACTGCCCTACATTTTACAATAAATCCTGTGAAGTGCTTTGAGATAACAACAACAACTTGAATTTATACAGCGTCCCAGAGATATCCTCCCAATGTGAAAGGAGAAACATCAAACGGAAGGATTAACATTATTGTGATACTTACTTAAGTTCAAAAGAGCTTTTGTTATCGGTCGCCTTCACCCTCTCTATTTAAGATCACTCGCTGCCTCCCACAATGCTCTTTCTGCTTCGGATCTTAGAGATTTTATTCATTTACTGGTTTCACCCACAAAGTAGTCAATCTGCTTGACAGTCTGTTCTTTGAAGCACTTCGAGGTGGTCTCAACGGAATGATAAGGCGCTATATCAAATGCAAGAATTATTAATATTATGATTATTATTATTATCATTATTGGCCGATAGCAGAGTCAACAGTCGCAGTGTGGAGGTTTCTGTTACCTCGTTGTTGAGCTCCGTGTGCTCAAACACAATATTCTGGCATCACAGCGGGACCTCGGTGACAAAAGGCCGTTCATTTGGCTTTGGATTCTAACACAAAAACTCTGCACCAAAGCTGCTCTGATCTTAAAGCTAACAAATGAGTTACACTCAGCAATCAGCGTTACTGTGCGGAAGGGGGAAATAAATTGCTTACTGAGCAACAGGTCACCTTACAGGACGCGAGATATCTGATATTATTTGTCAACTTGATCACTCGGACCTGTCAATCATTTGTGTTACAGCAGCATCTTGAGGGTGGACAGGACGCTGCTGTTAACTATGGTATATATTGACCTGCGCGCTCCGCACATTAGCCAGAGGGCAGGACGGCTGGAAGGTAGGACTATTGATAAAAATGTTGTTTTATCATATGTGTCTTTTGCCCATAAAATTCAGTCAACCCACTTCACAGTATATTCTGTGAAGCGCTTTGAGACGTCTCAATGAAGTGATAAGACGTTATATCAAAGCAGGGAGATGACCACTGCCGCACAAAATCTCTTGTCTCAGAGTAACTTGCTCACTGTCTGTCTGATCCCCGTGTTTTGTTCTGACAGATAACTCGTCATGAACTTCCTGCTGAGGGGCTGTTTTGTGGTGTTCGTTCTAGTTAAAGCTTCAACAGTCTCGATCAATCCAGAATTGGACAATGAGTGGCTGAGCTGGAAATCTTTTCACAAGAAGCTGTACCAGGAGGTAAGAGCAAAGCTTTTCACCAGAGAGGGTTAGGGCAATGTCTCATGTTTCACATTTTTTTCCAGACTCCAGTTATAGTTATTTACACTCATCCATCTTATTTCCTTGTGCTCTTTCTGAAAATGAAATTTTAAAACAAAATATTATCACGTCTTTGGGAGACTCTAACTCTGCCTTAACACCGAGGCTTAGCCCAAACCTGAGAAGCTCGTCTATTTTCAGCCACTCTCTCCTCTCCTCCCTCTCCTCTATTCTCCTCTTTTCCCCTTCTCTCCTCTCTCCTCTTCTCTGCTCTCTTCTCCCATGCAAATTGTCGGACTGGCTCATTTGGTAACACTCTTGCCTCTGGGTCAGAAAGTTGTGGGTTCAAGCCTCCACATCAGAAGTTTGAGACTCAAAATCTAAGCTGACGCTCCTGTGCAATGTTGACAAGAGTGTTGTTTTGTCAGAAATGCAGTCGTTTGGACGAGATTGGTGAATGTGGTTAGTCAGATGATCCGAAATGCTAAGCTATCCAGGTGGAAAATATTTCTCTCGATTGATGATTTCTATGCTAAAAGGAGTTGGAGTTTGACACGGGTGTAAATCCTACTTTTCAGAAAGATGCTGTGTTTAGAAGAAATGTGTGGGAGCAGAACCTGCAGTATATTGAGAAGCACAACACGGATTACTTCATGGGGAAACACACGTTTGCTGTGGGGATGAATCAGTTTGGAGACATGGTAGGTACCTGAAGTGTGAGAGTGTGAAAGGTGAACAGCGAATCTTTGAAACACTCCCATTGAATCGGGATGAAGATTGATTGTGGAGTCCTGTCGTGTAGTGGTTAGAGCACTCGCCTCGCAAGCGATCTTACTTCACTTCACATACTTCTGGTTACCTCGCGGTAAGTAGGAACCCAGTTGTTATTTGATTGGTGGATCGCTTTTGGGTGGTAATAATTCCTTGAAAAAGAATAATCACAATTTAGTCACTCGATCCACAACTGTTTGTGTGTATGGGATATTATCCCAAAAGATATCATGACCTGATGCTGTTCTCTTCCCTCACACCCACCGTGTGGCGATATTGTAACTAACAAATCTCAACATCACTTACCTTTCCAGACCGTTGAGGAGTTCAGTAACCTGTTGAATAGGCGAAACACAAGGCAATATAACAACAAAACATGCAACATATTTACAGCTGATGATAAGACTGACCTCCCTCAGAGTGTTGACTGGCGCCCTAAAGGCTACGTTACCGGAGTGAAGGACCAGGTGAAGGAGAATCACTTTTAGCGCCTACTAAACTATTGAATGCGGGGTCAAGAGGAAGGTCTTGAGATGGGCCTTGAAGGAGGAAAGAGAGGGGACGAGGTGGAGGGGTTCTGGGATGGAGTTCCAAAAGGTGGGGTCAGAAAAGCTGAAGGCTCGACCACCAATGGTGGGGCTGGCGGGGGTGGGGGAGATGGAGCAGGCCAGTGCCGGCCGAGCGGAAGGAAAAGAATGGTTAAGATATTCTGTGATAAGGCGCTGTAGCAAATGCAAGAATTGTTATTGTTATTAATTCGCTGTTGCTCCTCATTCACCAGAAAGCCTGTGGCTCATGTTGGGCATTCTGTACGACCGGGGTCCTGGAAGGTCAGTGGTTTAAGAAAACGGGGAAGTTGATCTCGCTTAGCGAGCAGTACCTGATGGACTGCAGCCAGAGTGTCGGGAATCACGGATGTAACGGTGGCTCCAGTATCCATTCCCTCCTCTTCATTAAAGAGAAAGGAATCAA